GGAGATGCGTGCCAAGTGCTGCGCATCAGCATTGCAGGCTGACCTGCTGATACCCGGCGAGATCGGGCGTTTGCGCTCGTTACGCGGGACGCGCTTCGTCCTTTTAACGCTTACAAGTACTGCCGCCAATGTTGCTAGTCAAATGCTCAATCAAGTATGTGCTCCATCGTCTACAACTGGGCAGGGCCAGCCGTGCCACAACTATTCTCCAACTCTTCCTCTCCTTCTGCAAGCGGCGCATAGTAGCAGCAAGCAGACGGCTTCTCCTCTCCTCGGCTGAATCTCCGGCGACTGCAGCGCCAGCACCACCGAGAACATGGGACGTCATTGCAGCCATGGTTCTAGCTCATCTGTTCGTACATGTCTCCAGAATGGAGCGAGTGCCGACCGGCGATCGCTGCCTTTTCAAACGCAGCGACTTCACGATTCAATTGCGAATTCAGTCGTTTGAACTAGCGTGATTCAGTTTCAATGCCACCATACAGAAGGGCGAGGAAGACACCACCTTCTCGTCGTGATCCCCATGTACATTATGCGCTAGCTCATGACACAGGGTCTGCCGTACTTGTGAGTAGACGCGAAAACCATCGTAAGCGTCTGTTCGGATCCGCAATAAGATCTCTTCTCCAGCATTCTTGTTCAGTCCGAGCAGATCCGGTCGCTCACGGGGGTCTAGTCAGTCAAGACACCCACGGAGAAGGAATGCAGCTTCATGACATGTTGGATCGCCTTATCATTCGACAAGCGACGCAGGTAACTCAGAGCAGAGTCGGGGTCGGGAAGATGAGGTAGGGGAACGATGTTGTGGAATCGATACGTGTGTTCAAAGGTGCTTGATGAAGCGGTAGATCGGACCTGATGCACAATGTTAGGACTTTCCAGCAGAGACGTCGAAGGGATCGAGACCTTGACGGAGCTTTCAAAGCCCTCTCCTTAGAATTCGTTCCCGTTTACGGGCCTGTGCCTCATTGGCTTGCATTTCGTCCAACTCTAATAGTGTTGGCCCAACCAACTGGATCTTGATACCGTCCTTGAAATTTGCTTGTCGGAGTGTCATATCGGGTTGGATTCACCCTTGGGACTGCCCTTGTAAAGCAGCTTCTGAAGATTCGAAGGGACCGAGGTCAAGTCTTCTAGTGCAGCAGACATGTCTGCTACGGCGCTTTCGGGAGAAAGCGATAGTCGATGCTGAGTTCCTCTGTGAGTCACCATCAAAGAAAGTACATCTTCTATAGGAGAGTCCGGCATGATGAGAAAGGCTTTGGGATGAAGATGCACTAGAAAGTGCTGAATAAAGCCGAGGACGCGTCAGGCAGCTCGCACGTGAATAATTACATCATCGATGCTTGAAGTGACAGGAGTTACCCGCTTGTCAAGTTGGAAAGACTCTGGCAACGCTAACAACACTCTACAAGTCTACCGCAACTTGATACAGACCGAGCACTGAAGATCATGTATTCTCCTGACGGGGGTATGACGGTCACTCCGCGAATGAGAGAACTGATTTCTCGCTCCGGAAAACTCAAATCTATGGAAGGTGGCCAGGAACTCCGGGACTTGTATCGAGCTGGTGCGCAAGCCCTGCTAATGACCGCCAGTTTTTACGGGTTACGAACTTTCCACGCTCAGGAAGCATCGACATGGATCCATTCAAATTCTCTCGATTCGGGTTCCATGTCTTCACTGGACGCTCGAACTAGTGAAAGAGGTATGTTCTTCAAGATTCTTCCTCGATCTCAAAGTCATGGCGTCATTCAGGACGTGGAAAATGGTACCGCTCCTGATCTGGCGGGATACGAGACTGCCTACCAGACCAGTTATGCTTCGCTGGTTGCCCTGGGCTCTCAACGCTTTCGTGATGGTCCACCACAAAGCGGAAACACCTTGAAACACTCAAGTACCTGCTCTCGAAGGGTCTCCCCCCAGACGGAGAAGACATCGTTGGCTATACGGCTGTGCATCATCTAGCCTCGTCCCCCGAGCCGAGAGATGAACTGCTGCGGTGCCTGCTGGAGAACGGGGCGAATGTCGATCATCAGAACCGATATGGAGAGGCTAGTTCTGTTGCTAGTGTCTCAGACAATCGAATTGACACCCACGGATATGTAGGTTCCGCTGATGGGTCCTATGATGCTCAATATGATCCAAACTATCGATATTTTAATGGAGTTCAACGCGTCCCTGGATATCCCCGAGGCCGACGGGATCACTCCTCGTCGTCATTTCTTGGGCTGTGGTCCACGAGTGACGGCGGCGGTAACCAAGTGGATCAGAAAGCGGAACAGTGAGGAAGCTCCAAGGGAAAAAAAATCTTGCGACTCCTGCGGGAAGGAAAGCGCGTCGCTCAAAAATTGCGCAAAGTGCAGAGTTGCGAGGTACTGTTCCGTCGACTGCCAGAGTGTGTTCACTGTCCGTTTCTTTTTCCCGGTGATCTTGACCAAAGTCTTTCGACAGGAAGCGCATGGCCGACCCACAAACGCACCTGTAACCCTTTCTCTCACTCGAACACCGTCGTCCTGATACCTCACTATCATGCCTACAATAACACAATTCCTACCGCAGACCTCACGCGGCGCGCTATGGGTTATCCCTCGGAAGCTGAAGCCTGGTCCAAGAACAAGATGCGTGGTGCCCATGCTCCCAAAAAGGTCGATAAAGAATCCAAATCAATTACCATCAAAGTCCAAGTGCCTTGGAACTTCCAGGGCGATTTGGAAGCGTCGAAGAAGAGCTCGGGAGATTTGTTGGTGTATACGAAAAAGCGAGACTTTGCTTGTACGATCAGGAAGCGGGACGCGCCCGCTGAGTATGATCGAATTGCAGCAGTCGTCAGGGAGAAGGGTGTTGGGGGTGCAAAGGCTTATTTCGCTGCTGAGCTGGAAAGCAGGGATCGGCTGGTCGTCAAAGTGACAGAAGTTCTTGCTGAGCAGCCGTGGTAAAGACCTATGAGAAGTGATTCAGATATCTCTGTGATTGTACAATGACTCTCAATGAACGGACTCGAGTTCAACCGTGCGAAATCTCTCAATGATCTACCAATGATGAAATCGATCGACGTTCATGCCCCGAGCACCCGAGTTCTTCTCCCCCATGGCTTCAACTATGCCATGGCCAGAGGATTAAAAAAATGACGATCGGTACATAAGCGGAGATTTACACAACTCCAGGAGCGGCGAAAGTGCTATCTCATGATAACGTATTTCGATCAGATAAGATAACAATACGACAAACTAGGAGAGCGGAAAGCGAGGAAGAGAGTAAGTACAAGGAGGTAGCGCTACAAATGTTCATATCATTACTATCATCAAGATCATCGTCTCAAAGGCCCTTGAGTAAGGCATCGAAGACACCTCTCCGAGCGATCAAGTCATCGAAGGCGCCGTCCTCCACGATCCTCCCCTTCTGAACGACGAGAACGCGGTCGCACATGCGCATAACCGGGACCTTGTGTGTGATCATGACTGTGGTGCGGCCGGTTTTGGCAGCCTGGATCGTGTCCATAATAGCCGCCTGAGTGGCGTCGTCCAGTGCGGAGGTGCACTCGTCCAGGATCAGAATCTTGGACGGGCGGGCCAGGGCACGCGCGATTTGCAACCTCTGAGCTTGTCCACCCGATATGAGTGTCGCGTTTTCGCCGAGAGCGGTATCGTATCCCTGCGGTAGACCCATGATGAAATCGTGAATGTTCGCCGCTTGCGCAGCTCGGATGACCTCCTCATCCGGGAGATCCTCGTTGCTGTATCGGATATTCTCTGCGATTGACGCATCGAAAAGCGTCGGCTGCTGGCTCACGACTGAAATCTGCCGACGGAGATGATCGATGCTAAATGACCGGAGTGGGGTCTTCCCAACCGACACCGCACCAAACGACGGCTCGTACAAGCGTTGGAGTAATGCAGCGATCGTAGACTTGCCAGATCCAGAAGGGCCAACGATCGCAACACATTCACCAGCTTTGATCTCCATGTTGACGTTCTGGAGCACTGGTACTTCTGAGCGAGCCGGGTAGGAAAATGCAACATCCTGGAAGGTGAGAGTGCCGTCGAGTTCGGGTCGAAGAAAGCCTTGCGACTCCTCCGTCCGAGAGGCCAGGTGCAGCAGATCAGTCAGGTCACGAGCAGCCTGAACCGATTTCGAGATGCGTTGGGTGAATGCCATGAGCTGGGATCCGATAGAGACCGTGAACACGACGAGATTGAGGACTTGCGTCATTTGAAGATACGAATACGTCCCGTTGGCCACCAGAATGGCTCCAAAGTAGAATAGCACCGCTTCGGCAAGGTAGACTAAGCCGAAAGCAAGACCAGTCGTGCATCCCTCGAAGAACGCGCCCCACCGGGACACAGAGAGCACCCGATTAGCAGCCTTGTCAAACTCGGCACGGAAAACGGATTCCAGACGCATGGCACGAATACCGCGGATGCTGGAAATCATCTACAGGCGATGAGCGCTGGACAGACACCGCAGATCAAACACTTCATACCTCGTAGTACCGTTTTGCGACCTCTTCGCCTGCACGCTTATTTCGCAGCTGGGCACGTGCCACCATGCTGGCCATGCTGGCCATCGCAACTCCGAAAACAGGGACCACCACAAAGCCGGCCAAGGCAAGCTGCCAGCCTGCGATCGCAGCCCAGGTCATCCCGATTCCGAACATGGCACTGACGACCAACACCTGGCCCAGGACCGACGAAAGCAGATCGCGAGCGTCGTCAGCATCTTTGATCAACACCCGGCCAATGGACGCTGAGTCCTGCCTGTCGAACCAGCGCATGTCCTGCTTCAGAACACGACCAAACGCGAGATTCCGGATGTAGCTGATCCACCGCGCAGCAGTGATCTGCATCAGAAAGTACTTGAGCCCGAGGAACAAGCCGTCGCACAAGGCTGCGCAGAGGACCAGAAGCCCGTAAGTGTCCAGAGACATGGTCTCGCTGGATCCAGTTGCGACAGCAAACAATAGCCGGGCGAGGAGAAACGAGAAGATGGGTGTCATCGCCCCGCTGACCAAGCATGCAAATAGCCCGGCAAACAAGACTGGCTTGTTGGGAACAGTTGGGTAAAGCTCGAGCAAGAGACCCGAGAGCGACTGATTCGGGGCATCGTAGGTGGGAGTGGTTGTGTCGATGGGCAGATAGGACTCGTACTTGCTAGCAGGTGTGTACACATTACGCTTACGCGCAACCACAGTCGAGGGCGCAGATAGTGGTTTATACGGACTCGGAGTCCGTCGCCAGCCAAAAGCAGCGACGTTCATCGAAAGCTCAGCAACACGGGTCGCTCTCGTCAACGCCGAGGGAGCCGGAGTGAGGTACAAGGGGAGGGCTGCCTCGACGGCGACAGATGTGTCCAGGTCAACCAGTGTGTCAGTGTCGTCTTCATGTTTCGAGAAGTCGGCGTCGTGGCCAAGAGTTCCGAATACGCTGCAGACCCAATGCTCGAGCTCACGTCTCAATCCGCTCTCAACCACACATCCGTCCTTCAGCACGTACACGTAATCGTCTTTTTCGATCTGCGCCAAATCATGTGTAATGACAATAGTCGTCCTGCCGTGCCTCCATTGACGCACAGCGTCAAAGACAAGCACGCGTGATTTGGGGTCCAGAGCGGAGGTCGCTTCATCTGGAAAAAGATCAGCCTGAATGACATACACCAAGCAGAATCACCGACCCAGAACAAGTACATCCGGATCCCGCAGCATAGCACGAGCGATGGCCAGCCGTTGCTTCTGCCCCCCACTCAGAGAGGCTCCATGACTGCCCAGAACGGTATCATATCCACGTGGCAAGTCACTGATAAAGTCGTGCATCAAAACCTGCCGGCAGACATCCTCCACCTCTGAGCGGGTAGAAAGCCCCGTCTCCCGCCCAAGCGCAACATTGTCGTGTACGCTCATGTCGAAAAGAGCACAGGCTGCGCCCTGACCGACAGCCGCGATGTCCAATGCGCGTAGATCGACGGATACATCGTCAACAGAAATGAGGCCTTCATTTGGTGCATACAGCCCCGCAAGCAGATGCGATATGGTCGATTTTCCAGAACCGGAGGGTCCGACGACAAACGTAGTCTTGTGCGCAGGGAACACCATCGTTGCACCGCGGAGCACGGGGATACTCGGACGGGATGGATACGAAAATGAGATATCCTGCATCGTGATATCCGCCACACACATCACATCACCCACAAAACCGTGTGCGGCAATTGACTGGGAAGGATCGAGCAGCTTGAGCAACGACTGGAACGCGAAACGTCCTTTGGAGAGAACGATCAGCTGCGGAATGCAAAGTTGAAGATTCGTCGTCGCCATCAGGCAGGCCCAGAAGACGACCATGACATCCCCCGCACCCAGTCTTCCGGCTCGCACCGCCCGGGCGCCAAACCAGAATCCCTGCACAAACATCGCCATCATGACAAACTGCGCAAGGCCGGAGGTCAACCCCCAGAGCGCGACCAGCTTCAGCACGGCTTTTTCAATCCGGAGCATTACAGAGGCCAACGCCTTCTGTTCGTGTGCTGCCGCGTCGAATGCTTTGACCGTGTGAATCCCAGTCGGAGAAATAGCGCGGTCGACTAACGTCGCAGCGACAGCTGTCTGCTGGCGTTCTATCGCCAGGAGCGGGGCGGAGAACCGCTGTGAGACGGCCTGAATGATCACCAACGCTGGGACGGCAGACAGAACCACGAGCGTCAGCGATACTGAGCGCAGCAAAGCAAGGATGAGGCAGATAGAGCAAGTGGTGGCGTATTCGATCATCCGGCCAATGGCAAGGGACGATTCACGCACTTCATCAGTCTCTCTGGCATGCAGGTCAGCATGATCCTTCAAGAAAGCAAGTCGGCGCGCGTACTTTGAGAACTGAGCCATGAGCCCACCGGCACCAACAGGTCCATCTGAATCTCCCCCTGTACTCTGCTCGCTTTCTTCCGAGCACCGGGTGTCAAACCACACCATACTCTTGCTAGCTATGGACGCGTAGACGCGCTTCCGCACAGCAAGCACTGTATGGTCCCCGGTCGTGATCCACAGAAAGCTGGTCAGACTACTCATCGCAAACGAGCCGAAACCGAGAGCAAGAAGTTGCAGCGCGACCAGCGACATGTGGTGCACTAGGACATCGGGAGGTGTCGCGACGGGAGTGGTGGCATTCGCGTGAGTATCGAATGCGTCGGCGGTCGTGTTGGACTGGGAAGAGCCACTAGTGGCGGAGAACTTTGAGAAGGCATCGAACGCCCGCCCGACTACTACCGTCATGAGCGGCGCCACACCGCCTGCGAGGATAGAAAGTGCGATTGCGGGCAGAAGGAGCGCCAGTCGTTGAGCGGGCGAAAGGAAAGAGAAGAAGAGCCATCGGGTGGCATGAATTTCGTTATCCGGAGTCGTAGTCGTTGTTGGAGTCGAAGGAGAGTCGGGGTAGTGAATGAGAAGATCCGTCTCGCTGGCCTCTGAATCTATGGAGGAGCGGAGGGGGAGGTCGTACTCGTTCGCATTGCCGCCGCCAGACATCTCAGAGTCGGGGGGCGAGTGCGCGTCGTTAGGTCGTGAAGAACAGGAGAAGAGCCTTTCATCCTAACCGCGGATGTCGAGACAATGGTCAACATGAGTATGGTCTTGTTTTCGGCGTTGCCTTTTCGGGACACGCGACGCTGGACTGGACAATCTTGTCTTGTTTCACGTCGGAGGGCCCTCATCGGGCGAAAGAAAATGCTCTCGGGACCCATCGCAGAAAATAAAAAAAGCCCTATCATGCTGCGATGGATGCAGAAGACCACTCAATTGTCTCCTACTCGATCGGCTCAGTTCTTGGACCAGCTGAGGGTCAAAACTATAGTACCTGCCCCAGTCACGATCATCGAGTTAAACAAGAGCTCGTGCTATGCGGAGTCGCTCGGTATCCTCAAACTGAGCTATCGTTCATTCATCCTCCGTAACCATTCCAATGTTGGTAAGAGAACCAGATCTATGTCATACGACAAACAACGCTCGGATATATTCCATGCATCCATCCAATCATCCCTCATCAAGTTCGTCATCTCGTATACAAAAGAGAGAGAAATAAGAATATTTAGATCATTGTCTGCTGGCCAATGCAGCCAGCAGTATATCAGTATCAATTTTGGCCGCTGCAAGGTTCCCGATCAGCAAGATATCCCTCGTGCAACATGAGACGACTCACCCTTGAGCACAAGCTGGGTAAACTTGGTTGCAAGAGCGGGTTGCTCCTCCTCCAGTTTCTGCAGATTTTCCTGGCTCAATTTCCAGAGAATCGCAGGGCGCTCGACCACGACTGAGGCGTTTCGCGGCAGATTTGACAGAGCCGACATCTCGCCGGCCAAAGTTCCTGGGACCATCGACTCCTCAATCACCTCCGAATGGTCCGAGAACCTGTAAGAAGCCCGAAGAACCCCATCCTGTATCAGATATATACCATCGGCAGGGTCGTCTTGTCTCCAAAGCACTTGGCCCTCCGGAACAGACATGCGCTCAAAGTAAGAAAGTAAAGGCTGCAACTGTTCGAGGGAAACGTCTTCATATGATGAAAACGCTTTCATGAGGGTGTTATACGGTTCGGCTGCTATGTCTTGAGCGGGTCGGATCTCATTTGCAAAGGTTCTGTGTCCCGCTTCACTCATGTGCGATCTGCGCGGCGAGCCAGCAAAGGATCCCACAAGCACATCCTGATACACTTGTGGAACTTCCCGTCTGCCGGGTAGAGCTAACAGCAGGTCAGATCAAAATCACCGTTTGCGACTGAAAGCACCCACTATATGCAGTCTCCGCTTTCTGGGATCTGAACCAAGCACGCAGATAAGCATTCTCGGTCCCTGGACTCTTTCAGCGACTTTTGTCTCGAAACAGACGTCAAAGAACTCACACTCCATGGCATCATTGAAGGTCGAGAACAACTCAACGCCTTCAGTACCAAGCACATCCGCACTCTCTAACGCCCTCCCAATCGACGACTCAGCTGTAAACCCGCAGAACACCAAGGTGATGTATTTCGCCGACAGCAGGCGCTGCACCCGGACCAGAGCTTCGGCAGAAGACATGTCAACGCCGCCGACCAGGGTGAGATCGAGAACAAGGAAACGGATAGGATTCTGCTGCCATGAGGGACCCTGCACGATGGCTCGGATTGTTTCCTCAACGTGCGATATGGTTCCGAAGAACAGGAATCCTGACTCTCGGTCAGACTGTATTGAAAGCTAAGACACAGAGGCACAGACCCTGCAGTCGTAAGATGGTTGTCTGCTTAGACACCTCCCTGATATAAGCACGTTGTGAACTGGGTCGTCGGACGGTGGAGATGGCAGTCTCTCCGGTGTGCAAAGCACGGATACTTGCTCTTTGAGAGTTTTGCACCACGAAAAAGAAGCCTGTGTTGGTGTGAGATCGTATCTGCTCGCTTATTACGGACTTACAGCTGACGACAATGCCGAATAAAACACCAATCACAAAGTCCCACACAGTCATGCACACCATGATGCTGACGATCGTGATGTATTCAGATCTGTGTCGGTTTAGTAAGGGCACGGGATGGAAGACTTGGAACAACGGACCTGCTAACACGATGCCGAGTATCCCACAAGGCCTCTTTGCATAAATCGATGCCGAGAACGAAGATTAGCGCGCCAACGACCATCACAGCTAATTCACCTCAAGCATCTGTGGAAGACTGGAAATCGCGAGACTCACGAATGTAAGCGATGGGTCCGGTTCCGATCAACAGCAAAGCCGTTGTCGCTACCGCCAGCAGGAAGCCGGCAACACGCGTCCCGCCTCCCACACGATAAAACCTAGCGATAATACCGTCAGCACAACGGTCAAGTAGACCTCGCGTAGATATCGCACAACAGGGTGTTCACGTAAACCAGGTAGTTGGGGCTATGAGCACGTGTTAAAGTGGAAAGTAACAGCTTCAATGGAACGACGCACACCGTGCCTAAGATACCAGCAAAAAAGTTGGAATACCCATGGGCGACCAGCTCCTTGTCTGTGTCAACATCTTCATTCAATGATACCGCTGGGATAAGATCAGATATCCGCATGAAAAGCTCAAAGGGAAGACTGACAGAGGGCCGGAACGTTCAAAGGAGGATGCAAGATGTTGAAAAACAGCCTGGAAAGGCATCAGAAGTGTGATGATCCAGGAGACGCAAACCGCACAACGCAAACTGAGTCGGCATCGTAGCCCACAGAGGGCCAAACTGCACCTTGCTGAAGTCTACCGGCATCTTAACATCAGCTGCAGACGCGAATAAGCACCAGCAACGCACCCAGGTAGTCATAGAACTTGTACCAATGCTCCTCCTTGGCATTCTCCGCCATATCGAAGATCCACCCAGATTCACGGAGCTCACCGAGGTTGAGCTGAGCCGCCGCGACAATCACATAGAACAGCATCGGAATAGCGATAAAATCTGCGTCGTACCTGAGCTGGAGATTCTAGAACTGGGCGAAACACATACAAAGCGGGAACACGAGCTGATGTCTCCACTTCAGACCTTCTGTCACGAAACGTAACAAAATAGCCAAGGCCAGAGGGATGGTCCAAAGAGCGAGGCCGTGTCTATCCAAGAACACCAATTTGAAAGTCTCCCATGTCAGAGTAAATTCGTCCTCAGGAATTCTCAGCGACACGGTCAGCCTGACAGTTGAACATGAGAATTCCTCGCACGGACAAAAAATAAACGAATCGAACCCAGTTTCCAACAGAAAAGCGCCAACACCGCCGATACATCCCACCAGAATATGACGAGGGAAGAATCCGATGAGTACCCCCAATTTGAGGTAACCAAGAAGGAAGAATGATAGACCTGTAGGATCGTTCAAATTCCAAGTGCCGCAGATAAAGATCGAGCCCACCGGTAAGAACTGAACTCAAAGCATAGGCGACAAGCGTTGTCGCGATAATTTCCTCCGGATTCTCCAGACCAATTTCGCCTGCGATCGTCGCTGCCAAGATGTGGAAGAACGGCTAACGAAGATGAATCACTTTCCCTGATGGTCTGGAAAAATAATGAACATACCACGACTTCGATCATCATACTGCCATTGGCACCGGCAAAGCCACTGGCACCGAATGTGTAGATCACTTGCGCAATCACGCACGACACGAAAAACATCGAGACCCCCATGGGACCGAGATCTCCGAAGGGTGGGGTTGTAGGGAAAATGATCATTCCGTATGATACCCCGTCCAAGATGTTGAGAAGGCACCCCAAGATGACCGCAGGGACTGCGTGGACAGCCTGTCTGGCCGTCGTTGCAGCTAGACTCCGCCATGTCTTCAGATTCCGCACTTTCGGCGGCGACGCAAGTAGCGGCGTCTGCTCTGTAGGTTCAAGATTCGGTTCCGGCCGTGGTGGTGACGGTGAGAGCGATGTCCGTGGAGTTGCAATGGGGACCGGATCGTTCCGCGCAAACTCTACTTCGTCATTGGGCGTCGGCGAGGTGGACGTGTCATGGGTCGGACGCAGTAAAGACAGGGCTGACGGTCGGGTCGTTTGATTGGTTGGGGTGACTGAACCGCTCCGCAGCACAGGAAGGACGGAGAGCGTGCCCGATTGAGGGGATGAGGCAGGCAGGAGATCCCGTCCAGGCCTACCTGCTGGGGGCGAATACATGTCCATGCCGCTCAACTCCATCGTGTTTTGGCGAATGGAGTCCTGCGAATGCGGGGTGAAGTGCGCCACAGACATCGGTGTTCCAAAGATGCCAGATGACCCGGACGAGTACGCGTCAGGCGAGGGAATGGCGGGGGCTGGATGGAATGATCGCGGTTGTAAAAGCCTGTCGTTTCATATGAATATGGGCGAGCGATGCTATAACTATTGCGCGACTGCGCGCAACTGACCCAGCTCTACGTAATGAGGACTCCTTCTGAGGCACGCGCTGGAATCCTACAGCTGTGACAGGGCTTTGCGAGGACCGTGCGTGATCAGTTTCGGACATGGCTTCGCTTGGGACCATGTCTCCCGTACCACGGGAGTCAGGGGTTGTCATCCTTGCCTGGATCAGGGCTGGGGAACTAGCGGACCGATCGACCGGTTAGGCAGCGAGCTATGGCGTAAGAAAGCGACGGGTCTTGCCCAGTTGAGATATAAATGGTCGCGGTTCGAAAGAGACGGAGGCAAAAATCCTCTTGCCCAGACGGATCTCCAATTGTAGACGTCATGGTCTTTACGCGGTTGTCACGGCTAGGTCACGCGGCTGCCTTCTGATCTCGACTGCATCCCTCCCGACAAAATGTCCAACACTATAGCCTTGCACGTTGCTCTGTCCTTCCTTCTCGCGCTCTGCTCACATAACACCATTTAGATATCCGCTCTCTAACTTCACGTTCAGGTATACATCTCGCGTCAGATGTCGTCACGTTCGCGTCCCAGCTGACCATCACGAAGTACCAAGGATGCCCAACCGGAGGAGGATCCGTCGGTCTCGGCGCGTTTACAGCGTCTGCAGAACAATTATGAAGATTTCGGCATGCGGCGGACGGTAGAGGGAATCCTCGTTGTGCACGACCATGGGCACCCGCACATACTCATGCTACAAATCGCGAATGCCTTCTTCAAACTGTTCGTGCGCGGTTAATGCGATTGACTGCTACTTCATTTCGCTAATTTAATGGCGCAGACCTGGTGACTACCTGCTTCCCGGAGAGGACGAAATCAGTGGGATGAAAAAACGTCTGGATGACCGCCTCGCAGCACCGCCATCCTTGGGGCTCGACGACGGTGCCGAATGGGAAATCGGAGATTGTCTCGCGCAATGGTGGAGACCCAACTTTGAAACGTTCATGGTGCGTCACTTACCAACGTTCGTTTTCATTGTTGTTCGCCTGCGGTGTTCTTACCGCGCACCGCGTTAACGGCGGACGAAGATCCGGTTGCGATGCTCGTTCTTTCTCTAGCGCCTTCTGTTCCGTTCCCTTCTTATGTAGGCTTACGCTGCTCCAGTACCCGTTCGTACCAGCCCACATCACCAAGCCGAAAGAGTGCAAGAAACTCTTTCTGGTGCACATGCCCGAGAAGAGTGGGTTCCCCGGAAGCTCCTCACCCGACAGCTAGCTGACGCCATCACAGAGGTCCTTGCTGTTCCCAAAAACATGAAGCTTCTTGCTATCCCGTTGTTCGAGCTGTACGACAATGCTGCACGGTATGGACCCCAGCTTTCCGCCATTCCGCACCTTCTTTCGAGGTACAATTTCATTTATCAATGAATGGCTTCGTTTCTTTTCGCCTTCATGGGGCATGTCGTCGATAATGGTATGTGTAATAATAATGTTGTGATTGCTGTTGCTCTGTTGCTGAAGTGTTACTATACGTCATGTGCTTTAAGACGCGGTCACGTGACGGCCGTGATATGGAATAATTCAATAGAACTCGTATAGATCCTTACCGTTCGAAGATTCGTTGGAGAACTGCTTGAGCTTCTCGTCGGCCGTATATCCGATCCTATTCTGGTAAGAGATGGCCTGTCTTCACTAACATTTTGCTGGTATCCCCGATGGCATGGCGAATGACCCCTCTGGTGCAGCTGGAGCTCTGCAGTGTTCGTCACATGCTGGTCCGCAGTCCGTCGTTCCATAGCACTATTTACACGCATATGGTCTGATCCCGAATCAATCGGACCAGGTTCTACTGCCAGATATCTTCAAGGCGGCAGCCCTCAGGCTCTGCTTCGTAGTTCTCAATAGCCTCAGAGCGAGGGACTCAGTTCCCGTGACGGATGATAGCAAAGAGATTATGGCCAAATGTTCTGTTGTTGAGAGCAGACATAAGCGAATTTCGCACGGTTCAAACATATCTACCCATGGAATATTGCTCCCTCATTAGACCAAACCATGGATCTTCGCAAACGGGTCGTCGTTTTGGGTGACTTCTGGTATTTCGACCAGTCCTCGAATTTCGTCCGCGATTCTCTTGTTGGTGAGATGCTCGAGCAACGCAAGAGCCATGTCGGAGCCTGGTAAGATCGTCAAGCACCACTCGCCAGTATACGATGTGTCTGAATCTTGACGCACCTGCGGTCACCCCTGAGCTAGTCCACACATTCCCATCAATGACCCATCGAGCTTGTGGGACCCAGTCGATGTCCTTGGGAGAGACAGCCTAGTATTGCTCAGATTATTGGCCAAAACTGCGTTCTTTCCGCGCACCTGGATCAGCTTGAATAACTTTTTATTTGTCGTCGCCCTCTTCCCAGACAAAACGCCGGCAACTGCAAGCTGATGTGCGCCAGTGCATACAGACATCACATACTTGGCTTTAGGCGCCTGTTGTGCGATGAATGCGATCTCATCCTGAGGGAAGTTGTCCTTTCCAGTCGCAACATCGGGCAGTGGACCTGGAAACCAGTTCAGTAAGATCTCGTCAACAGATATTCTTTCGATCTCACCCGCAGGCACCCAGAGGATATCGAACTGCTTCTTGTTTTCCATCGCCTCTTTATAGGTCATCGTGGGCAGGATTTTGACTGTGACTTGACCGGTTGCAAGTGCAGAGACGGGGTCCATTGTCGGAGACAAATAATCAACTGCAACACGGTAGGGCACATCGCCCATGGCTTCTCCCAGGAAAGGATCATCCCCCAGATTCAAGCCGCCGAGAATATCCATGGGACAGACAAAGTCTGAAAGGGTGACATCTTTGGAGGTGCAGACTGCAACGCTGAGTGTTTCAGGCATGCTAGATGGTGACTTAGGTTTCGGAGTGCAGTCTTCGACTTATATACTCGACGAGTCCTCACGCAACTCGGGCCGTCGGTCTTGGAGCGGGTGATATGGACTGCGCCGCAGTCGCCGATAGCTACCACTGCTTCTCTATCAACCCCTTGAGGGCCGGTCAAACCGCTATCAATGTTGTTCAACCGAGAACAAGATCAAGGAAATTCGAGAAGCAAACAAGTCATCATATACATGTTGCATTGACATTTGCACTTGGATTTCTCGTTGCACGATCTGCAACAGATAATCTACACAACGGTATTACTTGCCGATTCTACTCTGGAGGCCTACGCTCTTATGGGCCGTGGTGCATGGAGGGCTCCCTGGCAGCTTACAAGGATCAGCGACACGCATTTCTCGTAAACCACTCAGAAGTACAGCAAGTTCCCAAGAGCCTGTAGAAGAGGACCCCGGCTCATCAGAATGGGACGACGGGCATTGCACCCCGCACTTCTCCCGAACTGCTGTGCGATAATCGCTTGAGATCATTGCTGGCCAATAGTAGACGGTGTCAAAGAAATCCATCGCACCATCTGCTTCTGCGCACATATGTGGACTACTGGTTTTGAGGTGTCGGAGATGATTGCACATTGTGACCATGCTGATCTTGACGTCTCCAATATTCAGAGCAAGTAGATGTCCAACAAACGTATATCGCGGTAGAAGCGCAGCAGCTCAAAGCGCATAGATCCGAATGCTATCGCGCTGCGAACCAATCCAACGCGCTTTCAGCATCTATAGTGAGCTCTGAATTCGCCTGATTAAACTACTGTAATAGCTTTTTCCGCAACGGAAACAACTATTCCACATCACTATCCTGTTCCGTCTTCGCAGGGCTTACCGCCAGTCCCAGACCACTCGGTCGTCGTCCTCCATGCCCAACACCAAGCCCGAGCATATACACCCCCGAGATAGTTCGTTGCCGAGTGCCAGGGGAAAGCATTGTCGGGACTTGCTGAGGAATGTAGGAAGGCATCGGAACGCGCAATCCCAGGCTTTCAAACGGATTACTTGTCTCTCTTTTCAAACTCGACCGGAGACTTGATGAGGAATGGCGTAAGCGCGGAGTTGTCATCACATTTCCGAAGGTGGGGGATTCCGAGTACACGGGCGACGGGGGTGACTCGGGGCTTCGATGCAGCCAAGAAGTCCATCGTCCCCCACCTTCAGACTTTTCCGGCGGGGGTGTCGACTCGGAGCTTGTAGATGGCGGTGCATAGATTGCCTGTTTGACGATAGCCACATCGTGTTCCACATCTTCAAGTTTGCGCTGAAAGGCTAACAGGGCTTTGGCGTCTCGTTCGACAAATGCTTCGATCTGCCGTTCGATGTTGCCTATCTCCTCCGAGTTTTCCAACGATACGACCTCTCCAGATGCTGGCAGCAGCACCATCGTTTGCCAGCCTCGGGCGAGTACACGACCGTCCGCAACGCAGATCTCCAGTTCCACTCTCGCATCTTCCGTATAGTCATGCAACCGCTCGACAGCACTGCGGAGAACCCCGTCAGCTGAAGGAGGTTCAAGTGCCGCTCGCAGCTCTTGGAGGACCAGATGGCAGTCTCGGAAAGCGCGTTGAAGAGCATCATAGCGCTGGCTTGCTGCTTCCAGATCGTCAAGCAGTGGATTCTGAGGCGCTGGATGGGAGAGGATCGGGAAGGCGATTCCACCAGTTTCTGGTATCAATTCCGGTGTAACAATTGTACTAGGTTCCACATCCGGATCGGAGAGGACGGGGAATGAAAGTTTGTTCACCATCGATACCGGCTCTGGTATGTCAGCCACGATGCGCACCTCGTCCGCAGTGATTTCGGCGACGGCAAGGGGCTCAGGGGAATCGACGAAAACGTCCTGAAGCCCGTCGGCTGGTTCTTGAGCCAAAAACTCGGGACTTTCGGCGGTGAACACAGCAGGTGGAACAGCAGATTCAACAACAATTGGCGTAGCAGGTTTATCTGGAGAGTCCGCTTCATCAGGTTGAGTTGGAGACGAGGAGAGGTCTGGCTCTGGCTGGGGCTGGGGTTCAGGCTGGGGTTCAGGCTTCGGTTCGATAGATATGATTGTATCGGGTGAAAGATCCGCATTGCTGGTGGAAGGAGCGACAGAAGGCTGGATTATGTTCGGCACAGATCCATCCTCCCGTCGCTCATCCACCATTCGTTCAGCAGCGACTCTCCTTCGAACCTCTCCGTCCAGTTCAGAAGCCATCATCTCAATGGCGTTCTCGAGTAAAAGCATCCGCCCCTCGGTTCCAGCATGAGGTGATGAATTCGAATCACCCGCATCGAGCACTTTCAAGACATCGCGAACATCCGAGACCAGACGCAGCAGCGACTTTGTTTGCGGTAGATCCGGATCCGATTCTGGCAGATGTGTCTCGGCGCGGCCGATAGCAGACCGTAAACTCTCTACGGCGCGTTCTTCTCGTCCGACAACTTTCATGCGCACAGCAACTTCGCGTCGCCGGCCAACTGTCTCGCGGACCAGGGCGCCCCCCGCTTCGTCCAGTGCATCTCGCAGGCGCTGAACATCAGACTGGGCGAGCTGGAGCTGTGACTGTGTCGCAGAAAGTGTGCCCTGAAGGGTAGAGAGCGTGGCTTCGTGTCGAGAACGAAGAGATTTGAGAGAATCGTGCAAGGAAGACGTGGTCTGTTGCGTGAATTTCCTGATCTCGTATATGAATTTGGAATGGTTGAAAGGATGCTCCGCACACACTCACATGTACCGCTCGACCATTCCGGCTGCGCTGCGATCGTCGACTAAAGACTGGATAGCAGAGAACTTGGAGCGTGCGAGCTCTGTTCCCAATTCTGAATTGAGAGTCTTGGAAGCTGCGAGTTCAGCGTTTGCCACATCGCGCTCATTTTCGATGACAGCAATGCGTGCTTCAAGGGCGACGATCTGCTGCGAGAACTCCGAAGTCAACCCCTCCAATTGCGCCTTTCCCTTGTTCAACGTATCCCTTGCCGCCGATTCTCCATCATCAAAACCGGTCGCCGACGGTGCTGGACTCCTCCCGCCATCAACCGTCATGCTGCGCACCAACGCAGCATACTCAGTGACCACTCGATCAACCAATTTGGTCTCTTCTCTCGCTTGCACGACCTGCCGTTCGAGTGCCTGGCTACGAACTCGTTCTTCCTCTTCCCGTCCACGAGCCCGCGCAGCAAGCGCATACGCTTCCCCAGCAGCCCGTGTGCTCTGTGCGGCCACCGTATTCTTCTCCGCCAACGTCCGGGTATGTTCTTCTAGCGCCGACTCGGTGAGAGACAGCTTGGCATTGAGTCGCCGCAGGGAGAGCGTTAACTCCGCGACGGTCTCTTGATTCCGGTCATCTCCCGGATACGAGGCAGAGCCGGATGTGTCCCGGAATACCCCAAGTTCAGTCCGCAATAACGCATTCTCGTCCTCGAGATGAGCAACACGATCCGTCAGTGCCGACGTGTCCAGGGCATGTCGCTGGAGCTTGATCGACGCAGCATGCGCTTCGTTCTGTCAAAAGAACACGTTCTTCTTAATAAAATCACCCTCCGTCGCAAGAGGAAACGCGAATGCGAGACGCACCTGGAAACGGGTGGCGGCCGTGCGCAGGCTGACGAGCTCTTCGGCCAAGGGGTGTGAAGGATGCAACGCAAGACTGCCGTTCATTCCCGCTTTTTCGGTCCCATTCATGACCTAAGCCCCGTGATAGAACGAGCGGAGGAAGAAAAGACGATCCGGGAAGCAAGTTTTGAGTTACGGGGAAAGAGCAAGTGTATATCATTGTTACGTAACATGCTGCTAATCGTACAGCCACTGGTGCCTAATTTCTTATAGGCCAGCCTGCAATTGCTTCAAGACCTGCTGAAAGCGCGAAGACCACCATCCACGTTCTTCTCTCTCTTGATTTTGATGGTTTGTATCTTTCGGTCCGCTTTGTTGACAAATGAGCGACGGACTCTTCGGGAACATGGGTTTGTGTGAGGGCTCGACATTGGCGACGTAAGCTTTGGGAACAGACAGCGAGAGTATAGAAGACTTGAGAGACTCTTGAAGAGCAGGAATCCAAGCGTCACGAAAGGTTGCATCGGATGTTCGAGCAACACCGAGTCGCAACGTTTTGACGCGATCTTGATTTGAGGTCATCACATCCAGCGACAGGACCGCTGTAATGCATGAAGCATGCATCTGGCCAAAGCTCTTGACTCTCTCACCATTTTTCTCGTCTTCAGAGAGCCCCATCACTTTCGCAAGTCCAACATCCTCAATAGGTCGCCAGTCATGTCGTCCGTGGAGCTTCGTAATCAAAACACAGTCCGAGAAGACAAAGACTTGCAGAACGTTGGCAACTTCTTCGTGTTGATTTTTTGTCGATATCTTGAGTCCGCCTTCCTGATCATGATGCCGAACAGAGAGATACGGAGACACCGGCTCCGTCGAAGCCGTTCCCATTGTTTCAGCAGACTTGAATGAGCTCGATCTTGATTTCCGCTCGTCCCAAACATGGATAGCGTCTACAAGCTTGCTGGATCTGCCTCTTGCGTTCTTGCGGTTCTGGGTCGAATCTTCCTGAAGTTGAACCAATTGGCCATGATGCAGCAGTCGGCGGGAGCGGTTCACCAAATCAAAGCTCGGCGGCAAATTGCTGATTCCATGCAAGGCGGCCTTCATAGTATCGTAATCGTCTTCCTGCAACTTCACTTGGGTCATCGCCTTGATCATCAGCTCAGTCATGTGCACAAGAACGAAAGTCGCTAGATAGTCTGGGTGCGTTTTGGGAGTAACCTCCAAAATGCTCTGCAAGAGGCAATGAGTGAGAACCTGACGAAGACTCTGCGCTTACCCGGAACAACGTCGTGTAATGAGCTAGCCGCGTAACAGGCTCAGCCAGTAGGCCCTCGAGGCTGTCACCTCGACAACCCTCGACGCTTTCTTGTAATCTGACAAACTCTCCGAAGTCGCTCGCGGCCTGGGCCACGAACTCCGCAATCTTGGCCGCAACCGGAACCAGACGAGCCAGATACGGCTGGTAGACTTCCAGTCGAACAATCAAGCTGTCTTGAACGCAATCTCCGATACACTGGACAGGATACGTGGTCTCCAGAGTTCGGCGTAACACGAGAAGAAACTGATTGTGAAGATTATAGATGTCTTCGAGCCAGTCGAAGAGTCTGCCGATCTCGGGTGGAACGCCGGAAACGTAGGATTTCGAGTCCTGCATCCGGAGTGGCAATACGAACAGGTCGATGGTATTCGCGAGCCGGGTGACAAATGCCTCCTCAGTGGTGAACAATTCGTGAATGATGTCCTGGCGCTCAGACTCCATCGCATCGGGCGGCGAGTTTTCTTGTCCCTCGGGCGATTGATGGATGGACCTCCAGGATTGTGCGATCTGTGCAGCGGCAGATCGTCTGCCACTCGCATGTGGATCGGACTGAGAAAGCGGAACATCGTCGTCGTCGTAAACTGAAGAAGCGCTCGAACTGGGTGTCAAAGCAGCAGGCGCCACATTCTCTTGAATCCATCCGTCACGAGTTGGATCAATTCGTCGACCGCTCAACGTCCTGAACAGTTTTTCCGCACCCATACTCAAGTGACCCGCTCTCCCGACTTCTTCCCACTGAGCTTTGCCAACTCTTGCGAGTGAGGAGCCGCTGTCCATATACGAGAGCCGCTGGTTCCGCGCCTCGCAGGATTCGGACGGCGGGAGACCGAGGACTTCTCTCTCCTTGGCTTCTTCGTATCGAGACTTGAGCGCGAGTCGCACAGCATCAGAGTTGGCCAGGATGTCTGAGTCTCGCATAATCCGATGTGCAGGCTGCAAGCGCTCAGGTACTCCAGCACCTCCATGCCAATCCTGGGGTTCGTCGTACACAGATTCAGGAGACTGCTGATGGGGCTGAGCGCCGGCACGGCCTGAGCGGTGATACATGTCATTCAAGCCCGAATCGGCGTCCCGGGAAGGGCGCTCTGAGGATCGGAGTGCAGGAGAAGGGGTGTTGCTATTCTTGCGTTCCCGTGATTGCCGCTTGGACTGAGGGGGTGAATGAGGAACGGGCGAAGAGGACTTACTGCGTCGCCAGGCCGCAGGTACATCTTGCTGGTGGATGTTATTATTTTGGCCGCTGGACGACGATACCATAACAAGCGGAGGTTGCGTATTCCTCGATCGCTCGCACCAGGGCGGGTCGGATTTTCCATAATGTTGCTGATTGACGACACCATAGTCTTGCGCATACTGATGTTCCAGGTTTTGGACAATCCCGATGAGCTCTCTTCGCCGTCGTTCCGCAGGGTCTTCGCCATAACGGTCTGGAGCGTTCAGCCCATTCAACCGAGGTCGCAACTGAGATGTGGTAAACCGCGATCCGAAAGATGGGTCATCTAGACCAAGGCCCAAACCAACTGGAACAGCAGGTTCCGGCTCACTCAGTTCGCTCTCGCTGCTGGAGGTAATGGGTGCGCCAGTTCCATTCGTGACTCTGAGCGAACGACGATCTCGAGCTTCTATCTCGTATCGAAGTTCAAGATCGGACGAGGATTCTTCTCCGAGCTGTTGGGAGCACGCCGGACGGGGCGTAGAATGCACTGTGCGGCATCCTTTGGGGCGGGGAATACTGCTAGAACCGTCGGGATGGAACTTTGAGCGATGGCCGGGGACCGGGGTCTGAGGTGTATGAACACGCGGAATTGAGCCGAGTTGGTTCGCCGTCCCGGGATCAGTTTTAGAACGCTGTCGGTCGCGTTTAGGCTTTACTTGATTATCCAAGAGCGCGCACTTGGCGGACATCAGCAATGATTTCCTATGACCAAGAAACACAAAGTACCTCGGATGGAGTGGAGCCCATGCGCTCGAACTTGTCGTTCGACCTGGTCGTGGGCGTGTGGACTTTTGGTGGCCGAGGAGCCAACTGCAGCTTCGGTGTGGGAGCGCGCAAAGCAGATTTGAGAGCCTTCGGAGTGGCGGAGCCGGCGGGATGCGGAGATGTTGCAGGTGTCACATGTGAGTCGTGGGACGCAACAGAATCTTGACGGGACAGAGTCTCGACCTCCAATTTCGAGGCAGGCGTCCTCGTCATGCGATCGATAGTATCCCGCAGGGAAGGCAACAGATGGGTCTCAACTTGCGGTAGGTTCATCATTTGTCCTTCTCTTCCGACTCTGGAGCCACTCTTTACATTTGTCACCCCGCCTCGTCCCCTCGAGTTGCCGGGTCCGCTGCCCCGCGTTCCGCCACAAGGAATCGCCATGGAGAAGCGTCTATTCTGCGGCTCCAGCGGGCGGGAGCGGCTGCCGAATTCGAAAGAGGAGTCAGAATCCTTGGAAGCGATGGGCATGAAGACCGAGTTTCGGGGGAACTCCCTTTCCATCGACGTTCCGGATGCTTGTGTCTGCTCGGATACCGGGCTCGTGTTGACGTGCACGTATTTCGAGTCTTTAGTTTTCCCGTGGTCTACGCGAGCCGGCGGGCGAGGAATCAGGCCACCTGCTTCCGCGTAATGAGAAGGAGGAAGGAAGGTGGATGGACGCGGACTGGGCGGGAGCGGAGAGCGGGACTTGCTGCGGCTCCCGCCGGATCGAGGGCTATGCATATTCTTGCAAATTTCGCTTTCGGGACGCGCCGACGGCCGATCTGGAGGTGGAAATTTCAGATTTGGCGGTGGTCAATCGCGAGAGTTGATCCCAGTCCAAATGAGATGCGCTGCGGGTGTTGATCCGATCGTAGCTCGTTACGTAACTCGAAAAGAGTTGCGTCCGTTTCCTACATTTTGACGCAACTTAGACTCCATTCATTGTTCTAAGATCCTCTCGAGCTGCAATGCGACCGAAAACCTATCGTTCATGGGCTCAATCGTCAGTGACTATGGCTATCACTGCGGATCCCCTTCTAGTGCTCGAAGTTGAAGCGTGTTATGACTGCTCAAGCGCTAATAGCCAACCTCAACTTCACTGAAATGGCATGAATGTTCTGCTTCCTCACTCGCTCTCGCAGATTCTCGCATTCAAAGGCCTAATCAATCTCAATATGCGATGGTGTGCCAGAGACGCGAAATTACGGTACACGGAAACAAGCTGCACACAACCCGATCTCATCAGAGGGACCCACCCCTAAAGAAGTGAAATGAGAATGCGGTCCGGGAAACATTTGATTCTGTCCCCTCATCTGCTTTTATGCGGTGTCACTCTGCTTCGACAATTTCTCTCGATCAAAGCACATATGTAATCATGCATGTCCCACAATCATTTATGATTTTCTTGGTATTCATCTTCCCCTCTAGTAACAGGGGCTGTCCGCAAGAGGGGGATGACATGGAGTCTCCACGTTCTTCACTCAACTTTCACCACCCTTAAAAGCGCAGGCGAAGTCGAGCGCCGCTGTCCTATCTTTTCCGACTCGAATGATGTTAACCCTTCCTGTCCTTTGTGTTCTTCTCGGTCTCGTCTCTTCCGTTCTATCCTCCGTTTCCACTCGTGTGATTTCTTTGGACATCGATGGGGGCCCTGTCGGCTTCCAGCCAGCTGTGAAGAGAGTTGCCCAAGCTGTGCCAGGTTCCGTTATCGCACGCAGCTCTCTCACTAACGCCCAGAGACTGGCTCGTGGTCTCCCTCCTTTGCCGCCGAGCCGACGGCGAAGCGGGCAAGGTGAGCATCAGTGTCCTATTTCACGCATATCTGACCCGTGCACCGCCAGCGGCCAAAGCTCGTCGCTCAAATTCTCCACCGGTCTCGTGCGTTTGCTGCAGCGGCAACTGAATATCACGCTGACGCCGCTGCAGAAGGAGTGGCATCATAGCTGTCTCGGGTCCAGGTGTTCAGGGTTACCTAACGCAGGGGCAAAACCAATTCCAACACTTTGGCGTCTCCTCGTCGAAGACGAATGCGTTCACCGTGACGATCAACGTCGATCCATCGGTTCTATCAGCTTCTGAAATGGACATTGGTGTTGCTGTCGGCACTGGATTCCCGCTCATGGGGGCCACCTTTGGCGTGTTGAGTGAAGGTACCGCCAACAGTCTTGCGGTGGGAAGCTTCAAGTGAGTGGCTTCTTACGACATCTTATTCCTGTTTTGCTGAACGTGTTTCAGTTACGCTTACATCCAGAGCACTTCCCACAGTACGCCACGACAATTGAGGTGTTGCTTATTTGCTTACATGCTGACCCAGCGGACCCTGGTTCAACTCCGCAATATGTTGGCTCGTCATATCCTACCAGCGAGCCATCCGAATCAGCCATCGTGAGTGTCTCCAGACACGAGTCTCAGGTTCTGCTGATTTCAAGATAGTGGACCTATAATGCGGTGACCAACACCCTTTCTCCGCAATGGATTAATCCAGATGGATGTAAGCAAGCGTCCACACAGACCAAGTTTGCTCTAACATGCCATCCAGCCCAACCTGCCACCGTCCTTGCTTATGTCGGATCTTCGAATGCCATCATCATCACTGGCGACTACGCCGCTTTCAGTGGATCCTTTGCTACTACATCTGGACCGGTGGTACGTCTGAATCCACTTCCATCGCATCGCTCCCTGAATGATCTCCCCAAGACCTTTACTTTTCAGCCATCTGCGTGAATAATACATGATTGGATACCCAAATTTATCGTACGCTTGTATCTGGGGGATATTTTATGTATACACGCGCAATCAGATCTTGGACAGTGACACAGTGACCAGATTGTCGTTCCGTGTGAGGCTCACATTCACCCTCTCAAGTTACTGTCAGGGATGACCGGATTTCACCCAATCGTCGATCATCGACAGCCGGGTTGGAGCTGCGCTGCACCACCGCCTGCGCATGTGCTAAGTGTAGGCGGCGATTTCGCAGCTGCGAGGCAACTACGCCGTTGGTATCCGGGGCATCATACGCGAGCGTTGAAGTCCTGCTAATACTACCGCATAGCAGAAATTCTCTGCCAGCTGTTTTTTCTGCTCCCCAGACTCTCCGTGGTCGACGTCTTGCCGCGTCGTTCTCTCGCAAGTTGTCACGTGTCATCGTGGATTTCAATGTCCGAAACGACGTCTCCCCCGTCACACTGCGCCCTCACTACTACGTGGCTTTTCTCATGTCAACGATGCTTCATGACAATGAAGCCTCCTCATCATCGGAGGCTTGACCTGCTTCCAACGTTCTGTCGTAATCGGCCGATTTCTGTTCTACATGAAAAACTGGGATTTCGCATCGAACTTGGCGCCGCCAGTCTTGATCATACCACTCGATGGGCTTCCGACGTTGTATTTCTCCCGCCCCAAGATTACTAGGACTAGATCTATTCAACGGGACCTCTGGACTGGAGAGAATGATCGATGCGCTGTGAGCCGTAGATACAGTCGCTTTGAATAAAGGGACAATGCGCAACTCAAAGCACCCTCGGCGCTTTGGACTCGCTCTCGATTGCTACTTAAGGCATGCCCTGGTTCTGTCGTCGAAATTAATTATCAGCCCAGTCGTCGTCATGGACCATCAGCTCGGCACCGCGCGGCCCGTCTTCCACTTGTTGCCGCACGACCTGCTCTACGACTTGTTCCTCCTCAGTATCAAGTCGAACAAAGACCATCAAGTCCCACTTGTTCTGTCGCAAGTCTGCAGATCCTGGCGGGATGCCGCGCTGGGATCCCCTCTTCTCTGGACCCGAGTATTCCTCCAGGCCAAGAGCCCAGGGGGATCGCACTACCGCACTGAGCTCTACCTGCAGCGTTCTCGCGGCCTTTCCCTTTCGTTTCGTCTACAGGTCCATCGACTGTTGACCGTTCGAGAGGAGGCAATTATCTGTGAATATGCTCCGCAGATGAAGAAGTTCAGCATCTCGTCGCTTGATTATGACATTGCTCTGGACGCAATCGCCAGCCTCTTCTGGATCCAATTCCCTGCCATGCGGCTCTTCCATGTCGCTGTCCACAAGGCACTCGAGATTGTTGTAGTGCGCAAAAGCTCGGCGGGTCACAACGCTCCATTCAGTTTCCCGTGTCCTATCGGTTCGAGCTTCAGATGGGGAAGATGGGGTACCCACAACGTCTCCACACTCATCTTGAAGGGACTAGTCCACGACCGGCCGACTTTGAAACAGATGTGTGACCTGTTGATCACCTGCTCCCAGACACTATGCCATCTGGACTACGAAGGATGGGCTCCTCTTGAGGATAGCGAACCCGAGGAACGCACAGTTACCCTCCCGGTCCTCCGGAATTTGCGCCTGGCCTTCATCGACGATATCGCCGCGCTGGCTTCGTGCATAGTGGCCCCGGCACTCCTCAACTTCACGCTCCACGATGTGCTGTTTTGCCCCACCCTGCTGCCTGTGGTGGACCGTCGAGCTGCGACGTTGCGAGACGAGATAGCGGCAGTTTTCGATTCATTAGGTCGCTCCAGCTGCACCACTGTCACGAGATTGCGCCTCGTGGGGCTCGGGCATTGCCAACGCTCCGACGTGGACACCTTTTTTGACCGGATGCCCAATCTCACTGACCTAGAGATCTCGCTGTGCGACCGCGTCTACCAGGAAGCACTGTTCCAACCCGAATCCTGTTTTCGTCTGCCCCGGATCGTGTTCCCCATTCTCTCATCTTTGACGACTACCCTCGTTCGACCCACGGATCTCGCGCGCTTCCTGTTGCGACACAAAACCCTGGCATCAGCAGTAAAGCCGTTGAAGAAGCTCGACGTTACGCAAAAACAGATTGCTGATGCCTACGCTCGCCCCGGAATTTGCTCAATTCTGGCAGTGGTACTGGAGATGAGTCGTAAAGAGGGAATGTTGGTGTCGGCCACCCAGGATCCGCGCATTTATGTAGTCGAATATTGAACGATTCATCTATGCATGACGAGATGTATTTTAAGCCGCCGTGAAGCCCGCTTCCTTCAATTTTGCAACAAGCTCATCCACGCTCTGTACTTTTCCTCCTCCGACTCGTACTGGTGGTTCAGTCACCTTGATAGTTTCCAGCCGTGGCGTGAAGTCCACTCCAATGTCAGCCGCAGTGAGCTTTTCGATAGGTTTCTTCTTGGCTTTCATGATATTGGGGAGAGATGCGTAGCGTGGCTCTACATGTGAGTTTGAGCTCAAGCTAGACCCAGGAGTACAGCATAACATACCATTCAATCTTGAAAAAGACCGGGCCAGATCAATACGCATGTACGCAGACAGTCCAACCACGGAGACTCACCGCAAATCAGTCGTCACCACCAGAGGAAGTTTGCATCGGATTTCCTCGGACCCTCCGTCAATTTCTCGCAGGACCGTCGCCGATTTGGCCGCAACATCCAACTCGACTTTACTCGCAAACGTCGCCTGACCCCAATCCATCAGTCCTGCAAGCATCTGGCCCGTCTGGCCAGCGTCATCGTCGATGGCTTGCTTCCCCATGATGACCAGATCTACTCCCTCGCTTTCGCGCTGGATTACCGCACGGAGAGCTTTGGCGACACCCAGTGGTTCAGGCGCGGGGTCCGATTCCGGCACCTCAATATGTATCCCGGAGTCGGCTCCCATGGCGAGCGCAGTGCGTATCGTGTCGACGGCCTTTGGAGGGCCAATTGAGACGACTTTGATTGACTTGACTTGGTCCTTGAGTCGCTCTCGCAGTCGAACGGCTTCCTCCACCGCTTCACGGTGTTTGTCAGAACGGAGCGAGAGTACAAGACAGATACGAACCAATCTCATCGAAAGGGTTCTGTTCGGTGAGAATGAGACGAAAGTATAGCGACCAGGAAGCGGGATTGCATTACCATGGAGTGCTTGACATTGAGGTCGACACCGGTTTGTTGTGGATTCACGCGGATTTTCACGGCGTAATCAACAGCACTGTCTTTCGTGAGTAAAGCCTCGTTTATAATTAACATGCAACTCACCGCTTGACTGGGACCAGGATGTTCAAGAAACGTGCTGCTGAGGGACGCATACTTAGTTGCACAGTGGGGAGAACAGAAACACGGGTGATGGTATCGGCTATTCATCGGCCGAGCGGAAACCGGCAAAAGCTTTGTAGGTGCATTTACAGGCGACATAGCACAGAACAATCATATTCGCTAAGTACGTGTGATTTTGAAAAGTTTGATACTACAACTACATCCGGTCTCTCGAGCACAGTTGTGGAGGAATTCGGGTCACCGGAAGGCCGAATCTAGCCAAGGGCTTGGCCAATCCCTACGAAGGGATCGCTGTTTTTCCCAGCTATGGCCCGGCTGACTATTCCTCTCAAGATACATAACATCTTCCGTTCGGCCCCAACAAGTCAGCGAGCGTTGCTGTCCAAAGTAAACGACCTTCGATGCGTCCCGTCGCGTCCCAATGATTGCCAGAAGCCGACTCAAGGCCGGTTTTGACTAGTGTGTGGACGAATTGGCGTAGTAACAGAACGAGCACCGCATGTGGCGTCATTTCAGAATCGCTGCCAGATACGCTGAGGGCTCATCTCCGTAGAAACGCCGTTGTATGCGAGTGCGGCGTTTTAATTGTAGACGAGTGCGGCGTTTCGATTGTAGACGAGGGATGGAAATAGTAGCAGTATATCCGTGTGAAGAGGGTCATGACGTGTTGTCGCCGTGTGTTTGCTCTCCATCGCATTCCTTTCGACTTGTGCCACCATCCGCCCTACAATCATCCTCTTGCTCTGCAGCTCCTCCGTCAGTATGAATCCCAGTGGACCTGTTCACAACGCTTCGGTTAAGTCTATACTGTTATTTGCTGGACAAGGTACCTCTGGCCTTTCCGCTCTTAAATGTCAGGCCCAGGTTGTTTCTGAGACGCCCCTTGGTGCCACGCTTTTGCTTGCATGCTATGAAGCTTTCCATCGGGAGCTCGCTTCCCTCACTTCTCAAGAACTGAGACTCACCGGACTGTCTCGAGAGGACTTCGATGGGTGTAATACAGTACTCTGTCCTGCCCAGAAGTATCTATGGAACCCCATTCTCTCTGGAACCACACTCTTACTTGCTCAGAGTCTGCAATACTTATCTTATATCAAACAATTACATCCTAAACATCCTGAGAAGCTGTTTACTGATGCTCTTGACCGTACTCAGGTTGTCCTTGGATTCTCTTCTGGGCTTTTAGCAGCATGTGTTGCTGCAACATCAAATGATATTGCCACCTACATCTTGCATACTATCCAAGCTTATCAAGTTGCATTCTGGGTTGGTGTTCATGCTCAGTCATATCGTGTCAAAGTCTTGTCTAGTGTCTCTGCATCTGAGTTTCAAAATAAATCTTGGACACTGGTCATCATGGGAGCATCTGAAGATGTTATAGCCTCTGAGATTGATAAATTTTTGGAAGATTTGGTGAGTTTGTTGCAGTATATGTTTCAAGATCTCATCTGTCTCACAGGATTCTAATGTGCTGTCCATTACTGCAGTCTTTAGTAAAACTCGGATTGCAGTGTCAGGTCATCCTGATGTTCTCATAAGATTTGAGCAGAGACTAAGGCCTTTATATACAACACACTGGACCAATGTGGATTCTCTTTATCACTCTTCTGATCATCTCTTGACTTCACAAGCTGTCTTGACTGATCTGCAGAAACACAATGTTTGTTTCCCTACTTATGCAATGGTGAAAGTCCCAATCTACAACTCAAGAACTGGACAAGCTATAAATGGAAATTACGTCTCCACAGCTACTCTTCTTGAATGCATTATTGACTTGATCTTGGTCTATCCTGTTTGCTGGAATCAAGTATTATATTCTGTCTTGGAAGATCTGAGATTCTTGAATTCAAGTTTTATGCTAATCAACTTTGGACCATCTAATGGCCTTTTCAGAGAATTAACTTTGGATTTAAGAGAAATACTTTCAGATACAAGAGATCTGACTAATCTCTCTATCCCCAGTATCTCTTTGCCCAGGCATGATCCTGTAGCCATTGTTGGGATGGCAATCAATATGCCTGGTGCAGAGAACATACATGAACTTTGGGACATTCTCCAAGATGGTCTCAATATGGCCTCAAAGGTTAGTGTTTTTCTTACTTATGTTCCACAATTCTGATTGCTGTATTATACAGATTCCTGAGGAGAGATTCAATATTGCTACTTACACTAGCAATGAACCAGGAACTCGTAGAATGAGAGCTTCACATGGAAACTTTCTGGAGCATGTAGATAATTTTGATGCTGCATTCTTCAATATTAGCCCAAGAGAAGCAATGAGCATGGATCCTCAGCAACGTCTCTTACTTCATGCAGCATACAATGCCTTGGAAGATGCTGGATATACCCCTGATTCAACTTCTACTTGGAGTAGAGAGACCTTTGGGTGTTACTTTGGTGTTGCTACTGGAGACTATGTACATAACCTGCAAGATAACATGGATGTGTATTATAGCACTGGTAAGTTGATTCATTCCCTGAAATTTTGATACTAACTATGCCTAGGAACTTTGCGAGCTTTTTTGAGTGGACGAATCTCTTATATTATGAAATTTGGGGGTCCATCACTTGTGATTGATACTGCATGCTCCTCATCAAATGTTGCTCTCTATCTTGGGGTAAGAGCTCTGATGAACAATGATTGTAAAGCTTGTCTTGTAGGTGGGGTAAATGCAATTTTAAGCCCAGATGTAAGTCATGTCAAGCTTATTCAACATTTATTTACTATCTTATACCAGATGTTCCTGGGTTTGGACCATGGTCACTTCCTTTCCCCTACTGGCCAATGTAAGACATTTGATGCTTCTGCTGATGGCTACTGCCGGGGCGAAGGTGTTGGAGTTTTTGTTCTCAAACAATTGAAGGATGCTCTGATTGAGCATGACCAGATCTATGGAATAATTCGAGGAGCTGAAGTTAATCAGAGTGGTCAAGCTCCAAGCATCACATATCCGCACCAATCTGCTCAGGCATTGCTACTTCAGAACCTTTTGCACAATGCAAATGTTCTTCCTGCAGAAATCAATCTTGTAGAGTGTCATGGTACTGGAACTCAGGCTGGGGATCCAAATGAAGTTACTGCTCTCCGCACAATCTTGGCTGGTTCCTCTTCTCAGAGACAACAGAATAATCCTTTATTTTTCACATCAATTAAAGCCAATATAGGTCACTTGGAAGCTGCTAGTGGTGCTGCAGGATTGGCAAAAATACTTTTGATGTTGAAGTATAAGTTAATACCTCAGCAGATATCTTTGAAAAAGTTGAATCCTCTTATTCGACCATTGGAGAATGATAATATTATCATTAATCAAAGGAATACACACTGGCCTGTTCCAATCCCTGGTTGTCCACGTATGGCAGTCTTGAATAACTTTGGTGCTGCAGGGTCCAATTCTGCTGTACTTATCCAGGAAAATACTCATGTTTTGGGGGACCAGATATCCTCTCCTCCATATCTGTTTGGACTTAGTGCAAAATCTGTGAAAGACTTGGAGAAACTGTCCCAGAAGTATATTGCTTGGATACTTAATGATAGTCAGAAAGGCCATATTTACTTAGGCAATCTATCCTATACAATGACTGCTAGACGATTAATACATCCATATCGCTTTGCTTTCTCTGCTTCATCTATACAGGAAGTAGTTCACAACTTGGGAAACATGAAGACTGAAGTACAGTGCCTCTCACCACACTCTATAGTATATATGTTTTCTGGTCATGGTATGCACTACCCTGGTATGGGGAAAGACTTGTATAAATTATTCCCTGTTTTTCAAGCAAGTATTGACAACAGTGAAAATATTCTCAAAGATTATGGGTTTGAGAGCATCCTTCCTCTCTTGCTGAACAACACTGTCAGCAATGCAGATGATATCAGATCATCTCATACTGCAGTATTTGCTTTGGAGTGTGGTCTTGCTGAGCTGTGGCAGTCCTGGGGAATCGTACCACATGCTGTTGTTGGTCATAGGTAGGTGTAAAATATATATAATCAAGTAAAAACAATACTGATCTTTATTTTTTTTCTAGCCTTGGTGAATATGCTGCACTAGTAATTGCTGGTGTGCTTTCAAAGTGTGATGCCTTGATTATAGTTGCCTATCGTGCTGCTCTGATAACTGAAAAATGCCATCCAAATACTACTGGAATGCTATCAGTTGATCTGTCAGAAACAGAATGCAGAAGAATACTTGAAGCCAGTGCATCCTATGATAAACTTGAAATTGCTTGTTTTAATACATTGAGGAGTCATGTAATCTCAGGGCCCCTAGTACAACTTGAGATACTAAAAATTTGGCTTGATGATAGAAACTGTAGAAATACTTTGCTTTCTGTGTCATTTGGTTTTCACAGTCATGCTATGAAACCTGTTTTACATGATCTCTCAGTATTTTGCTCCCAATTCTCTTTTGGTGCTCCCAAAGTTGTAACTATTTCTAACACTATTGGAGCAGTGGTGCATCCGGGAGATGGTTCAGTCTTCAACAGTCAATATATCTCTGATCATTGTTATAAACCTGTTTTGTTTACAGCTGGGATTAACAGTTTAGTTGAATCTCTAGGGTATGAGACTGAGACTGGCTGGCTAGAGATAGGGCCTCATACTGTCTGTCTGTCTTTTCTCCGGACCATGCTGAAACCAAAAACTATGCTGCTAGCATCAATGAAAAAGAAGCAAGCTACAACTACTACATTTTGTATTGCTTGGAGTCAATTATACTATTCAAAGCTTGCTTCTAACTTGAATTGGAGAGCTATACTTGAGGGCACTGCTAACAATATTCAATGCATTTCTCTTCCATCATATCCTTTTACAATGACCAAATTCTGGATTCCTCATAGTGAGAGAGCTAAGACATATTATCATGCTGGACAACTGACAAAGCCAGAGCAACTTATGGATTATACACTAATTCAAGGCTGGATGCAACAACCAAATTTACAAAATAACCTAACCTCTATTTTCAACACAGAGCTTGAAAACCTTGGAGAGGATATTACCCAACATCAAGTTGGAAATCATGCATTATGTCCTGCCTCTTTGTATCTAGAGTTGGTGCTTGCTAGTGTGCACTTATCAGGGACATTTCTGGAATCTATCAGAGAAAATGAAGAAATTGTTCTTACTCATACCAAATTTTCAGCACCATTGATTTATAATATCCCTACCTCTCAGTTTATCATGAGTGAGATTATATTTCAAGGAAATCCTACAAATGGCATATTTTCAATCAGCACATATACAAAATCTAAGAGACATAAAACTGTTCATGTTTCTGGGCAATTTCACATAAAATCAAAAGATGATTTGCACAAGCAGGCTCTTTCCTTATTACCAAGCATGATTGAACAAGTTAAATCTGGCTTAAGACACTCAAAAACCCAGCTGTTTCATAGAGAAAGCATTTATCAGTCAATTTTTCCACGTGTTGTCCAATATGGTACACAATATTGCACCATACAGGCAATTGAATTTGATCCTTTGACTTTGCAGAGTCTCTCTCTATTCCAATTGCCAGTTGACTTCAAAAGAGGCAAATATATTGTGCATCCAATATGGCTTGATACACTACTTCATGCAGCAGGATTTGTTCTTAACCTGCAGTGTAATTCAGAAAACATGTTCATTTGTGTACAAGCTGGGGAGATATATATAGACTCATATAAAATTGATCTACAAAAGTCATATGCTATTTATTGTCAGCTTACCTCTACAGACAATGCCAGTGTGTCTGTAAATATTTATGTTACCCCAAGTTTGGATCCTGAAAATGTTGTGGCCCATCTAAGCAATGTTCAATTCCAGCAAGTAAAACTTCTAAATCTCCAGAAATCATTCTCAAAAGTGGTTGCGATTCAAGACATACAATACAATGGTTCTTATACAAATAAGTATAATTTGTTGACACTAAAACCAGACTGCTCTTATGAAGATATAGATCACATCCTTTTCATGCTTCTTTCGGCACTTTGCAATGTACCAATCAACACACTCCAGCTAGATATTCAGCTTACTTCTCTAGGTCTAGATTCCTTTCTTTTTATAGAACTAGCTAGTGAGCTATCAGGAATCTTTCCAGATCTGGAATTAAGCACATATCATCTCTCACTATGTGGATCTATTAGAGAACTCTGCAATCTTATTCAGCAAGAACTAGCAGCTAAGAAGATAGCATACACAAAAAAACAAGTATCATTTATAGAAACCTCAAATGTTTTATCAAGATATTCTTCAAATCTTGTTTGTATACAAGAAGGTGTATCTGATGAACATATCCCAGTGTTTCTTGTTCATGATGGAAGTGGTCTGGGTGATTGCTATAAAAATCTCTTTCCTATCAACCGAGCTGTTTGGGCTTTTTATAATCCAAAATTAACACAAGAGAGTCAATGGATATCAGTGGAACAAATGGCAAGTACATACCTAGAATGTATTTCTGCCGTTCATGGAGGGCCCTTTATTCTTGGAGGTGATGTTTTTTCTTGAGAATTTGCAAATTTTCTAAAATTGTCATAGGCTGGTCATTTGGTGGTATTGTTGCCTATGAAATGTCTCTTCAACTTGCTAGCTATGGTCATAGCCCAAAAGGACTTGTTCTGATTGATTCACCTTGTCCAAACAGAGATATTACTCTGTCTGAAACACTGGTCACATATCTTATGTCTCGACTGCCTGCCAATGAAACTAAGATTGCTCCTAGCATAATTCAGAGGCAATTCACTCTCAGCTCAGCACTGCTACAAGCATATGTTCCTCATCCAATAGGAAATGTCTGCCCCCCAATGATACTGCTAAAGTCAGCTACTGGATTTACCTGTGCAGCATTGACAAAGAAAGACATCCCTTCATGGCTAACAGAGAGATACAGCTCAGATATTGGGGCACTGGGATGGGAATTGATGCCACACTGCAAGGTGGAGGTTCACATGATTCCAGGTCATCACTTTGAAGCATTTGATTCTCTATATGTATGTATCAGATTTCTTTGTAGTCCGTCTTCTGACAATTCTCAGATTCAGCAGGTTTCTCATGCACTTGCAATAGCATGTGATAGTCTGGAAGCAGCATAAGTCTGTATATGTATGTATATATAAATCCAGCTTCTATGAATAATATATACATATGTTAGTGGAGTAGGCTAACCAGTCATGTTACAGTATGATTAACAAGACAGTGTATATCAGGCAATTTCTTGCAGCCCAAAGGAAGAGAGCACACAGCACACAACAACCTCATATGAGTCTAATCACAGAGAGAAATCCTTAGACAATGGTTTGAGGATCCATGTGCCCAGGTATTGCCCTTTGTAATTGCCAATGACAGGTGGCCATAGGGATTACAGATCAGTTTGTAGGTTTATGGGTGCCTAGGCAGAACCTCTGAGTATGTCTGAAAAAGCTAGTGCTGTGGCTAGACATTTTTGCCAAGATTGATGTCATAGTTTGATCTTTTGTTGATTGTCATAATTGAGGTCAAATGGTCACTAGCTAGCCAGAAAAAAACTTGGTATGCCAGGAACTGGAGAGCAACTGCCTATTGCTAAATAGAAAGACACAGTCATAAGGTATACCTGTGTGAGAAAACTGTGTTTGCCCAAAAGGCCTATAGCCTTGTTTTTGGGAGGCTATAGGCCTTTTAAAGCTTATAAGCCTTGGGGCTATAGATATTAAAGGCCTAATGGGTCACATGGCAGGGTCACATGGTCAAGAAATCAAATTACATTTTGAAGCTAATACTACACTTATTGCTCAATATATTCCTCACCGTCGTCAATTTCAATGGCACCATCATTGGGAATAGCATTCTCAGCCATATTTGTGAGCTTCTCCATGAGCTCTTCCTCCTGCAAGATGGCATGCAAAGCAACCTTGCATTTGCGAGGCTGAAAAGCCTTGCCAAAAAGGTTGTCGAGGGTCACTGACTTCCACAGTCGCAGCTTCTTGAGAGCAGAAGTTTTGAAAGCGTCATTGATTTTCTCGTCAGGCTTGAGTTCCAATTCATCCACATCTGGATCCTTGAGTGCTTGCTTTTTGGCTTTGCATGTGGCTGCAATCCAGTGATTCATGTCAGTGCGCTGAAAATGCTGAGGGCGCATTGACAGGTGAATCTACTATGGTAGTAAACCCAAATATAAACACGTTCACACTCCTCATAATCAGCTTCTCAGTGTGTGAAAGAGGCGAGGGCTTCAGGGTGGACAGAACACCAGTATCACAACTCTCAATAGACGCAGATCCAATAGTCATGGAAGACAAAGTCAACGACAAGAATTTATATATAGCAAACAATGGTGTCTCAACCAATATCTTCTATACAGTCAAAACCAACACTAATCAAACTACAACCAACAATATCACAAGTCAGAGCTTAATACAAAGTATTAAGATCCCTTGTAGTGACAGTGTCCAGATGGTGACGCAAAGCCCCAAAATATCAAGTCAATGCACTGCCAACCAATACAACCAAAGTACTGAGTTGACGCACTGTAAGGGCAACTCCTGCCAGCCCGAAGGAAGAGAGCACACAGCACACAACAACCTCACATGAGTCTGAGCACAGAGGGGGATCCTTAGAGACTATCAAATACAAGGGAGGTATACTACTCACCTGAGCACAGAGGGGGATCCTTAGAGAACGGTTCAAGGATCCATGTGCCCAGGTGTCACACTATATAGTCAGCTGTGACAAGTGACTGATGATGATGGGATATCACTGCCATGGAACAATGGCAGATGACAAGTAGATAATGACAAACCCAGATAAGATAGTGAGTGGCTCAGAGGGGCCAGTGATGACCAGCTCCTGAGACACCAACAGTGGAAGGCCACACTGGAGGAGCCCAGCGGCCAGGCCAGTGCCGGGCCAGCCAGTGGAGACATTGGAGGCGAGGACCAATGCCCAACTGGGAAGAGGGGTGGTGCGGATGAGCGCAAGGGCATCTGGTACGAGCCTGTACAGCAGTAGACCACATCCGCGGGGAGAAGGCCAAAGTGAAGGGGGAGGAGTGCATACGGCAGTAGCACTCCCTGGTGCAAGGAATCGGGCTTGGCTAGACCGCTTGCGGGGATTTGAGGGAGATGGCCGGGGGAAGAAGGGAGAGGGCGGATGTCGGCATGGATGGAGATGAGGATCGGAGGAGGAGGAGGAGGCTGGGTGATCGACAGGTGAGCAGGCACGGGTCGGCAGAGAGGGTGCAGTGGGTCACGTGCATGGTCACGTGCCCAAGGAGCGCGGCGTCCCCTGACATTCGCTCCCGAAGAGTTGGAGAAAGCAGTGGGTACTGCACAGATGCATCAGCATTGAGACTTGACTGTTGTAAAGACAAACCAAGTGGCACGAATGATCCATCTGACATCCAATATCGTAGGCCTGTAAGATTGTTGCCACTGGTGGAAGAAGAGATGCGACTTTGTCCAAAAGAGCAACCAGATAACACTGCTGCTCTCCTGGGGTATCAATGTTTGCCAGAAACAACACCTGTGAGTGGCGACAGGTGAGAACGAAGGCACCAGTTGAATCAAAGTGCTTTGGATCAGCCTTCTGCTTGCTCTCGTTGGCAGCATCAAATGAACTCTGACATGAGTCGAGAGCAGCCTGAGGAATGGCAGGTTTGAATTTGCGAGGCGGCTTGGCTCTTGCAGCAGTGATGCGCGCACGAGTAGTTTTCATCTCTGCGTTACTCAGGAAGTATGCTGGGGAGAAGAGAATGGGACCATCTCCAGAGGAGCGAAGGTGTCGTAGGCTGAAACACCCATCTCCTCCCAGCTGCACATCACCACCTCTGCCAAACGTTCAGAGAAGTTTATGGCCATGAGAAAATGCACTCACTCGCTCAGCGATCTTCCCCATTCCTCCAGTGCAAAGCAGGCAGGACACCGTTCTTGTAATACACAATCGGCATGTCCTTTGGTCAAATGTGTCAATGCAGATGGGTCCTCAGACACGTGGCCAGCATACAAGGCTGGTGCCTGCTCTGCTCCGCCAGATGGCGCAGACTCCACACCTCCAAATTCTACATCAAGCTCAGCTGCCAATGGCATCTCAGCATTTTCAAGCTCAGCTTGTCTCTCAGCTGCCACTGCAGATGGGTTGGTATCAACATCAATCCACTGGGCTTTGAACTAACCTTTTTCCTCCACTGCTATGACATCTTCTGTTGCTCTCAGACACACTTCAAGTCGCTTCTCCAACTGCGAACGAACCAGAGATGAGTAGAGAACAGCATGTGACAGCACGTTGCGGAAGGGATCATCAATGTGTTCCACAGCCGTCTGCAATGTTTCTAGTAAGAGCCAAAAGAAATGGTACTATGGAGTGCTCTTACCAAATCAAATCCCAGCTCAAATCCCCAACGCCGATATACTGTAGCCAAGGAGGCAGCTAGGGCTGTGATTGCATCGGCAGATCGCTCGAAGTAGGCTCGGTACGAGTCCAAAACGTCGAGAGAAACTCCTATCTGTGGCTTGACAGGAGTTCCCGGAAATACCCCATTCTCCAAGAGCAGCACGGGCAGGCATTTGCATCGGCACAGACGGATCTGCACCCGACTGATATCTGTCAAGAGTCAGGTTCACTGGTCACTATGGAGCAGGAAAATGTTCATGGGTGGGATATATACAGCTTATTGACACAGAATTTATGCCAATAATGCATTGCGAGCATACAGCATCAAGCAAAGAAGCAATTGTTGGTCGAACTGCTCCATGGTATGCACGATGAAAATCGAGAAACACAGATTCCAACTTGGGCAAAAGAGTTTCCCAATTGTCTGCAGCCTGTACAGCACGCTCATTGACTGCAGGCATTGGCTCATCAAGATTTCCGTTTGAGACCAAAGGCTGAACAGATGCATCTTCTGAGTGCTGGCTAGGATCCCCAGAATGATCAGGAAGTGTCTTTGGTGGCTCAAGAGGCTCGGAGAAGTAGGGATTATCCTCTTCTAGTGTCTGGGAAGGGCTGGGAATTGAGGGGAGTGGTTTCCTGGCAAGCAGTGCATTAAGCCGTGCTTGCAGATGCGCCGCCTGAGTGCGCTTATGTGGGTGTATGTCAACCACCTCCCTAGCAGCCTTCCGTTTCATGGGGCTGGTGCTAGGTACACCAAAGGGCAGCTGAGCGGCGGCGCGCTTGCGAGGAGCCATTGAGGTTTTGAAGAGAGGAATATAACAGTAAAATTGATGGCAAGCTACCGGATTAGGAAGGTACTAGAAGCTCACGTCACTATATTGATCGCAGAAGCGCAGACCCATCCGGACATGACGGGGCCTGTTAGGCCCCAATTTTGACCACTTCCGAGGGCCTTAGAGGGGGGGGGGGTGTCATCTGTAACAGATGCACCTGAGGTGCAGTCAGGACCTGTCCGGTCATTCAACTTTTTCATTACCATAAAAAGCAACCGATCTTAGATAGTGTAGCTACTATGCAGTTGTACAGGACTTTACTAAGCACCGTCGTAGACAGTATAAGTAGCACATCGTTTCTTTGTATTGGGGAGCTTTCCCCCGGACTGTGAATCATACCCATATCAGATTGTTTTGTACAATTTGCGTGTTGCGTGATTCCACCCTAAGAAGTTCTGTTACCCCTGCCCGGTCGCGATGAGTTGCTCCCTGAGCACTTGTAGCTACTGTGATTTGAGTTTGAGTTGAGATATCAGAAAGTCAGATTCGCCGTTTCTGGTTTTGTCGCAGCATTTAGCGTCGTCGCCTTTGGGCTTTGTTGAGATCGTTTCCACACCTCTAGCTTGGCAGTGCATCAACTAGTTGTGCTTGGGTAGTTTTGGTCAGTTGGCAGTGCGTCGACTTGAGAACTTTGGTTCCACACCTCTTGCTTAGCAGTGCGTCAACAAGTTGTGCTTGGGTTTTGTACATTTGGATATTGGCTGTTAGTTGGCAGTGCGTCAACGCGGCATTTTGGTTTTACTAGTTGGTAGTGCGTCAACTTAGTATCTTGGTTGTATTGGTTGGCAGTGCATCGACTCAATATTTGGGCTTTGCGTCACCATCTGGATGCTGTCGCTACAAGGGATCTTAATACTTTGTATTAAGCTCTGACTTGTGATATTGTTGGTTGTAGTTTGATTAGTGTTGGTTTTGACTGTATAGAAGATATTGGTTGAGACACCATTGTTTGCTATATATAAATTCTTGTCGTTGACTTTGTCTTCCATGACTATTGGATCTGCGTCTATTGAGAGTTGTGATACTGGTGTTCTGTCCACTCTGAAGCCCTCGCCTCTTTCACACACTGAGAAGCTGATTACAAGGAGTGTGAACGTGTTTATATTTGGGTTTACTACCATAGTAGATTCACCTGTCAACGTGCCCTCATGGATGAACCTCAGGATGACTTTCTACATTTTCAGTACTGACACCCAAGTGACTTCAAGGTATCCTCTACCAAATTTTCAATGAAACAGCTTTACCTTTGTTTTATGTAGGCAACAATTGATTTTATAAGCTTGGGTTGCTTACCACACATTTTGTTAAGAACAAAAGTTGTATAGTGGAAGGTAGAGAGCCAAAGCATTGTCAGATATCCTATTCAACATAACCAGTGGCTTACATCTCATCAAACTGGCCCATATCTCACATTCAGAAATACACTATGTTTTGAATTCATTCCATGTTTTTGAATTGTTCCAGAGTCCAGAACTCCCAAGACTTGATTCAAGCAATGTCAAAGAGTGTATCTTTCAGTTGTGTGAAGTTGGGCCCTTGTAGAAAATATATTTTGTGCAATACCCAAAGTGAATCATGCTGAAGTAGTCTCTACATAGGAACCTTACCCAACCATGGACTGTTTCGATGTTTCAAATTTCAAACAGACAAAGGACATGAATTAGCATTATATTTGACAAGAGTAGCATAGGGAGACGTTATTCCAATGATTTTTGGCTGCATAAATGTAGGAAAAGTGTCAGAAGAGCAGAAAACACTGGGGTACGACCTTTATACAGGTTCTGATTGGCTAATGAGTTAATGTGTTCTGAGCTGTCACTTTACATAATATTACATATTTGGAGATGGCAGGGGCAAGTGCACCACTGCAGTGGGGGTGATGGCAGGGGTGATGGCAAGGGTTGTGGCGGGGGTGCCAATAGAGGTGGGCAGAGGTTTATGCACCCTTGCAATCAACCCCGCCCAAGCCACCACCAGGATTGAATTCACAATTTTGGGTTTTCAAGCTCAAATGTATGGTGTCATAGTTCGACCACTTTTTCATCTTATCATCGACCATCTTATCTTATCTTGGCACAGATTATCTTATCACGGATCACGGCATCAGACGGTCCGGACTAGGGGTTCCAGGGATTATTGATTATCTCTATCGATTCAAGGCTGCGTGACATATGCTCCAGAAGGTTCTCCAACAACCCATGACCAGCGTTCCATGCAGTACATAGTCTCATGACTCATTAGTTGTAGATATGACTCAGACTGGACTTGGGTATAAATACTGTAGCTACTTGGTTGTATTCTCCAGTCTTCGAATTCACTTCTCTCTTCGACTTCATTTTTGGGTTGATTGTCACATATGGTTAAAATTGTACCAAGCTATTGAAATCCCAGTGGGATGATTTGGAGCTGCTGTTTATTTTATTTGTAAAAAGTCACGTGATCATCTGCCTACCAACCGGCTACAACATCCAATGTATTAGGAGCACAACAGAAACCATGCTAAACAGTGCAAAAAAAGTCTCTAAAAAGTCACGTGATAATATGCCCACTGTCTGCCCTGGTGTGTGGGAGGGGGCAGTAGTGACCTCGCCAACATTTTTGAAATCTCATGTGTTTCATCACGTGATTTTTTTTTATCCCGCCATCCCCTGCCCATTTGATGCCTCACATGATTCTATTTTTTCTCCCACCCATCTGCCTGATCTACAGGATAAATCACATGATATGTATTATCCCCCCCTCCTGGCCCCTGCACATGACCCTGCCCCCTGCGCCTCTGCCACAGGGGGGGGTACCTACTGGGTACCCATAGAGCTACATCTATGGGTACCCAGTAGGTACCTGCGGGGTCTATTATGTAATGATGGTGGTGGCATCTGGGGTGGATGAGAGAGGCCGGTGCAATGATAAACACATGCGACGGTTTTACAAGTTATCAAAGCATCCTAATTTCCATGGCAATCTTTGCCTGGGGACAGTAAAGGGCAGCACCAATATGGAAGAAGATAATGAATGGGTTGATACCAATGAAGGCTGGGAGGATGAAGACAAGGGCTCAGAGGCAGAGGAGGAAGAGGTGTCAGGGGAACCCCTGCTTTCGTCCGATCATCATGGGATCTTGCATGTGACCGCGCACGCGCCATCTGTCAGGCATCACATGCTTTGGTCCGGACTCCCCTGCCAAGCGCGTCCACATGACACTCCGGCCCGGACCCCCATTGTTCCAACGGTCCGGCTCCCATTGTTCTCCCCGATCCGGCCCCTCATTGTTCCCTGGCCCCATTGTCTGGTGCTTCCCATTGTGCTTAGTCATCCATTGTTCTGTAGGCTATATATAGTGGGCCCTGGCAAGGAGAGTCCCCAACTCGGTTTCTCTTTGGACTCTTCCTTGTCAGGTTTGCCAGTCTCCTGTATTAGTCGATCCTTTTATCTGATGCTTTGGACTCTCCCTTGTCAGGACTCTGAGATCGGGCCTCGAGGTTGCCCTTACAGCAGAAACCGAGTTCCTAGGGATAACTGGACAAGCTTGTGAAGACCGTCGACAGCATCATCTGCTTCTCACTTCCAACCTTGTCCCCTCCTCCCCCTCTGCGACCAGCATGTCCCACATGGAAGAAGAGGACGACCCCTCCCACCCCCAACAAAGGCTTGCAAATCTGGAGGAAGCTATGCAACGAATGGAGGGCCTCCTCCATAACCTAATCATCAGCCAGCAACAAACTCCCCCTGCCCCTGCCCCTGCTCCGTCTCCGGCAGTGGGTCCAGGCGTACCAACTGGCCAACAAGCCAGCCCGAGACCCCTCATCCGCCCAAACCCCCCATTCGCATTCGACGGGGATCGCACCCAGGGCAAGACGTTTCTGCATTCCGTCAAGCAGTACTGGCGGCTCCTCCCCGAGGCCTTCCATGTGAACGGGGTAGTGTCAGAAGAACGGGTGGTACGTTTCGCCCTCTCCTACATGTCCAAGGATTTGGCAGCCTCCTGGTCGGAGCGTATGTCGGAACGCCTTGTCTTCCCATTTCCGACCTGGTCCTCCTTTGTTGCCGAGTTCAAACTCCGGTTCGTCGAGGAGAACGAGCAAGACCACGCCCTGGCACGACTGGAAACCCACGCCTACTACATGGGATCCCGCGACGTGTTCAAATACACAGACGAGTTCGATGACCTCCTCGACCTGGCAGGGTACTCCGACAACCTGGTCAAGGTCACCAAGTACCGGGCGGGTCTTGACCCCAGGATCAACCAAGCAATTACGACCTCCGGAAACCCACCCAGTCTCACGAACTACTCGGAGTGGCGCACCCGTGCGTTCCGCCAGTACAACGCAGAGGCGGCTGCCCGGGCTGCGCGAGGGCAGACGTTTCCTCCCCCCCGCGCCCCACTTCCTGCGGCCCCCCGGCCTCGTCCCGTGGCCCCCCCAGTCATTGCTCCGCCTCCTGCTCCCCGACCAGCCCCGGCAATCCTCCCACCGGGCATTCCCATGGAGATTGACCGCACCCGAGCCTGCGGCGGCGTTCGCCGCACCTGCTTCCGATGCGGCAGCCCCGGACATCTGGCCCGGGACTGCCCGACCCCTGCCGATGTCCGGCACGTCGATGTCCTGGACGAAGTAATCAATCAGTTGGGAAGCGACCTGTTGGCGGAATTAGTAGCCCGACTGGCGACTACGGCAGCTGTGGAAGAGCATGAAACGGAGATTGCCGATGAGCTGGAGCAGGGTTTTCTTCCCCGCGACGAGTGAATAGTACGCCCTCGTTCGCCTCGCGTAATCGTTTCGAATGTCTGTATGATGAATGCGATCCCATTTCCTCCACAAACGAAACGATAGACGTACCCCCTACCCCTCGCTCAGTCCCGCTGGTCCGCAAGGAAAAATGGGAACGAAAACTCCCTCAGCGCTACGTGGTTGCAGCCTCCCCTGGCGCCAATTCCTTGCACCTCCCTCTGGAGATCCAGTCCACCGACAACGCAGTCCAGCTCTCCCTCAGCGGGTTGGTCGACTGTGGCGCTACATCGGACTTCATCAACTCCACCTACGCATCCGAAAACCGACTTCCGGTCCGACAGCTCTCTCAGCCCATCCCAGTCTACAATGTGGACGGCACACCAAACGAAGCCGGCTCCATTCAACAAGTCGCCGATGTGGTCCTGCGTTACCAAGGACACAGTGAGCGGGTCCAGCTCGCTGTTACTCGGCTCGGCAAGCAGAAGTTGATCCTTGGCTATTCTTGGCTTCGGAAGCACCACCCGGAAATCAATTGGGACACCCAGGAAGTGAAGATGAGCCGCTGCCCGTCTGGCTGCTCCACCTGCACCGAGGAGTCTCGCCAAGAAAGACGGATAGCCAGGGTTTCGGCCCGAGCGCTCCGATCGGCCCGGCAAGGTCCTGCCCCCTCCATCTGCGTTGTCGATATGGAAGACCACGAAGATGAGGCTATGCCACCACTCCAAGAAGACAATGGAGAGGATTCTGACGACGAAGAAGGCGGTCTGGAAACCGGTGACCGTATCTTCTACACCCGTTTCAACCCCTCTGAAGACATCCGAGCCACTAGCACCGTCTCCCGGCGTCTCGCCGAGGCGTTCGCCAAGAACTCCGCACCCCCTCGGGATTCCATACCCGAGTGGGCACGCGAGTTCGAGGATGTTTTCAGCAAGGAGTCCTTTGACAATCTTCCGGAACGTCGCCCCTGGGATCACGCCATCGAACTGGTGCCTGATGCAAAGCCAACAAACTGCAAGGTCTACCCCATCTCCCCCCTGGAACAGAAGCAGCTCGACGCTTTCATAGAAGAGGGCATGGCCACCGGTCGGATCCGACCCTCAAAGTCCCCCATGGCGTCCCCTGTCTTCTTTGTCAAGAAGAAGGATGGCAGCCTACGGTTCGTCCAGGATTATCGGGCGCTGAACGCAATGACAGTGAAGAACCGGTACCCCCTCCCCCTGATCAACGACCTCATCAACAAGCTCAAGGGAGCCCGCTTCTTCACCAAACTCGACGTTCGATGGGGTTTCAACAACGTACGGATACTAGAAGGGGATGAGTGGAAGGCTGCGTTTCGGACCAACCGTGGACTCTTTGAGCCACTGGTGATGTATTTCGGCCTCACCAACTCCCCTGCAACGTTCCAGACCATGATGAATGACATCCTCCAGGACCTCATCCTCTCGGGCGACGTCATGGTGTACCTGGACAACATCCTCATTGCGCACTCCAACCTTCACCTCCATCGTCGTATCATGAACGAAGTCCTCCGGCGCCTCCGCAAAAACAAGCTGTACCTCCGAGCTGAAAAGTGCGAATTTGAGATGGAATCCATCGAGTACCTAGGCGTGATCATCTCCCACAACCACGTTGAAATGGACCCTGTCAAGGTGGCAGGCGTAGCCGAATGGCCGGCTCTGTCTAACAAGAAGGAAGTGCAGCAATTCCTTGGGTTCACTAACTTCTATCGGAGGTTTATTCGGGACTTCTCGCACATTGCACGCCCGCTCTTCGATCTCACCAAGAAGGACGTACCATGGTCTTGGGGCGACAACAAGTCCATTTCGTTCCAGGCCTTGAAGGATGCGGTTACTTCCACGCCAGTTCTTCTCCTTCCAGATTCCTCTCGTCCTTATCGCCTCGAGGCTGACAGCTCCGATTTTGCTACAGGAGCCGTCATCTCGCAGCAGTCCCCCTCGGACGACAAGTGGCACCCAGTTGCCTTCTTCTCCAAGAGCCTCAACGACGTCCAGCGTAACTACGAGATCCATGACAAGGAGATGCTCGCGATCGTGCGGGCACTGGAGGAGTGGCGGCATTTCTTGGAGGGCACCGAACACCCTGTGGAGATCTGGACCGACCACAAGAACCTGGAGTACTTCCGCAAGGCCCAGAATCTCAATCGCCGGCAAGCCCGATGGTCGCTCTACTTGTCCCGCTTCGATTTCACGCTCCACCACCAACCTGGCCGGCTCATGGGACGACCGGATGCACTCTCCCAACGCCCGGACCACGGGGCCCCTTCGGACAACACGGACGTCACCCTGCTGAAGCCGGAACTGTTCCATGTGCGAGCACTCGAGGGGCTGTCTGTCTCTGGCCCGGAAGCCCCGCTTGTCCGTGACATTCGGGAATCGCTCTCCGGTGACCCTGACCTTGAGGAAGCGGTTGCGCTCGTAGCACGACAGCTTCTAAAAGGGATGAAGGGGGCCCGCTCCGCTGTTACAGCGGAGTGGCGCATCCAGGATGGCCTCCTCTACTTCCGTGGGAAACTAGTGGTTCCACGCGATCGGGACCTCCAACGACGCATCCTTGAGCAACACCACGACACCCGCGTTGCGGGGCACGCTGGCCGCTTCAAGACGCTGGAGCTGGTCTCTCGGAACTACTGGTGGCCCCAGCTCTCACGGCACGTCGGCAGGTATGTGGCCACCTGCGACCTGTGCTGTCGGACCAAGGCCCTCCGACGACTCCCCGCCGGAGAGCTTCACCCCACGGAGGTCCCCTCGGAACGTTGGGAATCGGTGTCAGTGGACTTTATTGTGGAGTTGCCCGAGGCGCACGGCTACGACGCCATCATGGTGGTCGTTGACATGCTAGGGAAGCGTGCTCACTTCATCGAGTGCCACACTCGCCTCTCGGCCGAAGGGATGGCTCGGTTGTTCTACAAGCACGTCTGGCGACACCACGGATTACCGACCAAGTATGTCTCCGACCGTGGCCCTCAGTTTGTGGCGGACTTCACTCAAGAGCTGTGGAAGCTAGTCGGCGTTTCCCCTGCCACATCTACCGCTTACCACCCGCAGACTGATGGCCAGACCGAGCGGGTCAACCAGGAGCTGGAACAGTACCTCCGGATCTTCACCAGCTACAAGCAGGACGACTGGGACGAGCTCTTGCCCGCAGCTGAGTTTGCTTACAACAACCACATCCACTCCTCGACCCAGCAGGTTCCCTTCATGACGGACACAGGACGTTTACCACGCATGGGATTCGAGCCAACAGAGCAGCGCTCCACCAGAGCAGAGTCTGCCAACGAGTTTCTGGATCGGGTCGCATCAGGCGTAACCGAGGCCAAATCAGCACTGGTGAAGGCAAAGGACGAATACAAGAGGTACTATGACCGACGAAGGACCACTGCTCCCGACATCAAGGTCGGCAGCCGAGTCTGGCTCGACGCCTCGGACATCACGACGACGCGACCTTCTCGCGGCCTCTCCCACCGACGCCTGGGCCCCTTCAAAGTCACCCAAGTCGTGGGCCGAGGCACGTACAAGCTCGCGCTCCCCACCAGCCTCTCTCGCCTCCACCCTGTCTTCCCCGTGGTCAAGCTCCAGTTGGCCGAAGACGACCCGTTCCCCACTCGCCCACGTCATGAAGAACCACCGCCTGTCCTGGGACAAGGCGAAGGAGAGGAGTGGGAAGTGGGGGAGATCCTAGACGCAAAGATGCGCTACCGAAGTGTCTGGTTCCGAGTACGATGGAAGGGCTATGACCCGTCTCATGACCAGTGGGTCAAGCACTCAGATGTGTTTGCTGACGACGCAGTGGCAGCATTTTACCGCAGATACCCCGGGAAGCCCCGCGTCATTGCAACGGCCGTATTCGACTCGCTGCCCTTCAGGGACTCGTCGACCCCTAACCGTGCCTTGCGTCGAGGCGCCGCAATCAAGAGGGGGGGTGATGTCAGGGGAACCCCTGCTTTCGTCCGATCATCATGGGATCTTGCATGTGACCGCGCACGCGCCATCTGTCAGGCATCACATGCTTCGGTCCGGACTCCCCTGCCAAGCGCGTCCACATGACACTCCGGCCCGGACCCCCATTGTTCCAACGGTCCGGCTCCCATTGTTCTCCCCGATCCGGCCCCTCATTGTTCCCTGGCCCCATTGTCTGGTGCTTCCCATTGTGCTTAGTCATCCATTGTTCTGTAGGCTATATATAGTGGGCCCTGGCAAGGAGAGTCCCCAACTCGGTTTCTCTTTGGACTCTCTCTTGTCAGGTTTGCCAGTCTCCTGTATTAGTCGATCCTTTTATCTGATGCTTTGGACTCTCCCTTGTCAGGACTCTGAGATCGGGCCTCGAGGTTGCCCTTACAAGAGGTGAATGATGTCATACACAGTGTCTCCATTTTGGGTCTCGACTCCAACGAGAGGGGCAATGAGACTGTGCAGGAAGCCACATAGATACTACTCTGAATAAGTATATTTGAACTTAATTCAAACATATCCTCACACAAAATTGACCAAGTCCTCTGTCATGATTATTCAAACATATCTTGAGCAGACCACCATTGCAAGACCAACCAAGTCCTCTCGCACAATTATTCAAACAGATCCTGAGCAGGCCGCCATCACAAACCCGTCCAAGTCCCCTCGCACCAATATTCGAGCAGAATCTGAGGATAAACAATCCCTTGACTTGTATTTGAACATAATCTGAGCAGCTCATATAGTGTGGAGAATCCTTAAGCAGATTTCAAGCAGACAGATGTCTTCAAAATCTGGGCACATGTATTGCAACATTATTGGAGCATACAATATGTCTGCATCCCCCATCCCACATATTCGAACAGATCTGAAGCAGCTGTAGGGACTTGGTAAAAATCACTGGATCTGGTCTCATCTGCTCCAGATTCTGAGCAGAAATTTCATTATTATTTGAGCATATGGAATTTGGCTCAAAAGCCCACTAACTCATGGGGGGAACCAGCCTGGATCTTGCCACTAATTAGTGGGCCCAGGTGGGATTTACAGGTGTGCTTGGCAATGTGTTGACAAGTTGTGCTTGGGTTTTGGACATCTGGATATTGGCTGTTAGTTGGCAGTGCATCAATGCGGCATTTTGGTTTTACTAGTTGGCAGTGCGTGTCAGGGGACGCCGCGCTCCTTGGGCACGTGACCATGCACGTGACCCACTGCACCCTCTCTGCCGACCCGTGCCTGCTCACCTGTCGATCACCCAGCCTCCTCCTCCTCCTCCGATCCTCATCTCCATCCATGCCGACATCCGCCCTCTCCCTTCTTCCCCCGGCCATCTCCCTCAAATCCCCGCAAGCGGTCTAGCCAAGCCCGATTCCTTGCACCAGGGAGTGCTACTGCCGTATGCACTCCTCCCCCTTCACTTTGGCCTTCTCCCCGCGGATGTGGTCTACTGCTGTACAGGCTCGTACCAGATGCCCTTGCGCTCATCCGCACCACCCCTCTTCCCAGTTGGGCATTGGTCCTCGCCTCCAATGTCTCCACTGGCTGGCCCGGCACTGGCCTGGCCGCTGGGCTCCTCCAGTGTGGCCTTCCACTGTTGGTGTCTCAGGAGCTGGTCATCACTGGCCCCTCTGAGCCACTCACTATCTTATCTGGGTTTGTCATTATCTACTTGTCATCTGCCATTGTTCCATGGCAGTGATATCCCATCATCATCAGTCACTTGTCACAGCTGACTATATAGTGTGACACCTGGGCACATGGATCCTTGAACCGTTCTCTAAGGATCCCCCTCTGTGCTCAGGTGAGTAGTATACCTCCCTTGTATTTGATAGTCTCTAAGGATCCCCCTCTGTGCTCAGACTCATGTGAGGTTGTTGTGTGCTGTGTGCTCTCTTCCTTTGGGCTGGCAGGAGTTGCCCTTACAGCGAATCGCATTTGTGATCAACATCATGCATTTGTTTGGACACAAATGGGATTGTCAGCTGGTGTATAGTCCAAGATTCTTTGTCGGAATGGGCCTGTCTGACATGGAAGGTGTTGAACGCTTTTGGTCGCGGGTCCAGAAACTGATCAATTTGACCCGGCAACAATGGGTATGCTCTCTTTTGTGCATGCAGGATGATGGTTTCTGACCAGTTCCAAACAGCAATCTCGTTGTATCTGGATACTAGATGAATACACCGCATTCGTGAATCAGGAGGGCGCTGAGAAGCTCGGGGATTGGTTGGATCGCCAGCAGGCCAATCTTCTCCCCAAGTACCGACAGAGCATCAAGACATTACATGCCTGTCGTGTGTCAGAGAGAGAGCTACAATCTCAGTGGAGGGCACAAAAGGCGGCACAGAGTAGCCGAAACATCAGTAGGCAAATATACCTTGTCTTTTTTTTGGCTCTGATGTGTGCGTACAGAGGCATCTGCGCGGTTCCGTAAAGATCTGGACAAAGTGATTACTCTCCAGAATCAGATCGTGTCTGTTGAGACCGCCATTCTGGATGTGAAGAAGTCAATTGGAACCTCAGGCGCATCTGTGGAGACGTTGTGTCATCTTGATGAGATGGAGGACACCCACATGGAGCTCAGTGACCGTGCAGATGCACTGTATGCATCGCTTAATCTGCGGCACACATTTCCCCAGCTCTCTGGATTGCCGGCAAACTTTGTCAAGTTGCTGCTTACAATGCATGACTTGAAAGTAAACATCCGGAAGCGTGCAGTTGGGTCATTTTACGAGATGGAGACTTTAGATCGTGCTGTAGGTGGGAAGAAGGAGAGTTTGGGTGCGCAATTTTCTGCGAACCTTCAGCAACCTACTGACTTGCTCCAGGAACAAAGTTTCACCAACAGACTCGAAAGGCAATGGCTAAGCAACATCCAATTCTCTATCGCCTGATTGAGCGTTTCAATTCGCTGTGCGAGAAAACCGAGGAGGAATTCCCCGCAGGCTGTCATCTCCCTGTTCCCCACCCACTACCCACACGATTAGCGTCTCTCCGAAATGACCTAACACTGTACGAGGATGTCTGCGTCACACCATCATCTGGAGCAATTCTGCGTTGGTTGGACAACTCAGATGTTCGGGATGGGATTCAAAACATGCACTCTGTTGATCGATGCACGGAGGAGATGCCACGGCTCAACCGAGAGCATGCCAACCTGGAGCTGTATCTCCTGGCAGAGACAGCACTCGTATCCAGATGCATCCATGAGGCAGCAGGAGATCCACTGCTTCAGCATCTCCTTCAGCTCCGGGCCACAGATCTCAAAAGGTTGGCTAAACGGTGGCGGAAGTCCTTTGGACAATACACCTTGAGTCCTTTCTCTGGTGGAACAATATTCATGTCTGGGTTCTCAAGTGCAGGTGCATCTGCATCAAAACATGTCATGCAGACCAACATCAGCCGCCCAATTCTTGGTGCTGAAAATCATCGGCCTCTATCAACGCCAGAAATTGTGCCAGTTCCGCAGAGTTCCAGTCATCTTAACAATCCTGCTGATGCCATCATCTCATCTGCATGATCACCTAGCCCTGATCTGGATGCATCTGCTGGGAATATTGATGGGAGCGCAAGTGCTCATCTTCATCTTGCATCAGCGGACATTCCACTGGTCGAAGAAATCCCTGAAGAGAACCTTGATGATGACATCAAGATCCTTGAAATGCAGGATACCCTGCAGAATGTCGATCTTGATGATGACGAGGATACATCTGCATTCGCGCAATCAGATGTCAATGTCGCAATACATTGGGAATGTCCAGTAAGCCCTGCTCTAAATGCATTCCAATGTACTCATCCACGGTTAGGAAATCACATACGAATCAACCATGTTCATAGAGCTTGAGCATCACAACAACAATCTTAACAAATATCGTGGTGATGTCCCACATGTTGTTGTTCGCGGTCACGAGCTCAAGAAATTGACAATTCTGGCGGAGGATCTGGCCAGGTTTATCAATCCGACTGGCCTTCTCAGTGGGCATGGCATCAATGGTGTAGCCGCCTCAATGCTTGCAATGTTTGGTCAAGAACACAGTCCATACAATGTGCATGCTCGTTGCTGTGCTTTGCTGTCAACTTATGAGCTTCCACGGATCCGTTCGGAAGCACGAGACAAGTTCATGTGGGCTGAACTGTCACCACTTTGCTACTGGGAGAAGGATTTCTGGATTCTCCCCATCCATCGCGCCTCCCAGCAGCACTGGGTTGTTTCAGTGGCCTCTATCCCCAATCAGAAGATTTTCTTCTTTGATAGTCTCTCTGGGTGCAGCCGCTTCCGGAAGGAACTCCAGGTCAGTCATTCTTTCACTTGAATTCTGCTCGTACTGATGCATCTGCAGGAGTTTGTTTTGCTCATATCACGCATGACCGCCCTTGCAAACCGGCACAGGAAGCGGTTGAACATTTCAGAAAATGATTGGCACGCATATTCCCTGTTCACACCGGTATGTATTTTGGTCTCAAATCGAAATTCCTCTTGCCGACTCACAAATGTAGGGAAACCAAAACAAACAAATGGTTACGATTGTGGGGTTTGGATCCTGGCAGTAATGGGTGCATTTATGAGAGGGCATCATCTTCCAGCACTGGCTGAGCCAGATCTTCAGAGGGCCAGGCACATCTTTGCAGAACACATACAGACATTGTCCATGATTTAGAATGTCACCTCTCTGTTTTCATTCAAAGACATTAAGATGAGAGATGAACTTGTATAATCATTGTGAATAGATCTGGGATCATAAAGACGTTGTCAAAGCTCTACAATCCTAAAAATGCTCTATTCAAGGAATTTCAATCCATGCAGATGTACGATCGTACGTGCAACCCAGTGACAATGATGCTTGAGCATGGACAGCTCACGAGGGTGCAAAACAGGATGATAGTGCTCATTCTGTAGCATAAGCTGGGCGGCCTCCCAATCCAGGTGCAGCCGCACAACCTCTGCAGTGAGAGAGCTCAATGCTGCTGTTCTCTGGCGCGTTCTGAAGGCTTGCCGAAGCTTGAGATCTCGTTCACGTTGCTCCCGGAGTCGAACACCATGCAGCACAGCAGAGAGAGATGATGTGTACGAGAGATAATCCATTGACAGACGATCAGAGTCATTGTCGTCTGCTACAAACGGCGGAGCTGACTTCCAGCGTTGAAGGTCAGACTCATCGAGAGCGTCAGGAGAGGCCAGAGCCTGTTGGTACAGATGATGTTCTTGGGGCAGTGGCAGAGCTGCCTCCTCGAGCATGGCAGAGGACAGAGGAGGTGCAGAGGACAAGGATGCGAGTTTCTGGGCACCTTTCTGGCAATGCACAGAGGTTGTACGCTCAGAACGCTGCTGCTTTACACTGCACATCAAAAAAAGTAAGTCTCTTCCAATCGTCCCAGAACAGAGGGAGAGCACACGAGAGTTTCTGGGAATGCTTGAGACTGCTCTGGCAACTAGCAGCTGCCTTTTCCGAGGCTGAGAAATGAAGGGCAGAACAGCCCATTAATCAAGGTGAGAGTTAAAGACAAGCTGCTAATGTGCTTCGTCTAGTCATCTGGGTGTTTTCGAGCACAGCAAATTCAACCGGTACTGGCAACTCTGGGTCTTTCATATGTTATGCGGGCAACCTCCCTGATCTCATCCCGGATATTTTCGAGTGAATGTAAGGCTTGTATGAGTTGTATAAATTGATTCTGTAAATGTTGCTCATTATACGCCAGCCCATTGGCTGCTCGGAAGACGTAATCCGGCGCTTTGACGAAGCGATCAACAAAAATCATTACATCATTGTGCCAGACAGATACATCTGTGTTGGAAAAGTGTTCGGATGCATCTGGTTTTGCTCACATCCAGACTCATCCACGTCCAGAATGAGCTAACCTGACCCATCTGTACTGGCACTTAGCACTGAATGATCAATTGATCAAGTCACATGCACACCAATTTTCCCCCCAATCCACCCTCTCTCTTCCACTCCTACCACTACAAGCCTGTAACAAGCTCAGAAACAAAGTAGGTTATCATCATGAATGTCTGCTTTTGTTGATCGGTTGTTTAGAATCCACAGCTCAGAAATTCAGATCTTGGGCCCAGACAAAAAAGACTTGTCCAACGCGTGTCAATTACGCGTCAAAACCCGTCAAACCACATGTGTGTATTCTCTAAAGCCATCCCGAGGCATCCGCTCATTCTCGCAGGAGTGGACTATTGAAAACACCCAAGCCCATGGAGCCTGACTCCATTTTTCCGCAATCTTCCCCCAGCAGCTACTTCGACAACTCATACGATGACATGAACTTTGACGGCATTGTGGGCCTCGATCCAGACTTCCTGGCCTTTGAAATGCCGCAGTTCGATGCAGCGCACACTGAACAGATGCCCATGGTGGAGATGGAGCACACTGATAGAGAGGAGTTTCAGATTGGGGATGGGGCTGATCGTGTGCTGCGGCCAGCGATGGCTACTTTGCCAAACAAGTTCAATCGGCAGGTTATGCAGATGCAGAAGCGTCGGGAGGCTCGGGCAGAGTGGGAGGGGTGGAACGCACAGGTCCGTTGTTCATCACATCAATCTGACCACGGATTCTCACGCAAACTCTTTCTTCCCTCTCTCTTAGACAACCGTCACCCCCGCCCAAACCATGCTCACCTCACCCGAACGCGAAGAGACTCCCACTCCTGTTCCCAAAACTCCAGCCCCAGCTGCCAACCCGCTCAACCAGCGCACTCCAGAAGTCTGGAAGCATAAAAGGTCAAAAAAAGCGTCCCAAACCGCTCTGCGTTCCGCATCCCCCATCCTTCCTGCCATCACCACTCTCCCCAGCGATTCCGAGGCTCAGGGCGGGGCACAGATGGATCTTGACGATGCTGCTGAGCAGGCAGATGATGTCGCCAGCGATTTGGTCATGGAGGACGAGGAGGAGGCTGAGATTGACAGTGAGGAGGGTGGAGAGGAGGACGAGGACAGGGACGGCGAGGAGGGCGGGGAGGAGGACGGTCAAGAGCAGGAGGACGAGAACAAGGAGAAGAAGAGGGAGAGGCGGAAGGAAAAGGGGAAGGGGAAAGAGAGGCAGGAAGGCTCTGGCAACGAGCTGGAGGTGGACGCCTTCGAGCCCATCGACATTGAGTCCCTTGTCACCAGCGAAAGGCTGACTGCGGAGAAGCAAAAGGCGCTCGACAACGACCTCAGCTGGCTCCTCCAGATGCTGTCCTTCATTGGAAACAAGCATTTTCTGGGCATGGACCAGATCTCTGACCTCCTTGCCAAGAAGCTCAAGCTTCCCTCGCTGCGCCCTGTGATCGACTTCAACACGTTCACGCAGATGTTCTATCTGAACGCCAAAATCCTTGGCAGACCCATCTATCCCGACTTCGACTTCAGCAAGGGCTTGCTGCCTGACGATCCGGAACTCATCAAGAAGTGCTACATGCACTTCATGGCCACTATGGACGATCCCAAGGAGGGACTTGCAACATTTCGACTGCTTCAGGCGGTGACACTGAAGCAGACGAACGGTGAGCGCAACAGGAAGTACGTGGATTGGGTTCGGCGGTTTGTCAAGTTGGTGAGTGGGACAGAGGCATCTGTTCATAATGCATTCTCATCAGTCTTTTCGCAGTTGGAGTATGGGCATAATCTGTTTCGCTTCGAGGGCTTTGCTGTCCTTACCGGCAGCCTCGTGAACAATGGCAAGCTCTCGAACGTGGTGGTAACGCCGGCATTGAAGAAAGACCAGGTGAGTCTGCTACAGCAGGCATCTGTTACATGACGCTGACTACTACAAGTTTGCTTCTCAGTGTCATAATTCGACTCTTTTTCATCTTATCCTCGACGATCTTATCTTATCTCGACACGGATTATCTTATCGCGGATCACGGCATCTGACAGTCCGGGCTAGGGGGATAGGGGTCATCTTTATCGATTCAAGGCTGCGCGACATACGCTCCGGAAGGTTCTACTACAACCCATGACCAGTGTTCCATGCGGTACATAGCCCTATGACTCATTAGTTGTAGATATGACTCAGACTGGATTTGGGTATAAATACTGTAGCTACTTGGTTGTATTCTCCAGTCTTCGAATTCACTTCTCTTTTCGACTTTGTTTTTGGGTTGATTGTCACATAATTCGAAGACTCCCCTCATACCCTCCTACCTCATACCTCTTACCCTGCATCTTGCACCGCTACGCCCGCTATATCCTCTTAACCCTTATCACCCCACTCACCCTTTTACCGAATCATCTAGTCGTCCTCCACTATCGCAGTGAAGGGTTCATATCAAGCAAACAGCACCAGGCCACGGGTAACGTTGAGCCCGACCCAAGCCTTACGGTAGCTACAAGGAGTGCTGCGGAGACCTTCGGGAAAACGCACCTCGGGATCATCGGGCACGTGAAGAGCTAGGCCCGGGATCTTTTTGCTAGCAAAAGAACCTTTCCTCGAGTGCTTGTACAGCACACGAATCCACCATTTCGTACCGATTCCCATCGTCGTCTGGGAGTCCATCCCCTCCCCCCATCGTACCATCGTCGCCCGATCTGGCGCATCAAAACCAACCCGGGCCCTCCGACCCCTACCTCGCCCTCCCACCGCCTGAAGACGAGATCCCCGACCTCGACGAACTGCCCTCCGAACAACCACCCTCGCCTCCACCTCACACGCCTGCCCCTACCATGTCAGGGCATCACCGCATCACCCTCGCCGCCAACCCCCCCTACTTCGATGGCGACAAGTCCAAATACCTGGGCTTTGTGGACGCGTGCACCACTTACATCGGTGCCTATCGATCGGAGTTCTCACAAGATGAGACCAAAATCCTCTTTGTCCTCTCCTACCTCCGTAACGAGAACGGCACGAGCTGCGCTGCCTCGAGATGGGCGATGAACTGGAAGCAGCACAACTTCGATGGCTTCCAGGGACTGAAGGCAGGAGTCACATCAAAGAACTTCCTGGAGGAGTTTCAGAGGGCGTTCGGGGACTCCAATGCGGAACAAGTCGCCGCTGCTCGGCTTATGGCCCTGCGTCAAAACAAACGGTCCTTCGCGGACTACATCTCCGACTTTGAGATGTTGGCCGCGGATGCAGGCTACAATGTGGTTGACACCACCGACGACAAAGGCGAATACAAGAAGGGGGAACAGGATAATATCCTCATCGAGTTCCTGGAGCGCGGACTCAGCAGCGAGATCGCCAGCCGTCTCTACAACACCGGTGTCCCTCTGCCCAAGGCCTATGGAGCGTTCAAAGCCTGGTGCATCAACATCGAAGCCAATGCTCTGCGTGACCAGCTGCGCAAAGCGTCGTATGGGCACCCCACACAACGACCACCTCCCCAGTTCCGTCCCCAAACGGCACCAGTGGCGCCCACACCCGCTCCGGCCCGACCCGCTGCCAACGAACCGGTTCCGATGGAAATCGATCGTACCCACGCCCGCGGCCGCAATATCATCTGCTACAACTGTCAGCAGCCCGGGCACATTGCGCGGAACTGCCCGGAGCCCAAGAAGAAGCGCACGTTCTTCAATCGGGCCACAATGCTGGAAGAAATCGAGAACGGGGACAAGGACAACGAGTTCCTGAAGGAGATTGCCGAGAAGCTGCGCGAGAAGGGTTTTTGAAGCGCTCCACTCCTCTAGCCAAGGAGGTGGAGCGTCCGGACTATGGACGATTTTCTGTACTTGTTTCGATTAAAGATACGGACAATATTTCATCTACATACACGATCTCAGACTCACTACGTACAAATATTCACGATTTTCTTATTGCCGAGATGGAAAAAGAACGCCAGGAAAAGATAGCTCTAAATAGAAAATACTTACAAGAAAAAAAGGATCAGAAAGCTGCAGATAAATTATTTTTGGACTCCTACGTATTTATGGCTCGTGGAGAAGGAACCACGTCAACAAAGACCGAAAAGGGGAGCATCGCTCCGAAGGCTCGATCCTTGGAAAAGGAGGAAGCGCCCAAGGAATCTGCCAAAATCGAGGTTCCAGAAGCACCCAAACGCACCAGGGTGCCAGATGCCATCCAGAGGAAATTGGCGACCGAGAAACAGAAGGGCCCCCAGCCCAGCAGATTGGCGCAGGAATTGCGCAGTTACCAAGCCGAAAGAAAGAGGCACTCGATGGACGTATATGTCCAGATCACGGGCCTGGACTCAGGGAAAACGCGTGGAGTCAAGGCGCTGCTCGATAGTGGCTGCAGTACCTGCTGCATCGACACCGACTACGCACGGGCAGAAAAGCTGGATATCCAAGAGCTTCCGCAACCCATTGTGGCTCGTAACGCCGACAACACCGAGAACATCAGCGGTCGGATCACACACTACGTCGACTTGAGAATGAGAATCGGCCCTCATGTGGAGACACGCACGTTCCTTCTGACGTGTCTGGGAAAAGCCCGGATCTTCATCGGCCTGGATTGGCTGACGGAACACAACCCCGAGGTGGATTGGCAGGAGCAGACAATGAGATTCAGCCGATGTCCAGAGCAATGTCAAATGAGGGGTCACGAGGAGCACCAAGCGATGATCGACATGGATGCAATTGACCTGGACGCGGGTGCACCGGATCTGGAAGAGGGAGAATCAATCTTGTTGATCGACTTTGGAAAGGAGGTAGACCTACGGCTGAAGGAAACGCCGGCGCAGAAATTCGCAGAAGAAGCGGAAAAGGAGAAGGAGAGAATGACCGAGGGAAAGATTCCAGATCAATACCGAGAATTCGTCAAAGTATTCGCCAAGGAATCATTCGACTCGCTACCGGACCGACGGGCATGGGATCATGCGATCGAGCTCAAACCAGGCTCCAAAGCAGTGGACTGCAAGGTGTACCCCTTATCGAGAAACGAGCAGGTCAAACTCGACGAGTTCTTACAAGAGAACCTAGCCAGCGGACGAATCAGGCCATCAAAATCACCCATGGCATCGGCATTCTTCTTTGTCAAGAAGAAGGATGGCTCGCTACGGCCTGTTCAAGATTACCGGAAGCTGAATGAGATGACGATCCGAAATCGGTACCCGCTACCGCTGATTTCCGAACTGGTCCACAACCTGTGCGGCGCCAAGTTCTTCACCAAGCTAGACATCCGGTGGGGATACAACAACGTACGGATCAAAGAGGGCGATGAGTGGAAGGCTGCGTTCCGCACAAACCGCGGGCTTTACGAGCCCTTGGTTATGTTCTTTGGTCTCACAAACTCCCCGGCAACTTTCCAAAACATGATGAACGACATACTCCGGGAACTGATCAACGAGGGACATGTGGTAGTTTATCTGGACGACATACTAATCTTCACAGAAAATCTGGATGAACATCGACGAATCACCAAACGGGTACTCGAGTTGCTCCAAAAGCACAAATTATACCTGAAGCCGGAAAAGTGCGAGTTCGAACGCACAGAAATCGAATACCTGGGTGTAATCATTGGACACAACTCGATGCGGATGGACCCTGTCAAGATCAAGGGCGTGATGGAATGGCCGGAACCAAAGAGCGTCAAACAAGTCCAAGCCTTCCTCGGATTCACAAACTTCTATCGACGTTTCGTTCGGGGATATGCGGAGGTCGCCAAGCCGTTGACGCGGCTGACAGGGAAGGCAGGATGGTCATGGGGTCCGGATGAACATGCGGCGTTTGATGGGTTAAAGAAGAGAATCGCGGAGGATGCCGTCTTAGCACTGCCAAATGACACTGGCCAATATCGTCTGGAAGCCGACGCTTCGGAAGGGGCAACAGGATCAGTTTTGAGCCAAAACCAAGACGGCATTTGGCGCCCAATCGCATTTATTTCGCACGCATTGACCGAAACCGAGCGAAATTATGAGATCTACGACAAGGAGATGCTCGCAATCATGTTATCACTTGACGAATGGAGGCAGTTGCTCCTGGGAGCCACGGAAACGTTCGAGATCTTCACCGATCATCAGAATCTCGAGTACTTTCGGAAGCCGCAGAAGCTCAATCGACGGCAAGCACGATGGATCACGGAGTTGGCGGAGTTCGATTTCACCTTACGACACCGACCCGGCGCACTCAACCGCAAGGCGGACCTCCTGTCCCGACGAGCAGATCACGATCAGGGCAAGAACGACAACAAGGACGTCACGCTACTGAAGCCCGAGTTCTTCCTATCACAAGAAGTCACATTCGAGGGACAGGATCAGCAGCTAATCGACGAAATCAAGGCCATTCGATCAATTGATGGAAGCGTCAAGGCGGCCTTAGAGAAGTCACTCGCCGGATGGAAGAAGGAAGAGGGGCTTATCACGTACCATGGGAAGCTCTACGTACCAAGGGACGAGGAGTTGCGGGACAAAATCATCGGACTACACCACGACACCCCTTTGGTCGGACACGCCGGGATCAACCGAACGCAGGAGATGGTGGAAAGGAACTACTGGTGGCCAAGGATGGGAAACCAAATTCGGAAATACATCCAGACGTGCGAAGCGTGCCAGCGGACCAAGACCAGAAGAGCCAGGACAGGGAGTTTGCACCCGCATGCAGTTCCAAACGCGCCGTGGGAAATCATCTCCATGGATCAGATCGGACCCCTGCCGGTCAGTAACGGGTATGACGCAATCCATGTGTGGTGTGACACCTTCACCAAAATGATCCATGTCGAACCAATTAGTACTGACATCAGCAGCGAAGGAGTGGCACGGTTAACCAGGGACCGAGTCTTCCGCTACCATGGGATCCCTCGCAAGATCATCACCGACAGGGACTCGCGTTACATCAAGGGCTTCATGAAGGAGACGAATCGGATGTTGGGTGTGGAAATGAACCCGGGGACCGCATATCACCCAATCACGGATGGACAAACCGAACGCATGAATCAGGAGATCGAACACTATCTCCGCATTTACGTCAACTACCATCAGACGGATTGGTCGGAGTGGCTGGGAATGGCGGAGTTCGCATACAATGACAAAATGAACACGTCTACCAAGATGTCGCCGTTCTATGCAAATCACGGATATCACCCATGGAAGGGAGTGGAGCAAAGGATGGAATCAAGGAACGAGTCGGCGGAGGAATTTGTAAAAAGAATCAAAGAAATACAAGACGAAGCAAAAGCAGCATTGGAAAAAGCAAAAGAAAAAATGAAAAAATACTACGATAAACAAAGAAAAGAAGTTCCGGAGTTGAAGGTTGGGATGAAGGTGTACATAGAAGGGGAAAATATCGAGACGGATAGACCATCAAAGAAGATGAGCGACAAGAGATTGGGACCATACGAGATACTGGAGAAGGTCGGAGCGGCCGCATGGAAGCTGGATTTGCCGGACACGGACCGAAGACACCCGGTGTTCAACGAGTCACTGTTGACACCCTATCACGAACCACCCCCCCATCGCCGAGAGAAGAGACCCGTGGCCAAGATGATCGGAGGAGCAGAGGAGTGGGAAGTCGAAGAAATCGTGAAAGAGCGAAAAGTCGGCCGAGGAAAACAGTACTTGGTCAAATGGAAGGGATGGCCGCACAGCGAGAACACCTGGGAACCATCACGTCACCTTACCCACGCAAAGGACGTCCTGAGAGACTGGCAGAGGAAACAATCAAATCCAGACACACGCATTCGCCTCCTGCCAACGCTCGAAGCTGGACACTGGGACTATCTCATTCATCGCTACCAGCCCAGGGACGAGCGCCTTCCATACCCCCAACGACAGCTCTTCGACCCTTACGAGAACGTCTTCTTACCCATTGGCCTGGTCGATGAGGACATCGACCCTAGAGAGGGGGTAATGTCATAATTCGACTCTTTTTCATCTTATCCTCGACGATCTTATCTTATCTCGACACGGATTATCTTATCGCGGATCACGGCATCTGACGGTCCGGGCTAGGGGGATAGGGGTCATCTTTATCGATTCAAGGCTGCGCGACATACGCTCCGGAAGGTTCTACTACAACCCATGACCAGTGTTCCATGCGGTACATAGCCCTATGACTCATTAGTTGTAGATATGACTCAGACTGGATTTGGGTATAAATACTGTAGCTACTTGGTTGTATTCTCCAGTCTTCGAATTCACTTCTCTTTTCGACTTTGTTTTTGGGTTGATTGTCACACTCAGCTCCGCCAGCTTGATCAGGCGCAGATCACTGAGCTGGGCATTTGCAGTGCTGCCCGCGCTCTTGCCAGGTGAGTATTCATTGTGTATTCGAGGATAACAAGGCTAACTTCTGTCAGTGTGGCAAACGTCTCTGTCCGCCCTGATCCTCTCGCAGATCCATCTGTTCCAAGACTCCGCCCTCCTCCCCCATTCCCGCCGTCCACCACAGAGGACGATGGAGCCAACCTCTCGTTGCTCCCATCCTACCCTGCCGACAAAGAGCCGGATGTTGGCGCTAGTCCTGTTTCAGGTGTCCCCGATGGCACTGGAGGCATCCCGCTTGTGCTAGCCACTGGGCTCAACTTCCCAGACTACCGGGCGGGATACCGGGTTCTCCCAAACGGCGTCCGAATTCCCATTCACAAGGGACCAGATCCCATTCGCGACCTTCACCTGCAGCCCATCCAGCCCAACGAGAACACCGCCAAGGTCAAGAAGGATTTGGCTTGAGCTCCTGCAATCGAGCGCAGACTGGCTTGGCGGATCAATCTGGTCAGCCTCGCCTTCTTCGACCTCCACTTCTCCCTCATGGGATCATCGTCGAAGGTTCGTTGGAAAGAGTTGGCCAGTTTCTGCCTGCGCCTCGGTGCTCGCTGCAGGAACTGGCCAGCTGGGACTCGGACTCCAAACAAGGAGCAGCCATGCAAGATCAGCGGAGGACGGGGAACTGGGCAGATTGAGATGGGCTCAATCGAGGAGTTCAACCAGGTGATGGAGCTGCGGTACAGCTCGGACGTCAACGACCATTGCTTGGGGTTGTTCTTCGAGCGGTGTGAGCTGAAGGCAGGTAAGTCGTGAAGCTGATACATCTGTCTGCACCTTGACTCATGATCTGCAGATGATATTGCTATTGCCTCGATCGACCGCCGCCGCAAGCCTGCTGCAGATGCATCCGAGGAGGAACTGCTTGCCTACGCTACCACCTCACTTGGGGAGTTCGTTCCCTGCGAGCTTGCCAACGGTACCCCCATCCTTGCTGTCCTCGACTTCAACCACTTGAAGGGCCCAATCATGGAGAAAATGCCATTCCACACCAAGGAAAGCAGTGACCCCAATGAAATGTTCCGGCTAGCTGGCTCCGGCGTTGGCTACATTGAGGAGTTGGACTCGAAGGCAGCAAAGAAGAGGACCCGGGTGCAGACAAAGGCAGCAAGGGAGAAGGTGAAGATGGAGAAGGAGAGGGTGAAGAAGGAGAAGGCAGAGGAGAAGGTGAAGAAGGGAAAGAAGTCAACGAAGGTGGTGAGTGGGAAGTGCAAGCGCATTTCAGACGACGAGGAGGAGTCTGCTGAGTCCAAGGATTTGGAGGAGCTGGACGCCGAGCGACACGCAGATGTTGTATACTCATCTCGTGTTCATCGCTCCCATACCGCTGCTGCTGCTTCTGCTGCCACCACTTCTCCAGCCACTCCCTCCAACAACCTCGAGCCCGCTGCAGATGTCTCTGCTTCCCCACAGCCGCCTGTCCATGAACCAGAGCCGCCCATGGATGCATCTGCGCGACCGAAAAAGAAGCAGCGCTTCATCTCTGCCCCGGTCATCACCTCGGATGCTGAAGAGCGTGCAGAGGAGGAGCTCCCAGAGCCTCCGGTCCCTTCTCCACGGCCAAGACGTGCGTCTGCTGCTGCTGCCAAAGCAAAGCTCAGTACTGGTGCCAAGGCAAAGCCTGCCGCTGCCACTGCAAACACTTCCCCTCCCCCTGCCAAGCTGGAACGCCCCAAGCCCAAGCCAAAGGTGAAGGCAACCCCAAGGACCAGCAAGTCCTCAAAGCAGCAAGGTGGAGGAGGTCGACCGGTGGTAGAGATCCATCAACAAGACGGTCCTGAGTCAGAGGACGTTGATGATGTGGATCTGCCTGGGCCTGACAACGCCGAGCCCTTCAACCCCAAGCCACCGCACCGGACGCCTGCAGAGGAGCATGCTCAGATCGAGGAGCAGCGTGCTCAGAACGAGCACCTCAAGGTCAAGACTGCACGTTTGAAGGCCGAAAGTGCACATCTGCGGAGGGAGTTGCAGATGCCCGATGATGGTGGTGACTACTACCAGACTGTGGCTCGTGCTCCTTCTGGTAGTGAGCGGGTTGGCTCCGTCTTTGATGTCCATCGAGGGGAACACATCGGATTGATCCACCATGGACCCAACCAGGGTCAGTGGCTCACTCCAGCATCACCACAGATGCATCGACATTCCCATCTGCGTCATCAAGACCGTCAACCTGAGGCTGGTCCTTCTCACCTCGCACCTCGACATCCGCCCCAGCCTGAGGCTGGACCCTCCCGACAAGCGTCTCGTCCTCCATCTGAGGCTGGGTCATCGAATTCCAGGTGGAATGCGTCTGCAGATGCATCCTACCGTGACCAATTCGACTACCCCCGCCCCTACGACAGCGACTACGATTCTCGTCGCCCTCAGTACGGTGGATACGATGGATATGGAGGTTATGGGGGATACGGGGGATATGGAGGTTATGATCATGGGGGGTATGAGCGTGGGGGGTATGATCGGGGGTATGAGCATGGGTATGAGCGTGGACCTGGTCGGGGATACGATCAGTATGAACGCGGGTATCCTCCTCGCGGATATCCCCTGCCGTCTGGCCCTCCGGGCTATAGGTCTGAGTACAGTCCATCCGAGGACTCCTTCCACCCAGCTCCACCGCAGATGCCTCCACCAACGAGAGCATTTGCGGCACCGCATCATGCACCGCTGGCAGATCTCAGTCCAGAGGATGCTGATGGCGCCGCTCAGCTCATCAACCTTCTCAAGGGGATGACCCCGGAGCAGCGCAAGAGGCTCGAGGACCAGGGACTGTTCAAGTAGGGTGCATTACGTTTTGATGTTGTATCTATGGACTGCTGCATGACATTTGTATATACATACCTACATTATCTTGATTTACATCTAGCCTTTACACACATTCTTCGATGTAATAGGTTCCTGTTGCTGCCTTTTCAATGGCTACTGTGTTGCCTTTGATTCTAGGATATGATTCGAAGAGCTGATAGTAAATGCTGGCATACAGATGCCACTGCGTACTGGGTTAGATGCTTGCAACAACATCCTATGGTGCACGTGCCCTTGTCACTACCACTTTTGGATAGCGTGAGAACTCGGTCATGGCAAGGCAGATTTCTTAGTTGTCTTACAGAAAGATGTGCTTTAGTATTAGGAAGATAACCCTAAGACAGATTTTCCATAGGCTCAAAACTGACCGAGCTGAGAAATCGGGAACCCAGCCGATTCCGGTCCTATCACATGACTGGCTTACATGAGTGATGCACGTGATAAATGCGATCACGTGCAGGAAAAGTTACATTAATTACTCGTCAAACTGAGCCGCGAGGGACTCGGGAACGCGACGGTGTGACTTGTATCGATGAGAAGAGAACTCCTTCACTCGCTTTTGAGCATCCTTCGCGTCCAAACCAACGGAATAAGCTTCCAGCCAACGGAAGGTCCGATGCTCCCACTTGCGGATTGTCGATAACTTGACACTTTCGAGAGCCTTCGGCATATTTGCGCGCAGGGTGTCGAAACTGTAATCACAGTTGTCACGGAGGTATCGCTTGACTGCTCCCCAGAAGAATTCAATGAAATTCAACTCGCAATGATACTTGGGAAGTATAATGCAGAGATGCCTGGCGTTCTCGATGGTTTCTTGAACAAGGGATCGTTGCTGCTGGAAATCTGGCTCATGGGTAAGCACAGAATGCGCGCAACAGGACTTTGTGAGGCAGGAATCTTTGCATCGCATCTTCAATGATGGGTTCCAAAGACCGCGTTCTTGAAGCACCGCTTTCATACCCTTCGCCTTTCCAGCTGACGCATGACCCGGTTCGAACACCATCGGCTGGGAGACGGTGCGGCCATCTTTGATGAACCAGCCCGGACGCATCAGTGCCTGTTTACCGCCCGGATTGAGATTCATGCGGTTGACAACCAGCGCATCCTCGGCATATGCTGAATGGCCTTGCGAGTTATCAATCATGAACAGCATCTGATGTCCAGGACCATGGGCGGCTTCGAAAGCAGGAATAATCTTTTCGATGATCTGGGCGAACATCAATTTGAATTGATACACTCGAAGTGCCACATACTTGTTTAATGAACAGCTCCCCATTCCAATAGCCTTCATAATTCTTTCCATACTCGAGTGTTTGAGACGCATCCTTGAGCCAACCAACTGTTGAGCAGATAACACCGTCATATTCCACCAGATCCGATACATCCGAATCGTACACGAAGATTGGAGATGTGGGGCGTGAGTCCGAGGGAACGGGTGTGGGTTCTGGTTCAGGCACAGGGGGCTTGGGACGAGGTGCGAAGAATTGTCGCATCATCTTCGCGGGCGCGCTGGGAGTGGCAATGTCAGAATGACAGTCCGAGGACGAGATGCGCATTCAGAGGCGTACCTGTTCCGTGTCTTTGCGTCCTCCTCTTCCTGCTTGCGAGCCTTCCGAATCGTCTCGTTGGTCCAGCTCCTCGACTGCCCATTGTATCCCAATGCCCGGTTCTTCTCGACCTTCTTCCACTCCTTCGCACTCATGTCGGACGCCCTCTTTTTCAGCACCTCATTGACATTCCTCTCCCTCATCCCGCCATCCTCGCCCTTCTTGTCGCTCTCAATCATCTCCAACGTCTCGTGCGGGAGCAGCTCCACAATATCGTCGTCCTCTGTGTCTTCCGGCGGGTTCGATACAGGCTCCAGTGTCGATTCCTCCAGGGCGTCATCCTCGTCCTCGATGTCCAGGAGGACAGGTACGTGGTCGACATCGAGAGTGGCGTCATTATTGACCGTTCCATCCCACAGGCATTCGCCACGATCCGTCGCTGCCGCAAGCTCGAGCACTCGTCGCTTGATGGCTTTGGCGGCTCGAGCGAGGCCGGCTCTTGCCCTCTGGGCCGCGGTACCATTCCCCATGCTTGAATGCGTTTATCGAGTGGACAGGAATGAGCGCGAGATTCAAATTCGAGTGATGACTACAGTCTATTACGTGTACTTAGGTCTTAGGGTTAGGTTTAATTTCGATCCAGCCCGGATTCCGGTCCTGTCACAAAGTGGCAGTGACAAGGGCACGTGCACCATAGACAGAGTGATAGCTTATGTATTGCATGTACATAATATATAATTAATCAAAATTTATCCCTGAAGAGTCCACACAAATCACGGAGATTGTCAAAAACACTATCCTATGGCAATGGGTAGGCAATACAAGCTTATATAATGTATGTACGCAATACAGATTCATTTGCAAATGATGGAGATTGTCAAAAACATTGTCCTATGTTGATCAGTAGGCAAAAAAGCTTATATATTGCATGTACATGACACAGAAACAATTGCAATATATTCCTGAACAGGCCATGCAAATGACGGAGATTGTCAAAAACATTGGCCTGTGCAGATGGGTAGGCAATACAGTGATTGCAATTGATGGCTTGACAGGCCTCTACAATGGCCGGGAGCTGCAGACCCACCTGGGAATAGTGGGGCCTGTTAGGCCCCAATTTTGACCACTTCCGAGGGCCTTAGAGGGGGGGGTGTCATCTGTGACAGATGCACCTGAGGTGCCTGACTGATCAGGATCCCGCCCCATTGTCTATATGGTACTTTTGATGTGGGTCAACCCACTGCGTCATACTTTTGGAATACAATGTGCTGGATTGGCCAACTGGTATGTCTTGGCAAGTGAGTCCAATGTGGGCACCCCAAGAAGCCGTATGGCCCTAGGCACGCTAGACGTTCCTCACATGGTTTGGTTCACGGATCTAGCCCGCGCTGCTTTAGATGTGTTTGGGTATGGGCACGACTTGCTGTGACACTTGGAAGTGTCACCGCAACGCGTCCACAATGTCCTGTGATTGAGTGGATCCTGACATGTGACAAGTCGTTGCTGTGGCATGATCTAAGGAAACGCCTAACCCAAAACCGGGAGTTGCTGCGACAAGATTGGTTCAATCTTGTAACTTGCCGCGACAAGATTGGTTCAATCTTGTAACACCAAGTCCTGTCTAGTAGTAGTTGTAATGTTGAGAACATCGCGCATTGCTAAGCCCTTCAGCCCAAGTTCCCATCTGCAGAGAATGACCCTTTTGGAAAGTCGCCGCAACAAAAGATCCCTTTTGGGGAATTGTTGTGGTCCAAGTGTCTGTCACTAATAGCCCTGAGCCTGGTGTTGACTCATAAGACCAATTCCACAGCAGTGGTCTGACTGCCTTGCTATCATCAACACTATCCACAGTCGTCGACTGGGCAGTAGACCCTTAAGTCCTACTGAGCACAACACTGTCAACCGCGACACAATACACCAAGTGGTTCGAGAGTAAACTCTGTAACAGTGCAAAAATACGCCCTTATAGAGCTGGTGCAGAGCGCATCTGGTAGCCAGCCTATCAGCGCTCAGCATTATGATGTGTTTGTATGATTGAGCAGACATAGGAAGTTTTCTGATTGTTTCATGGCCCTCAGTCTTACCACTGTCTGGTGTGACTGAGGGTACGTGGTCCTTACATTCCATTTATGTCTAGATACTTACATGTCCTGTAGACTGACTGGGTCACTTGTCTACAGGTATATAATGAGTCTTACCACTGTCTGGTGTGACTGAGGACTGACTGGGTCACTCGTCTACACTGGTTGCTATTCTACAACATAATGGAAATAGTGTGTAGACTTCCCCTTGGCCCTTGATTCATTGACAACAGGACCTTTGACAGGTTGGGCTTCTTAAAGAGAGTTCATGCTCCTAGAGTGGCCTGATTTGTACTAAACATAGTACCAAAGACACTTGAATCTTCCCATCCCATTAACCCATGCATAGCTGTAGAGGGGAAGACTTCATGCAAAAGCTTACATAGTCTGTATGGCTAAAACTCGCATCAACTTAGTTGCTTCTTCACACTGACCAGGCTGCTACTCTTGATTCTTCCACATCAAACCAGCAATTTCCATCTATCTGTACTAGATCAATGTTGACAGAGATGAATTGTAGTACAGATACAAGGAAGGGTCGTGACTGTATGTATGCATGCGTGATATTACGATAGAATCTAAGCATTAACACAAGCAAGCGGGACCTCAAAGTCATCGGTCCGGATGCCGAGACCCCAAGGAGTACGGAGGATCACCTCGGCATCAGGTCCGAGTCCGCGAGAGGAGAATCCCTTCCAGAGCGTGCAGAAGTTCTCTCCGCCAGTCAGCATCTGGTCAGCGAGCAGGATGGCATCGCGGGCAGCGAAGAAGCCCGGACGGCAAGGCTGCAACTTCATGGCGTCGAGGACAAGCCTAGAATGCGTCAGCAAAGACAAAGAGAAAATGGGACAAACACGCACTGGACGATGAGCGTGTTGCCGTGCTTGGGGACCAAAGGCTTCTTGCCAGAACGGGGACGGTAGAAGTCGCCTTCCGGAATGGTGCCGTTCTCGAGAGCCTTGGGAGGATAGAGCGTGTCGGAGAAGCCGTGTTTCTCGATGAGGCCTTGCGACACTACCCACAGCATCTGGGCCCAAACTTCACCGATGGCATGAACACCAAAGTAGCCAGGCTTGTCGAGGGTCTTGTACGTCGATGGATTAATGGTGTCGTTCTGCCGGTACAGTCAGAAAGACAGTCTAGGCAAGGAGTGAAGTACACACCAGAGAGTACGGGTAGTTGCGGATCCCGGAAACACGGTTGGCAGCCCAAGAGCCCATCGCATAGTCGGAGTAGTTGGACGTGCTGCGGATGGTAGTGGCTAAGAAGTCGCCCCAGCCTTCACCCATGCCACCGCTCTCGCCGAATGGCAAGCAGCCAGAGTTCATGGGCCCACCGGTCAAACGAGTGCTGAGACCATGGCTGTATTCGTGGATGACAATGCCGGCCTCGAAGTCGCCATCACGGTAAGGAATGGCGGTGTTCCAAACGTACATACGCATGCGACCGTTCTGACCGTCGGGAGGAGTCATGAAGTTGGCGTTGTTGAATCCAGATCCATCCTGAGCATTGGCGATGACAGCATCGTTGCCCTGACCGCCACGACCGAAGTTGTACTGCTGGAAATTGCCAGAGACCTCATCAAAGCCGTATCGGTAGTACAAGTCATGAATCATGTTGTTGGTGTAGAACAGCTGGGCGACAGTCGCATTGATGTACTTCTGCGCTTCTTCCAGGGCGTCGCTCGAGGGAGTCTCTTGCGGATTATACTTGTAGTCGAATGATTTGCCAACGCCAGCATCGGGGCGGAAGTTGTTGACATAAGCATTCTGACCCTCCCAATTCTCTTGAGCGAATACCTAGAGCAGAATGTCAAGAGCGGGCGTTGTATATAATCGGCAACTGACGTTGTTCCCCCAGGTGTTAGTGGTATTGCGATAAAATTCCTTAGAAGTCTTCTTGATACCAGCGAGCGAGGGGTCGTTCGCAAACGGAAGGCTGTGCCATCCTACAGGCGACGCCAGAGAGTCGAAGTTCTCCTTCTCGATGGTCCGCTTGCCCTCAGCCGGGTCATTGATACCCCACGCGAAGACGTTGTAGGTTGCCTCAGCCTCAGGCGTAGGAATCGGGACGGGTGCGTCCGAAGCCCAGTCGACAACAGACACAATGCGGTGAGGGGCCGAAGCGGAGACAGCCGCCTCGTACCAGTTGTCTTGCATCTCAACCTCGAACTGAGGAAAGTGAGTTACCCGCAAGGCACTATTTCTGCTAGTAGCTCACCTTCCAGACAAGACTGAGCTTGACGGAATCGTCCTTGCCGGGAACTTGAACGTAGGCCAATTTGGCCTTAACGGGGTTCACGGTGTCAGGAACGTTGGTAACCATAACATACTCGGATTCCTCCGAAGGAGCGAAATGGTTGATATCGGTGTACTCGACCATCTTGCTGACATGATCATCAAAGTTGCCGAGAATATCGTTAACGACCTCATCGTTCGGGGTAGCGGCAACCATGAACTGGAGCAGGGCCGAGCGAAGATCTAATTCTCCGAGGGACTTGGCAGCCATCTCGAGCGGAAGACCTTGGAAACGGCAGTTCGAGTGATGCAGATGAGTCAGGTGCTTCATTGCATGACGGTCGACCTGTCCTGACGGCAAGTCACCGAAAACAACCTGGCCATCACGGGATTGCACAGAGGCCCTGTAATGGGTCTCGAGAGAGTTGGTGATACTCTCGCAAAACTCCTCATGCGGGTGACGGAGGTCCTCATTGAGAGCGTTCTGGCCCGAGTAGGAGGGAACGGGACCAGGGAAGAACTGAAAGAATGCGTTCGTGACCTCCATATCATATACGAGATGAATTGCGTACCGAGTTGCCATACGACAACACAACACCGTCCTTGATGTTGAGATTCATGTCACCGTCGGACACCTCCAACCCGTTCACCACCTGTCGCACGTACACGTGGGTGATACCGGTATTCGAGTCCGTATATGAGTCCTTGCGAATCCGGTACGTGCTAGACTCCGACAGCTTGTCCCCGAGGAGGTCCTGGACGAATGCCCGAGCGACGACATAAGGGTCGGTGTCGTGAGACATGGCCGCAAAGCCGTTGGTGATAATTTGATAAGGAGTGGAACGATATACGGCATGCTTGTGGACTGGTCCGAACCCGAGAGACTTGCGTTGCCGGCCAGAGGCGTCGCTCACGCGATGAGCGGCGACACCAGCGGCAAGCAGCGACGCGATGAGCAAACAACGCATCTTAGGATGACTGAGAGGTGATAGTCAAGCGCACAAGGTGGCCTAACAAGTGTGGTGGTGAGAGTAGAGTGTGGGGACGGGTAGTGGGGAGAGGAGAGTCAGAGCGAGAGCTGCTAGATAAGGAAACCGGTCTCCGTGTTTGTCATTGTTGTCGCAATGCTGAGCGGCGGACGTCCCAGACATTCCGAGTCAATGCGTGGGAGAGCTCGGAGGAAGCGACCCTAGAATCTCTCCTTATCGTTGTCTTCCGGGTACTACCCCATAGGATATGGCAGGTCGTGCGCACAATGCCAGACAGCCTCATTGAAGCAGCGTCTAGTAGCGTGTAGACAGCGAACCTGGCAGACGCGTCAGCGAGCACGTGTCATCTAGGCTGACGCGTCCTAAAACGCATGGTGCGCGTTTTTGGTTAGGTACAACCAGCGGACCAAGACCGGAGCTACATTTTGATGAACTCCGTGTGGCGTGAAGCTCAAATCCGGGCCTTTCTCCGAGTCCTTATCTATCCTCCTCCGTTCAGCGGCTGGCTCAGAAGAGACACTGACAAGTCACGAGCGACTATCTCGTCACGTGCCATCAATCGTGAGACGCAACCTGAAACACCCACTCAAAGATACATACTCTGCTCCTATTGCGTGAAAGCGCGAACCTGCGATGGCTTCCTGCGATGGCGAAGCTCAGCCATATAGAGATCTCTCCTACTCCAGACTATCGGAATCTGGCTGCCTAGGACAGCTAAACTCTCAGACTCGGACCTTGGTCGCCGACCCTTGACAGTCTTGGACAGCACCCAGTATCTCCCTCGAGTTTTACCCAAGCCACCGCTCGATCCGCACCTGTATACATCACATGTGAGAAACGGTATCGCGCTCGATGGGATTGGGCACCATACTCAATATCGGCGAGGTCACAGGCAATCCTAATCATACCCCGCTATTCAGCAGTGCCTGCCATGAGCTCCTTCAAACCATGCTAACGATCGTTCATACGCGTATGGCTCATATACGACCAGCTCGGACTTTCGAGGTCACGGTTTTCCATATATCAGGCCGTTGGGGATGACATCGTCGAGCGCGGGGACTTTGGGGTCAAGGCCTTTTTGGGGCCGCAAGGACTGGCAAATGGGCGATAAACTTGCGTGTGCAGCATTTCCCCAAGCCAAATGGCGGCAATGGTAATGAGGCATGTTAAATAAATGATAATCGTGACAAAACACCTGGGCCGTCAAGAAATGGACTCCAAATGACTGGCATATCGTGACTCTGCCCAAGCCTTCGCCCTCCCCTTGCGGGCCACCGCTGGATCCTCTGAGCCTGATTCCGTATCCGATTCGTCACTGTCACCGTAATTTGCGAGAGCCCCCAGTCCCGCGGTCTCCGAGTCCATGCCTTTCCTCGCCCCATCGTCACATCGCATTCTTGCCTTGAGCTTGATCAAGGACCACGCATTCTTCCATCGACCACGTAAAAAAGCAAACCGACCGTCTGTACCGTGATTTGCAAGAATGCGCATCTCCAATTGAGCCACGTTGTCCGAGGAAGCTAGACTGCCGGCAGTGCGCTCCATCAGAACTATTTGGTTTTCGTCCGGCTTGAAGACGGATGGGTATTGACCACGTCAAAGATGTATGGGACAGCGACCCACCTCCTCATCGTCACCACCCCATGGATCTTCCTCCAAGGACGCCCGGGCTGATTCCTCATCCTCTCGTTCACGCGCTCTCACTCGTTCGTCCCGGGCCCGGTTGATGAGAACTTGCTGTTTTTCTCGTTGATAGTCGGCTTTCTCTTCGGGTGAGAAGAAAAAGGTGTCCTCCGTGTCAGAAGGGAGATCGGACCACCCGGAGGGCGAGAGTGAACGCGGTATTTCTTCAGCAGAAACGCCTTTCTTAGGCAGTGTATCAAGTAAGAACAGCGCGTCGTATCTGAGGAACATAAGAACGACCATCTGGGGCAGTAAATGAGGGAGGAAAGCGAACCGGGACACTCATATGTTACAGATTCATAGACGTGGGCAAAAGCGTGCCTTTTCAGGCAGAGAGGACATACCTGTCGGCCCAAATCAATGGCCTGCCTCGTTCAGGCGCGTGGCCAGCGGCGAAATCATCGTCGACATGCGCAGTCGGCCTGGAAAGCGAATCCAAGCTAGTCCATTGTATGAGGGCAGATTGAGTTCCTTCCCGACTCGGTTGTTCTAATGATTGTGCTGCATGGCGCGCCCTTGCTCCTCTGACGACGTCGGCTTCGAATGCAAGAATGTATAGGTTAGGATCTAAAGCCTCGCCGTCCCGAGACGCATCTCCACAGGCAGACTGAAAGGTCTTTCTCTTTTCACGATACTTTCTCTTCTTCGAGGACATTGAAGAAGCCTTGTGATGGAGACACAGGAAGTAAGAGAAGAAAGATCAAGCCGATGAAGCTGAGCATCTCCACAGCCACCTGTCATGGTGTCATCATCGCGACCACATGCAAACACTTGACTTACCTTCCGCTCTTATCTCGACTCCGTCCTCAATAACATATCTAATTCCATATGTGCGTCCAAAAACCCTTCGTCGCATGCATTTCCCATGCCTCACGTTGTCGGTCCATAGTCTCGATGCTCAGCTCCGCTGAACCCTATCGCAGTCTTCTCTGTTCTGCTTGATCCTCGACGAATCGTCGTGTCGCAGTTCTAGACCCGAAACTTCCGTCGGCTTCAACACAGCAAGAAAACTCACGAGTTTTTCTCATTTCTGACGTGCGTCTGGCGCGGGGACAACTGTGTTTCCCTCCCGCTGTTGCGGCGTGCAAAGCTGGAACCGTTCGGCATGTCTCGCGCGAACTCGGACCAGGACATCTCCGATGATGATCATGACATCATATACACTCGTAACACCCGGGCTTCAAGGGTAACACTGAGGACACGCCTTTTCGGCCGGATGAAGGCGGATACGATTTCGACCGCCCCGGAGATGTGTGGAGCTGGGGAGACTGAAACGGAGTTGGATGAGCCTGTGAGTTCACCTTCGTCATTTTCGTGACCGTCCGCGCACTTTCCACGGAGCATTGGTTGCTTCGAGATGTGTTTATTTTTGTCGAACTTCCCAGACTCATCACGCCTTCGGCATGTCAGATTGAAGGATATGTCGTATACTAAACAGTTCACTCAGTCGCGCCATCTTCCAACTTCACGTGTCCGGCCTGCCTCGGTACCCATCGTACCTCCGACAACATTAGAGCAGCGGTTGACTCCTCTGTTGTTCGAATTCTCTCGTCTGCTTTCTGTCGTTCCTGCTCTGCTGGGAGTATTGTACAACTGTTATCATGTTTATCATCCACCATCCGGTTTCCGGGCACCGGAACGCATCGACTTTCTAGTGTCTGTCCTGTGGGTGAGCCTGTTTGTCTTCGACGCGTTGAAACCAAACGTAACTGAATCATGCAAGGCTATGCTCACTGGGTACCAGTGCTTGGCGTTGACCACTGGCCTCTTGACTCGTTGGCGTGTCTACTATCCGCCTCTGGCGACACTCATCCGCCTGCTCGCCTTGCAAGGAATTTGTTGGCCCGCGACTCATGCAAGCCTCTCAGTTCTAGACCACACTCGTCGTCCCGCCGCCGTTTGGGCAGCCATCGGCACAACAACTTGTGTCAGTCGCAGTGTACAGATCTGGGTCACAAGTAATCTATGGTGGGAAACAAAGGAGATCAGCAGCGGAGCTAAGACCAGTAAAGCAACTGGCTCCGGTGTGGGCGGATGGCGCCGCTTCGGCGGCAGATGGGGCGGAAGAAGATGGGATTGGCGCGAAGTGGCGCTGCAATGCATGTTTCCGGCCGGTGTGCTCTATTTTGTCATGGCTTGGGCAGAGCAGTTAAGGAGAGAGTGGTCACAGTGTTGATTCAATACGGAATATCGCTTTGTATATCTTGCCGCTTCCCCTGTTCCTTTCTCTTTCTGCTGGATGTGCAAGATTATTGTTGAGGATAGTTCTCAGCAGATACCGATAAAATTGGTCAGTAATCGATTGTTGCAAACGTGACCAAATGCATTTGCGGTCAGATGCTTCAACTCGCTTGCCATCCAGCTCTCGGCAGCGCAACCATCTCTCCTTTCTAACACCGCTCATTATCAGTAATAACCTTGGAACTGCCCAAACTCAAATCCTGGACTTGGCACGATAGCACGCAAGGATGGCCTCGGACTCGTCGGCTTCTACCACGCCTCTAATCTTAACACCGGATTCGACGGGAATTGTTGAAGCCGATCCTTCTGGTAATTCCTCGACGCAGCTCAGGAAGTCCCGACGACAAACCGCGTTCTATCCTCATGTTAATTCGTCGAACAAGACACAGAAGCCGTTCAGCCGGAGCGCTGCGAAGCGGGAGAGTGTGATGGCGTTGGGAAGCATTGAGCATCTGCAGCATTATTTCACGAAGACTGGCATTGAAGCGAAGAAGAGGTGAGCAAGTCTCTCTTTGCTTTCATGCTTCTCGTCCGGGCATGACCGTCGGAGTCGATCTCCGTTCATTTGTGAACTGCGCAGTCGAATGGCGGAACTTACATTGCTCATGCTCCGCATCCTACCGGTATGACCTTGCAACTTACCGAGTTGTAGTTCGAAAGCAGGGAAGGGAATCCACGGCCTAGTCCCCGTTTTCGGAGGTCTTACGCATGGACGCACGGATTCTGTCGAGTCAGCTTATGCGGACCTGCCTCCCTCTCCGGTTATTCCTCAGCCCCCAGTCCAGGCCTTTCCTCCCTATGTCAAAACATACGAGATGGATCCGGAGTCTCTTCTGCCCGGCGTCATTGACGACCTGTCGGATGTCGCCTTTGCGTGGAATATCGACCAAACTGCCCCCCAAACCAAATCCTTCGCTCTGCTATCCGTGGGCAGCTCCTCGAACTACGTCGACGTGCTCAAAGTATTACAAACGACGACCCGGGCCATCCGCTCTGTCCGTAACTATCTCTTGTCGCTACCAGACGAGTCCGCGGGAACAATCAGGGCACAATTCCGATCGCGGCATCTACCGGGGAGCTTCCGTCCGGCCATGTCGTCCAGTCTCGCGTCTTCGCGGTCGATCACCGATCTGAGGGCTGCAGCTGCAGCTGCCAAAGAGAAAGAGAAAGAGAAAGAGAAAGATCCGCTTTCGCTCATTCGGCGCGCAGCATTGGAGGTCCTTACGGTCCTGCGGGATCTGGAGGAGCGCTGCCGGCTGCCGCTGAGTGACGATGCATATGACGCACAGAGCGACCGAGGCTCCAGGGGTGGGCACTCGCGCATTGCTAGTCCTAACATGCTTTCCGATGTGCCCTTACCGGATGGGGGATCATCATTTGACCATGATGAACACCACGACCACGATGGTAATGTTGCCTTTTCGCTGGTGCAGGTCAACGGGAGGTTCGAGAGCGTGCCGGTTTGGGAGGATGAGGACAGCGTTGTATGGGACGACGAGGACGACAACAAGGTCAAAAAGGAAGGCTGGGACGAGAAACTGGTTCTGGGCAGCGGCTGGCTCTATCGACAGGACGTAACTTTGGAGGCTCTCGGCCGGGAGCGGGGTATGGTGTCTGCATATCTGGACGTCGTTGACGAAGTCATCTTCGAGGGCAAGAAAGCCGAGAACGAACGAGGTTGGGCACGAGAGCGTCGCAAGGCTTCCGAAAAGGGCAGTGTCAGGTCTCGCAGCAGAGACACACGGAGGGCCCATTCGAGTGACGACGGCAGTGTCTTTACGTCCAACTCCGCAGAAAAAGCCAAACGCCGTGTCTCGATGGGCATGTTCGAGATGATGAGTGCGCTCAAGGTGACAGCGGAACCCGGGCAGATTGATGAAATTGACGAGGAGAGCGACGGCACCGAGGAGAGCGTGGATGACGACGATCTACCGGAATGGGCACGGCGGGCTGCCTTTGAGAACGATGAACTTGGTCCGCCCTCTTGCTTAGATATCCGATCTGCGCTGACACCTTCTCCAAGGTCGTGCGCACTCCTTGCTGGCTTCGTCGTTGCCTCCCAATCTCGTGGGAGCTCTCGCCCCCTCAACGTCGAGACTCAAGTTTCTGGAATCTCTTTCCTCTGGACAGCTGCTTAGCGTTGCATACAATACGTGTGTACGCAAATCCAAGAAACCTTGGGGATACATCAGTCCAGATGGCATCCATGACATACTGGCCCTCGAGGCAGCGACAGGAGACGGAGAAAGCAAGAAGGGCTGGACCTTCCGGCGCATAGACAATCTTCGACTATGGGGAGGGTGAGTTTTACTGTTTAATCTGCCGGCCCGATTCTCAGGGATCGTCTCCAAGTGCACTGAAGATACGGTATATGCTGCCGATTACTGCACCGCCATCCGGCACTACGCCACTGGGAACGCCATTGAATTCTCCTTCTATCCAGCAGCGGTTCAATCCAGGCCAACCGCCGGTCGTCTTCGATGCTAAGATTGTGGCACGGCAAGACGCGGGGTGGGATGAGATTCTCGAGGGTGTGATTTTGCGCTGGATGCAGCGAGTGGTGGCGGAGAAACGAGGAGAGGCATGATTAATGTACACGACGACCTTGGATTGATTATGAAAGGGAAGGAAATAATGTCTGTTCTGTATCTGTACGACTTGAATCTAGACATGCTTCATATGCTTTCGGCCGAAGTATTCGGATGACATCGGACGAAATGAACCACAATTACCCTTTTCGGAAATGAACTTTATGGTCTCCGAATGAACAAGGGATGATGTTGGAGGGTCATAAAAACCTTCCATAGACTGCAGTAGCCTCAAATATCTGACTTTCAGACATTTTGCTTGCATAGAACCCGGTGGAATTGGCTGGCTAGCTTCCATCACATCGGAGTTTCTCCCTGACTGGTGAGTTTGTTATAGTGAAACATGGCCATTTAGCATTAGGCTCTATTCAAGACTCTGACACGGTGATCTCATCTTATTTTGGACGGAGTAGAAGTGGAAGCGTGCAGTCACAAACGGATTGTGTCTATTTGTTCTGCAACAAATCATTCTCATTCTTTCCCGTCAAGGCCATGAAACTCACAGAAGCACTCGGGATAGTGCATCAGATGGGATTCACAATGTTTCTAGGTTTTCCTGTGGTTTGTAAAGCGATTTGGGCGACGCCATCGTTGCTTTTCCGCCCCCGCGAGCTCTCGCGCATCAGCATGAACGCTCTCTGGATGCTCTTCGGAGAAGGCAGTGACCAAGGCTCTAGGGATGACAAGATCAAGCTCATCCGAGCTAATTCCTATGGGACTGTGCTTGACATCGGAGCTGGTGAGATTCCAGTGTCCGTTTTTATGCCCCGCTGGTATTGATCAGTAGGACCAGGCCACGGCCACACCATTCCGTACTTGGACAAGATGCAGGTTGTGAGGTATATCGCCGTAGAGCCCAATACGCACATGCACGCGCAAATCAGGGTGCGCGCTTATCAGGCAGGCTTCACAGAGGAAGCAGGCACTCTGATTATCCTCGGGTGCGGAGCGGAAGACATTGCGACAATTCTCTCCGCTGCGGGGGGTCCTGTGGACACCCTGATCTCTATTCTCACGCTCTGCACTGTGCCCAGCCCTCAGAATACGATCCGGGAGCTTGTTTCCCATGTTCTTGCCCCGGGAGGAACTTTTCTGTTCCTCGAACATGTCCTGAGCCACAGGCAAGATGTCGCTTGGTGGCAGGCATTTTGGACACCCATTTGGAAATACGCATGTGATGGATGTCGCCTGGATCGTCCGACTCATCTCTGGATCGAGGATCTGAAAAATGATGACGGAGAAACGGTGTGGGAGGGGGGAGGATCGCGCTGGAATGCAACCGGGTGGCCTGAGGAGCATCTTTTCTGGCGCCAGCTCGGCCGCTATATCAAAGCGTAGAGGACAAGTGCATACACATAGTACAAGAAGGGCTACAGTGAGATAGAGATACATGGAGACTACCTTTGTTGCAGCCATTCAGCGAGCCCACGCACAAGATGTTGCGCCGCCACCTCCAGCCGCTCGTTGCGGGATCTTGCAATATCTAGGATCGTGCGCTTGCTTTTTCCAGCACTTTCCAGCTGCAGCCCGACTTTGCGTGTGGAGAACGAGACAGACAGGGCCGAGAAGGGGACGGGCGCCGGTTTCTTCGATCTCGCACGGACTATCCCACTGATTGGCCGTGTCACGGGCGTCGACGCGGGGCGGAACATACCGGTCGTCGGTGAAGAGCTTGGGCTAGAAGGTGTGACTGGAGTGCAGCATCCGTCACCACACACCACGCCCTCTCGAACCCCATATAGATTGACGAGATCTTCCAGCCTGCTACGCGGTTGTGAGAGATCGAACAGATCTCGGAAGGATTCGTCTCTCTCGAGATAGAGCTCCGTTTCATCTGCCCATACGTCCTCTCTCACTTTCAGCGCGATGAAGAGGTCCAGGATAGTTGTCTCACGGTGGCCCGTGGACAGATGTATATCAGTTGCGCCCGTTGTCGACGGGAACGCCGACTGAGCTACGACGGGAAATGGATCCGACGAGTACGGTACGCGGATGAGAGATTGATATGCAGGGAGATACGCAGAGCGCAGAACGTGCATGCAAGCTTGCGCTGGGTGAGAAAGCCTTCTCCAAGTCGACTGATGCTGCAGGAACGCACCGACATAGAGAGCACGGCTCACCAGCCGTAGAGAGTCAGAGAGCCAATACAACGTCCTACGTTGCCTTTCCAACTTGCCGCTGTCGATTCCATGCGTCTGCGGAAACGTCATGTAGATAATTTGTAGCAGGATGTGTGGAGGAAGCGACAGCAGTGTGGGCTTCGCGCGCGTGTGAGGAAATGGCGGAGGTGCCGTGTTAATCGGTACGACGTTCGTTGACGCATACGGTGGAGGAGGGGGGATCTGCATAGCGGTCTTCTCATCGATGATCATGTTGTTTTAGAAATCGTATCGCGGTAGTAGCTGCGGAGCACGTAGAAGGAGGACTGCGGAGTGATACCCGTGAGAGACGCAGAAATAGGCAGTTCACAGGAGGTACGTGTTTTCAATGCAGTGAAGACGGAACAAGTACTTGACCGGGGCGACTCAGACAGGCCGAGGTACAAGCGAGTCCCAAGAGGTCCCAAGCCATTGATCACTGATCATGATCAGCCGTCACAGTGGTGCCTTTCACGCGGTCACGGTTCGGTAAATACTCACAAGTAACTGGTCACCGGTCACTGGTCAGTCTTCCCGAGCTTACACCTGAGCCTATGGGATGGATGCTGCTTTTCTCTTCTCCAGCGCGGTGGGGTCCGATCTTCGTTTGCCGAGGTGATGAGCAGGCTTCACACGCCTCAAGACTGCTGTCGTCGTGTTGCTCACACAACACCTCGAGGCATGATCGTGAGATATTGATTGTCCCGCTTTGAGATGAATGAACTCGATGATACTTGACCGGCGGAAATGTGACCGTCTCTATCTTTGCAGGCGACCTTTAGGCACTCTTGACTCTGACCGATCCAGATCTCATCCCCGAGCTCAGATCCCTAGGCTTGACCCGGCATGCCTTTCAAGCATATAATCAGCCGGAACTTTGTAGATCTCTCACCGATCGGTGATCTCTCATAGTACGAACACGAGGCCGTTACCTTCCACGGCTTAGCCCCGGAAGCAAATTGGACATCACCCCGCGGACGCCACAATTTACGGGACAAAGCGCGCAACGCTCGCAGAAGCTGGGCCCTCAACATCAAAACTGCTTGACCTTGATCTGATTTTCCCGCAATAACATGTAGGATGCGAATGAACCGCTTTGCGCTCTTTGTTCAGGTTTTGGAACTGGGTTGCTGATAGTAATGGCACTCGCACCTGCCCTCGGCAACGTGTTCTCGCTAAATGACGGAACCACAAGTAGGGCTGTCTTCTTATTTAGGACGATGGCTCTTTGTGAGGAGTTTCTTTCCTTCCCTTGACTGTGCTCCGCTTCATCCTTGACTGTGGCCCGCGCGCGCGTTCGCGCAAGCTCAGGCCCGGGCATGTCTGAGACATCGCGATCTCCCAGTTCAGCCACATCGCACTCGTCGGCGCCTAGTCCTCCATCGACATCGACATCGTCGCCCTCACCCCGGGTCCATATCCACATCCCAAGTTCGATCCTCCCCGTTCCTACGATTCCTCGAGCAAAGTCAAATAAGAAGTCGCATGCGCGCAAGCAGCCGGTTGGCCACATCCCCCGACCGCGAAATGCCTTTATCCTCTTTCGCTGCGACTATTCGCAGCAGAATCCGCACAAGACTAAAGACTGTGACCAAAACAGCGTGTCGCGGGTTGTGGGCAAACTGTGGCGCAATATGACCGACGAACAGCGCCGGCCGTGGATTCAGCTCGCTGCTGCCGAGAAAAAGAAACACGAATACGAGTATCCGTCCTACAAGTACATGCCACGCAACAGAAAGGTGGCCCACTTCACCGAGGCAGCTGTCGTCAAGCAGATCATGCACGAGGCGAAGCGGATGGTCAAAGCAGAGGTGGATGCTGAAAGACCCAGTCTGACCCAAGACGATATCGTCGATATATTCTATCCGCCGTGGGCCTCCAAGCATCCAGCGCCGACTCGCCGAACCACTTCTTCTCCACCACCAGACGCTGTGCGCATTGAATTATACACCCCAGCGCTGGAGGAAGAGATGCGGCGTGCATCTGAACCAGAGCGTCCTTGGGAGATTGTCGCGGACCGTATCGCCTCATCCACAATTCTTCCGGTCTACCCATCGGCAGGGACGAGCGGGTGGGGCGGAGAACAGTTGTCCATCGAGGAATACCGGCAGGTGTGTTTCACTCCACTCTTCTGACGCTTTGTCGATCGCTGACGCTGGTGGCAGATCAATCATTGGCCCCCTCTACTCAAGATGGCAGAGGACGAATACGCGCCATCGACAAAGACTGCGACGGACGATGCCCCAGGCATGTCGAGTTTCCCAGAAGACTTTTTATCGGAATACCAGAGTGTGTTGCGAGCTTCTCGCGACTCCTCTCTGCGCACTACTTACAAGTTTGACTATGACGAACGTTCAGGCGTATGGTAGTCGCTGTGTTTTTTTTAATCAGTACTTTCGCATCGGATTCGGAATCCATCATGTACCATCACCCCACACCCATTCTCTTTCATGATTTGTGTGTTGCTACGCCGAAATCATGCTTCTCGTGATCAAATCTTTACACGGCTTGCTCCAATCCTCGTCCATGGCTGTTTTGGACGACGTGCGTACAACTGCAGATCATCTGAGCTTTGCTGTCCCGGCGGAACACGAGGCTGACTACCTCGCGCTGTTAAGCGCGACCGACATCGCAGCGCAGGCTGTCTTATCTCAGCCAGGTGACCGAGGAGATTTGTACGTGAGCGTCATCGTTGATAACAAGTACAGATTATCAGCCAGTGCCTGAGCTGAGCGCGTACCCCCGTACTGACGTGCATAGACCTGACCCCGAGGCGAACCGATACAGAGCATGGGCCTGGAAAGTGTCCATAGACGGAAAGCGCGGAGGAGTGCTCGATGGCAAGACCGTGTGTCTCAAGGATACGATCTGCGTTGCAGATGTGCCTCAGTTGTTCGGCTCGAACGCAATTTCACGCGGTTTCAGACGTCAGTGGTCTACATACTTTGGTGCACGGAAATACACATGTCTCTGCAGCCATCTCGGATGCGACTGTGGTTACACGGGTCCTCGATCAAGGAGGACTGATTGTCGGAAAGGCAATGTGCGAGGTAAGACTTCAGATTTGCGCGAACAAACACTACAGAATGGTAGAACTTCTCGCACGGTCCTTGCTCCCATTCGACACCATTTGGGCCCGTCGAAAATCCGTACGCAGCAGGTTTCAGCGCCGGTGGATCGAGCTCGGGTTGCGGCGCTCTCATCGGTTCTGGAGAAGTCGACATGGGAATTGGGGGAGACCAGGGTGGAAGCATCAGAATTGTAAGAGATCTTGCGCCCTGCGTACAGTGCTTGACGAGTCGTCTCAGCCAGCAGCGCATTGCGGCCTGGTGGGTCTGAAGCCCAGTTTCGGTCTCGTTCCATACACTGGAGTGGTGCGCGGCTTCGAATTTGATTCGAGCCAGACAGCAGGATCATTCGTCTTGCAGTTGTCTTCGGAACCGACAGTCGATGCAATAGGCCCGATGGCGCGCACCGCTCTGGACGCTGCTCGATTACTCGAAGCCATCGCAGGGTCAGATGCAATTGACGATCGACAGCTGGGCGCCCCGTCTCGATCAGAGGTAATGCCGTATGCACAATCAGTACTGGACAGCCGCAAAGTTGGCATTCAAGGTCTCCGAATCGGAGTCTTGAAGGAAGGATTCGCGTCATCCCATCTCCACTCGGGTGTGAACCAGAGATGTCGAGCTGCGATACACCATCTTGCCGAGATGGGTGCGATCGTTGAGGACGTCTCTGTCCCGCTGTAGGTCAAGCTTTGTCTCGGAAGAACGCCAATGAAAGAGACGAACAGACATTCAATGGCCCCTGCTATAAACCATGTGATCAACAAGTTCGGATCGGCCCAGACGAGGCAAGGTCGGCAGGTCGGTCGAAGAGGGTTGTATATCAACGAGTTCTGGGACGAGCTGTTGCCCTGGACACAGGAGAAGCTGGAGGCGGCAGGCTATTATGTGACGGGAACAGCCATGAGCGGGTGCGTACTACTCCAGATCTGGGATCCCGTATCTCTTGAATGCTTCTGACAGGGAATACGGCTGGTCCCGCTACCCTACAGCGTCAGAATAAGATATTCTATCCACTCTGCAATCTACTCACGCGCTACACAGTTATGGTCGAGCAACAAATCTCGCTCGAAAACTGCGCGATGCATTCGACATGGCATTGGCATCTTGCGATGTCCTGGTCATGCCCACCCTTCCTCAACCGGCACGGCGGCATCCGAGCGATGGAGCAGGCCCCTTGGCCTGGACGGAGGTCGCTCGTAAGTGGAAAAGTAAAAGAAGGCTATACAAACTGAGAGCCTCCCCGCAGCTGGGATAACAAACAACACAGCAGCATTCAATCTGACAGGCCATCCTAGTATCACATTCCCTGTCGGTTTCGTCGAGCCCATGGAGCAAGATATACAGAGCGATGAAGACGCTGGGATAAAGCTTCCATGCGGCCTGATGCTAGTCGGAAAGATGTGGGATGAGACGATGCTCTTCCAGATCGCTGATGCCTTTGAGATGAAGTTCGACTGGCGAAGTTTGTGAAAGACCAATAATACATATTTTCAAGACCAGTGCCCGATGCTGAGTTACTGTGGTACGACCTGCTAGTGTCAGTGTCAGGGGATTAACCGACACACGTGACTAAAATCGTGAGATCTTCAAAAAGTAAAGTGGTGTGTTCTGAGAGGCTAGAGCAGGCATCAAAAGGCAGCGACTCGCTCTCTTTCCCCCACCATCACTTACCGCAGTTGTCATCCGCAATGGCTTTCAACTCCACTGCATCGGCTCACATGGCCTCCCTGTACGGGACTACGGACTTTTCTTCTTACTCCTGGCTGGAGCAGAAATGGGCGGCATGGTACATCTACATGGGCAATCCCATTCTTGCTACGGGCTTGATGAGTTTCCTCCTTCACGAGGTCGGCTCGAATCTCTTTCCAATATGTGGCACTCTCTAAGACTCATCCCAGATTGTATACTTCGGACGTTGTATACCATGGGTCATCATCGACTCTATCCCATATTTCCGTCGCTGGAAGCTACAGGCAAACAAGATTCCCACGGCCAAGGAACAGTGGGAATGCACCAAGCAGGTCCTGTTCTCTCATTTCATGGTGGAGCTGCCTGTGGTACGTTGCCTTGCTAACCGTGCTCTGCGACCCTGCTCTGACCTGGCCGCTCCAGATTTGGCTGTTCCATCCCATGGCGGAGGTCTTTGGCATGCGGACATACGAGATTCCTTTCCCACCTCTCAAGGAGATGCTTCCTCAAGTGTTCCTGTTCTTCGTCTTCGAGGACATGTTCCACTACTTCGCGCACCAGGCGCTCCATTACGGCCCGCTGTACAAGCACATCCACAAGATCCACCACAAGTACTCGGCTCCCTTCGGCCTGGCTGCAGAGTATGCCCATCCCGCTGAAGTCGCCATTCTGGGCACTGGCACGATCGCTGGGCCCCTGCTGTACTGCATGATCACCAGCAACTTGCACATAGTCACCATGTACCTCTGGATTGTCCTGCGGCTCTTCCAGGCTGTTGATGCCCACAGTGGATATGGTGTGTGTCTTGCGTTTTGAGGGTTTTCTGACGCTTACCGCTGCATGCAGACTTCCCCTGGTCTCTGCAGCACATCGTTCCTTTCTGGTCTGGTGCCGAGCACCACGACTTCCACCACATGGCATTCACGAACAACTACAGCACCTCGTTCCGGTGGTGCGACCGCATCTTCGGCACGGACGACAAGTACCGTGTTTACCGAGCTCGCGTCGAGACAGCCAAGAAGTCGATGGCCAACGCGTCGAAGGCTGATCACGACGAGCTCGAGCGCAAACTCATGGCCGAAGTCGAGGCTGAAGGCCTGCTCGCGGAGGCTGAGGTCATTCGCAATGCAGAAAAGTCCACGAAGAGGGATTAGACGTCCGCTTTACATATATTATACTTGACTATTTTGAATGAGACGTAGAATCATCGCAACAATCATTCGCGCGTGCCTAGCCTCGGAGAAAAGCTTGGATTCATTTTTTTTCGTCCAGACTGTCTAATCTACTATGCCATGCCCCAAAGGCGTCCTTCTGGACTGGACGCCCCCAGTCAATGTTATTGGGAAGTGGTGATACGCGGCTGCTCGTTGTTTGGTTCAGAAGTGTCCTGAGGCAGGCCCGCTTGGCCAGTGACAATTCCGATGACAGTGGCAGTCTGGGACAAATCTCCGTCTCCCCTTGTTGGCAGAGCAGGCCGATCCCGGCGCGCACCGATGAGCCAATCGACCGTATCATGTCGTGACAGTGTCACCATGAGCGAGCGAGTACGGGATTGCATATTGCCGCTGAGCGTGAAGAACGGGATCGAAAGACCGTCTACCACAAATGAGACGGAGTAAGTTGATGCTAGCTGATCGCACGCACGGACGATAATCGACCCAAGCACGACAAATGCGACGATAGGCTGTAACGTGGCAGCCAAAAGCTCTTGTTGATCCGCCGGTGGATTGTTTGGCTGTGGGAGTCGCGACACGGCAAGCGTGGACACAAAAACGGCCCCGACACCCATCTGTTCGATGCATTGAGTCTGCGGTGGTCGAATGAGACGCTCGGCTCACTGGTCCAAAATGACCTGTAAAAAGTGCCTCCTTCCACGTCTTAATCTCTGGCACGAATCGATACAGCAACAACACTACTGGAATCCGCCGCAACGCTAAGATGGTCAAAAACAAGACGACCAAGCGCCAGGGGGTGATTCCGATTTCTGGACTGTTGAATGCCTCGAAAGGCATCCACGCACCGATGTAGACAAAGCAGCCGCAGTTGAGGACGAGGTCGATCACAGAGGAGAAAACTTCGTTCTCCGTGATCTCATTGAAATGCTGGTCCCAGGAAATAGCGTTTCCACACGCGAATGCTGCCAGCAAGTCGTCGCTGCCGATGGTTGAGGCAACACCTGTTGATATGTCAAGGAAGGGACGAATGGGGCACAGAGATCTTGGACATACCTGTAGTGAACAGGGCCAAGGCAAGATATTGCGCGATATAGGATTGGCGATCGATGAAGCCCCTTCGATGGGAGACCTTCATGAGATACGAGAAGCTCAATCCTAGCTATCTGTCAGTCGCTTTGTCCGGGAGAGAAAGGACACTGACCCATGATAGATCCCAGGACGATACCCAGGATGACTTCATCTACGACAAGTCAGATCTCGACTCAACGCAATAGTGATTCACGGACATAACCAGCCCACCAAGAACCATTTCCCGATCGCCACCTTCCTCGACGCCTCAACGGTCAAGTAGATAGAGATGCTCAGGAATGGATACGCAAGCCCGTCGTTGGCTGCCGATTCAGCCGAAATGAGCAATCGCAAGTTGCGTGGTACGTGCTTGAGTGCCCACGACCCGCCCACGATTGTGGCACAAATGATGGGGTCGGTCGGCGTCAAGCACGCCGTGACTGCGAGACAGGAGATGAATGCGAGGTTAGGGAAAATGAGGTACATGATCGCTGGAGGAAGGAGCCGTCAATTGTAATCTAAGCAGGTGAAAAAAGCGCACCAGAGATGGTGAGCCATCCCAATGCCATGGTTGGCACGACGAGGACCGCAAGCCCTCGAGCATGTCTCTTCATGTACGATCCGGGAAGCTCTACACCAATGGCGAACAGCCCTGTAGCAAGAATCACCCGCATGACTTCCAACGTAATGGCATTGGTCGAGGGGCCCCACGAGCGGGGATCGAAGATATTGGCACAGTGGGGGCCGACAATTATACCGAAAGCGGTTCCGAGGATCACCTCGTTAATGTACAACTGGCAGATACAGATGAGCGGACGAATTCCAAGTTAAGCTGAACTGGAAACCTTTTCCTTAACAAGCAATGATATGGATGAGAACTGTACGGAGGTTGAGTCGCCATGCACATCTCCATCCGATAGCCAACATACGGCAACGATGAATCCTCCCAGGCAAATGTAGGCGAGGCTTGTGGGGGTGACCTAAACACGAATATGAAGTGGTTAGCGTTAGACAGCGTCAAAGAAGGGTCGGTGGGTATCTCAACTTCTAAGAGCTCTACGCTAAGCATTCTGATAGCCCAGTGATTTTTCCCTGAGAGTTGACGGGATGTGTAGAGGCGGGCAGCAGAGGCTGGGAGGTAAAGCTGCAGGACGGGCTTAGAGTGGTGCAAGTGCTTAGTTAATATTAATAGTGAGCAACTTGCAGTGTGATTTTCCGAGTGGTTTTCACACGGTTTTCAGTCCAAAATCAAGTCGCGTGACCATGGACCGCTCACTGCAAATTGTGATATAGAATTCGCTTTATGTTATCATTTAAAGCATCGTATTCGATAAGTATCTCTGACAGTGATCATGCCGCTCGCTGCATTGGGAGAGCTAAGGTAGGGCTCATGGACTTTCGGCACACGTCACGTGAGGTTACTGATGTGTGACCAGACCTCACCCAATTCGGCCTCAAGACTACAATTCGGATTTGACGCTAAGTACTTTACGCTTATACAACGCTGTATATACACAAGATTAAGATACATTATCGAGCAATTCAGTATCAAGATGATTAGTAGGCATTCAAAATACATTCTATGCACTCTTTTGGAGCTCGGAGGCTTTTGCAACATCAAGTTCTTCCATCAGGCTTTCGGGCAGCATTCGATGGCCCCGGTACTTCTTGGCTGCCCACGCTGCCCATTTTCCGTCAAGACCAACCTTGTAGGCATGCATGAAACGTCTTGATCTCCGAGCAAATCTATGCAGAAAATGTTGAGACTCAGAGCAGTCAATGCGGGTAAATTCGGACCACTTACTTTCTCATGTCGCACAGAGTTACGGACTCAAGCGCACGTGTTGTATTGATTTCGACATCCTCCTCCTTTGACGAGGCCGGAAGCTTTCGATAGAACAGTTTGGCCTTGCCCCAACACATCTCTATGAAATTTAACTCGCAATGGAACTTGGGCAGGAAGAGAACATTATAGCCGTGTTCCCGGGATAGAATCTCGAGACGTGATGGCGAATTCCTGAAATCAGGTTGGTTATAAAGGATCCGACGGCAGCAACAGCGGGCATCGGGATTGGTGACATCAGGGCACTTGAAGCCGTTGCACTGAGCGAGGAGCGTCTTCTGTGAACCAGTTTTCGGACAGGTATACTGAAGGTCGATCCCACGCTCTGCGAGAATTACAGCCATGCCTTTGAAGATGCCAGCACGAGGGTGACCGGGTGGGAAATAGAAATGGTGTGGAGAACCGTCGGGGAACTTGCCAGGTGCCATTGGGATAGTGACCATCACCGGCTTTTGATTCTTGTCAAGGACCTCTTTCCCATGTTCGTCGCGAGCCAGTATCGAAACTCCCCAGTTCTTGCCCTCAGCCGGTGTACATTTAGGCATCTTTCGAGCGGAGATGGCGTCATCAGGTCGTTTACAGTGAGTTGTCGCATTATCGAACACCAAGACATGCTCCTCATCCGGATAGTCAGAAGCCAGAATCTCCATTGCATTGCGCGCTTGCTCAAGAATCTCTGTGTTTGTGAAATAGCCATCGCGATTCTTTCCTGGTTTGAAGACAGCACGCGCAGAGCGCTTCCCATCCCGTGAACGCAGCCATCCATAATCGGCGGAAACAAGATCCGCAACCATGAGAGAGACACCTTCGCCCTTTGCGTACGGAGTTGGTGATGCACCGTCTTGAACCCAGCGCGCGAGACGACGGTCATGAGCATAGAACATCGATTCATCGTGAAACCAGACGACAACTCGTTTGCTGTTGATCTGCATCGAGGCACCATGGATACCGTTCGTGACGGTCTCTAGCTCATTCATCTCTGGTCCTGTCCATGAACGCATGCGGTCTTCGAGTTTGTACCATTCCGGGATGAAAACCGCTTGCCGATATTGGACGACATCCTCCCGTTCGTGTCCGTCAACATACTGGCCCTTGTGGTTTCGTACCCATCGGAACTTCAGTGCGTGCATCCAGCGTTTGGCGGTAGCGATGGAGATGGTGGAGGGAAGATTATGTTGGACTTGAATCTCAGGCCGACTCATGAACTCCACGAGATCCTTGGCCTGAACATACGGTCCCACCCCAACGCAATGCTCTATCAATGCTTCGGCGAGTTCCGGGTGAGTCTCCATCTTCTTCTTGGCCCATGCACCAAACGAGCTCGCAGGAATCTTCCGGGTCTCGATGAAAGTACGAGCACGATCGCGAATAGACCGAGCAGATCCATAACGACTGTTTGTCTTCCTCGCACGCTTGAGGGCAGCAGCGGCGGCAATCAAGGATTCTGTCCATTTGTCGTACGTAGCTGAGGAGTTTGTCGTATACAGGTTCAAGAAGATCTGAATGCCATGTAGTCATTCACGGCTCCACCCAGCAAGCTTGGTGGGAATGCGTCGCTGTCTTTGGTTGGCAGCCTGTGGGACAAAGAGCAGTGTGTCGATGCATTCTAATGATTCCAGAGCTATTACAACTGTTGGCGCTTGTCGCGCTTTTCCGCTAGTGCCGGGTCTTGGACATGGAGTTTCAGGATCAGGCTGCAAATCATCGTTCTCTTGTTCAGGGTCCAGAAACTCCTCTTCGTGTCCCTCTTCATCTGCCTCCCCAAAGTCTCTGTCAATCTCGTCTGGATCTGCCGTGAAAACACCAGAGTACAATGTGATTGTTGGAAGGTGTCGGATGGGTGATGGTGGGACAGAGCAAGGGCTACTGTTGTTGCTCATGGGAATGGGAATCGGGTCGTGGTCCTCTGCGATGCGGTTCTCCGCAGGCTCTGGCTCCAGTTGTGGTAGTTGAGTGTTGTCAAGCAAAAAGAGCTCATCATGGATCATCTCGTCCAATGTGTCTTGCCTGCTGTTTGACGCGTCATTCAGGTTGTCTGGCGCGTCATTCGCGTTGTCTGGCACGTCATTCGCGTTGTCTGGCGCGTCATTCGCGTTGTCTGACGCGTCATTCTCTTCATCTGATGCGTTTCTTGTCTTGCCAACGGGTTTCTTGACTCTGCAACGTTTTCGAGGCTTGACATTTGGCAGTGCGACCTTCCATTGCATTCAATGGGGGTATGGTAAGAGAGCACAACCACATACATTCTGATTGTTCTCTCCTGCCTTCCGTTTCTTTGCTGTGGTCTTGGACGTGTTTGGAGTCACTTTGATTCCATTTGCATTGAAGTTTCTGAGGTTTCCTAGTTTCCGCCGACACATGGGACTGAGACGGAGCCACAAAGATGGTCAAATGCAGACTGTGCAAGGAATGGCGGTGTAATTTAGGGCTAAATCAAAATTCTGACCTCACATGGCCAATTCTATACATAAATACTACTGCATTGTGAGGTTAGATTCCCTATTTCAGTCTGTTTGCAGACGCTATTCACTGCGCAAAAGCTTTGGTCGCTCCGTCACGCTGAGCACGTGTTGATCACGTGACGTGTGCCGAAAGTCCATGAGCCCTACCTTATAATATCTGATCATGTCATATATTGCCAATCATTTTGGAGTTTTAGTGCTGAGCGCGGATATTTCTTAACCTATATGTAGCCAGCTGCAGTATGAGAATTCTATGATAACGGACGACTAAAAGTCAGTGCATAAGGATAACAAAATAATGATTACTTCTCCGGGTCCCACTAGTTCCGATCATGATGCGTGATACATAGGTTGTCAAGCTGTTCAAAGCAGTGAGCCGGCCCGAGCACTGGTTTACTGTGAATCACTCATAAACCTCGTTGTGGTGCGGCGGAAGCAGCTTTGTCACAACCTCCAACATGAACGACCCTCCCGTCTACACCGCACCTTCCGCGCGCGAGTATGCGCAAAAGTACACATACCTTCCGACACATGTGTCGGAGGACTCGGTTTCCGAGTCCATGACCACTTTACACGAGCTACCCTCGGCGTACGACGAGTCCAATGGAGCTCCTCGGTCTATGATGCGCACCCCCAGTCCCACACCGAGCGAATACAATGCACTCAATGGGATCAGTGAGAAGCGGTCGTTGAAAGACAATATCAGTGTGTCCCCCTTCTACTGCCTTCCGGATCGTTGCAGGCCGCTGAGCTACACTGTGGCCAGTTCGAGTGGTTGTCCTTCTCCTCGTTTTGGCTGTCGTCATTGTCATCGCCGTTCTGCATGACCAAATCATCACTGCACTCCGGCCTGCTACCAACTGGCTCGAAAAGTGAATCCTGCGCTGTGTCTTTCCGTTCGAATGAATCTGACGGGTTGTGTCGCAGGCAGAAGATCCTGGGCCCGATCATCGTCATTATTGTCTTTCTTGTCATCTCTTTTCCTCCTGCAAGTGTTTGCCGTTTCAACCGCGAAGCTTAATTTCATGGTTTCCCTCAGCTTTTCGGTCACGAACTGGTCGCGATCCTTGTTGGAGTCACATGGTCGTTACCGGAGGCCTTTGCGATAACTGCAGTCGGCACCCTTCTGGGAGAGATCGCCAATTATTTGTGGGTCGAATTGGCGACCTTACTACTACCCACTTAGAACTAATCATCTGTGACGTTTGCAGTGTTTTCCGCTATGGCTGTCATTCACGAGGCGAAAAACTTGAGAAAACGAGTCTCGACTATGGTCTTCTCGCGCACGTCGTTCGCAAGCATGGGTTCCCGATCATCCTGGTCATTCGCTTTAGCGCAATCCCGTCCCATCTTTCAACGACCGTTTTCGCCACCGCAGGGATCCCCTTCCTCACGTACCTGGCTGCAGCAATCCTCTCACTCCCGAAACCTCTTGTGCCGGTGTATGTTGGGTATGCGATGAAATCGAATGGTACCCAAAGTAAAACTATCGAGCACATCGTTTTGGTGATAACCATCGCCATAACCATTGGCGCTCTGATCTGGATTCGGAGGCTGGAAGCGCTCGCGAAACCTGACGTCATCTACGCTCGCCGCAAGGCCCGTCAAGCAAAGCTGTGTGAGTGCTGGTCGCATCGCCGTGCATGGCCGTCTGACAGGGTTTCTAGTATCCAGCACGGCCTACGAATCTAATGAACGCTATGATGCTTAGAGTGGCTCTGTATTTACGAGGACAATATATTTCTGCGCATTGTATCTAGTAGCTATTTCATCATCTTCCATCCTTGGCCGCACTGTGAAGGCCTCGCCTGTGCGCGCTTGACGTGATAGTGATCATTCACTGGTCCATGATGTGATTACTTGCTGTACACATCTGCGACATATCCAGTGCAGACACCCTTCAGTCTGTTCGTCCAGGCCTCATCCAATACCAAGACGACATCTTCAGCTGTGCCACGGGTCAGATCACGTCTGAAGATAAGAGGCCAAGAGGCTCACGCAGCGGTCCCTTATCGAGGTCAATGAGGTTCTGATTGCGCCAGTCAGCAGATATCATGTCCAAGCAGAGATGGAGAGCACCTGTCTCAGGTGCGCCATGCTGGACGCGCCGATCAAAATCGAATCGCCATATTCACGCTTCATGAGGGAGTGATGATTGATCCATCGCAGAGCGATTTCAGGCAAGGTAAGACCGTGCTTCTCGCCTGCTTCCTTAACCTTTGCGAGTGTCTCAAAGTAGGGCTCGTTCCAGTAGCGACTGCGGTACATCTGGAAAAAGTAAGCGGACATAGACATGGACCATCTAGACTCAGCGTCTTACATGACCGGTAGCATGAGTGTTGTCGAAGCGAGAGCCAAAATCGGCTCCACTTTCCATCCCGGAGTAGCGTCCGGTGAAGAATCCGCCGCCAACTGAATATGCGAAAGGGTCAGTCAGAAGCGCACCATTGAGAAATGACACTCCCGCGGATTGAATTCATAGAATGCGATCCCGAATTTGCGGAGACAAGGAAAGAGCTCTGGCTCAGCAGCCCGATGGATAGCATTGTACAAGCCCTGATAGACGGTGGGCTTGACCCAGCCGTTGCGCTCGCAGATCCCGACAATTTCAGCAACCTCCCACGACTTGTAGTTGCTGATGCCGAAACGCTTGAACTTCCCTTCCTGGTAGAGCTCATTGGCAGTCCGAAGTGCATCTTCGAACGAATTGCCACGAGTAGGCCCATGCAGATACCACATCTCGATCCGGCTGCAAGGACGCAATGAATACCCAAGGGTTCGAAGGCTGAGCTCACGTACTCTGCTTTGAGGGCATCGAGCGACATCTGACAGAACTTGCGGATATTTTGCGGGGAGTGGTCACCGATGTGCGTCAAACCGAGCTCGGGCTGAGAGCACTGCAGTCAGTTCAGTTCAAATCAAGATCGAAGAGCGCTTACCGGGACAGAGAAAAGTTTTGTCTCCATCAGGACCCCCTTGCCCTTCCAGTCGATCTGACCAAGCACCTGTTCGTTGGTTCCCACTGCGTAGAAACGCGCTGCATCGAACTAGCGAAGATGATCAGAGCTGGGTCCCACAGAAAGTGACTAGTAGAAACCTCGCGGTGCCCATGACTGAGGAAGACGTCGATCATGGCCTCGATGTCTTTCAGATTAGTGACGCGTGTACCAGGAGTGCCCGGGGCTCCGAAGGTCATCGTCCCCTGGACGTTCGAGTCGAAGCGGGTGAGAAACGTCCGGTAAGGAGGCACACGCTCAACGAACCAAGACGACATTGAGCTCGGATTTCTGTCCGGGATATGCGGCAGTCGACATTCTCTGCTCGGGGTTGCCGTAGATAGAGGGTTAGACTGAGAGACGGAGGGACAATCGTCCAGGTGATGTCACATCGATCTATTATTAATCAACCTTTTGAGCGCGTCAACTTGGATGCGCCATGTGGCCACAGCAGTCACGCCACCGCGAAGCTCCAGGGATGCGGATTCAATGAGGATTCGGAAAATGTTTTCAAAGGAGAGTTAAAGCTCGAACGGAGCCTCCGTACTTATGAGAGTCTCAGCTCCTGCTCGGAATGAGTGTCGTCGTTCCTCTATTTGTCATCTGCACGGATGGTTAACTTCAGATCAGGGCCTTTTCAGCAAAGATTGCGGATCTAGGATTGCAGTCGCAGCGGAGATGCCCGGCGAACAGTTTGTAGATCGCAATCGATAATCTATCACGTATCAATTGTTCCTATCAATGTGACAAAGCAGTGATGTCCCCATCAAAAACGTTCCTTCTCGCAGCGACGACCCTAGGCATCTTGTCGTCGGGATCTAACGCGCTAGCATCCCAGGCAGTCTGAGAAGCTGCGTGGAAAGCCTTCCCATCTCGTCCTGTCGTCTCGGAGTAGCGCGTTGGAAACGTATGTCTCTGACTAACGACAGTTTGCTCGCGCTGACGGGGAGCTTTTGCAGATGTCCAGACCATATTCGCGACCAATGTCGGCCATCACACAACCTCTCAACATGGTGTATCAAGCTCTGCTAGCGGCTGTTGGTCGCCTGGATAAATCCTTCAATCCAGCGGACACACTGGAGAAAGTTCGCAAGCATCAGTTCACATGGAGTGACTCAATCTATGCCCTTCACCTCGCATTACTGGCCTTCTGGATTCCCATGATGGAGGTTCCGGGATACCCTACGAAGCTTGTCATCCCGTTATTCTTCGCGGTGACGTTGTCCATCCCGTTCACTTCGCAATTCGTCCACCGAGCCCTGCCAATATTTGCTTGGTTGCTCACGTATTACACCTCACGGTCCATCCCTGTCCCTTGGAGGCCAGGCATCTCGGTGTCATTCCTTCCGACACTCGAGTCGGTCATGTACGGGGCGAACATCTCGGATATCCTCACTCGCTTTACCCATCCCATTCTCGACATCATCGCGTGGCTGCCGTATGGGACGTTCCACTTCATACTCCCGTTTGTCGTTGCTGCATTTTCATGGCTTTTCCGGCCAAAAGAGGTTTTGCACTTGTGGGCCCGTGTTTTCGGGTGGCTCAACTTCACCGGTGTGCTTATTCAAATTATGATTCCCTGCGCTCCACCGTGGTACGAGGTCATCCATGGTCTGACACCGGCGAATTACGGCATGAAGGGCTCTCCGGGAGGCCTGCTGCGTATCGATCGTCTGTTCCACTCAAACGGATACAACGTGACTTTCTCCAACTCACCGATCATCTTTGGAGCCTTCCCCTCGCTTCACGCCGGCTGTGCGACCCTTGAAGCCCTCTTTCTCTCGCACTTCTTCCCTCAGTGCACGACCTACATCTGGGCTTATGTCAGCGTCTTGTACTGGGCGACAATGTATCTTTCGCACCACTACCTCATCGATGTCACGGCGGGCGCTTGTCTCGCCGCATTCTTCTTCTATCTGTTCCTTCCCGACGAGTTCCGCAATACAGCTGCAGCCACGGCCCCGCCATCGAGTGGCCCACGCTCCAAGTATGATCTGTATGGGTTGGAGACACCGCGGACCCTTCGGCGCAGCATGATGGTCGATGCTGCAGACTTTGAGCTTTCCGAGGGCGAAGTATCTGAAGAGGAGGAAGATATCTCTTACCGTTCACCGCTTCCCGTGGGCGTGGCTACCAATGCCAACGGAGCAAGTAAGACTCAGCAGGGTCCCAAAAGCCATCGGCACACTGCAAGCATCGCTAGCTTGATTCGGGAAGGGGAGAGAGGTCCCGAAGAAGGTTGGCAGCCAAGCCCAATCGGCGCAACCTTTTTCGATGCGGCTGGAGAGCTGGAAAGCGGCAGGAAATAGACGCATTGTTGTTCATTATCACTTGGAATATATACTGTACAGGCTACATAATCACTGAAATAAATGACTGCCGCTTTCCTGAGCGCTGTGTCTCGCATTTAGAGAGGAAGTTCGATTAACATTTCTCTCAGTTTCAGTTGAATTGCTTCGAGGTGTCATGTGACTCGCCAAGCACTTGTATCCAGTCGCTCACCGTCTTGCTTCTTTACTATAACAATGCCCAAATTCCCTTGGGATGTGTTCTCCGCCAACACATTGCGTCCCATGGTTGCAGATATCCTACGACAGCGCCAGGGAAATGGCCCTGCGCTCAAGCTGGACAAACAGGAATCACTTCAGCTGCTACAAAAGATCGAGTCGGATGGACGTGCGTTCTTCTATTGGATCCCTCTTTCATTGCCACAAGATCTTCTAGTGAACTCGGCTCTCAGAAGTCTGTCCGCACAATCGAAAGAATCCAAACAATCAACGAGAAAGCGAAAACAGGAAGAGCCACCTGTTGAGGAAGCCAGGCCAAGCCGCAAACGAGGAAAACAGGTGCTTGAGTCTCCAGAGCCCTCGATTTCGGCGCCAGCCAGGATGTCGCTCCGTTCTCAGAAGACTGATGCGCCGGAGCCGGCCCATTCTCGTTCACTCGTTTCAAGTACCGCTATCAGTGTTGGAAGAAGCACCCGCCGAACTCAAATCGCGCCAGTGCATACCTCAGCACCCGAAGAAGCGAGGAAGACCAGAACATGGCGTGTCCTTGAGAAAGCCTCCGAGCCATTCTTGTCGCCCTCCAAGCGCCAAAGAGTGCCGAGAATTCTATCTTCACCCCAGCCTCTAATCGCATCCAAGCGAACATCCAGAGCGGCTGGCAGGAAGAAATCGACCTCGGCTATAACCACCAGCCATGGAATGTCCACAGTGACAAGAGGGGTCGGCAGGAAGACCAAGGCCAAGGTCATCGGCACTGCGAGACCTCCTCGACTGTCGCGAGCCGCTCGGAAGTCCGTGAGCAGCAAACCTGCTTCTGTGTTCGACGGAGTGGAACTCTTGCGCGCAAAGCGGCTGGCTGGCGGGAACGAGGCGACCACAGCGGACGAGGGGAACCCTGCAGGTGGACATGATGGGGATGAGGACCGAGACGCCGAGGGGGATGTCGAGGCCGACGTTCCTCAGGCAGACCATCAATTTGACGCCTCGAGCTCTGAGATGTCGAATTCGAACAAAGGTGCACAATACAATCAGCACAATCTGACGTGGTCTCACTGCAGACAGAGAACGAAGCGGAACCGAGTACTTTGACGGGTATTGCGGATGCGGAAACACCTAGGACTGATCTTCTTGATGATCTGCTGGTGTCAGAAGGTTTTGTCCTCGATACATTACTCTTTGCATGCTGGATTTGACAATAAAACAGGCACTCCTGCGCCGCAAATAGGTGTGCCACCTGTGGAAGCACGGGACATTGGGCTGGGTACGATCTGTTCCTCTGTGCCGTTTGCAACCCTGACACTGAGGGCAGCAACGGGATCCCCGACACCACATATAAACGTCGAAGCTATGGGGTCGGAAGAAAATCAGGTACATCACCCGATGCAGCCTGGTGGAAGTAATATTACAGCGAATTTGTTGACAATCCGTGAGTTTGCTTTCGTTGATATGAATCCATTTCTTATTCGCCCAGAAACTCAAGGTGCTCGCGCCACAAGCGTTGATTTGAATCCCGAATACAGCATCCAAGTGTTCTCCCCGGGCAGCGTTCAACATAATCCAGACGAAGAGCAGTGGGTTCCAGATCGTTTCCAAGACGGGCATCCAGCTGGCCCGACCTCAGCAGGCGACGGTCTCGCGGCCTTGGATTGATGATTAGGCGTGGAACCCATATACAGCCTACTGGCTTGTGTAAACCACCTTTTGTATGTACTTGATGATCCTTCACTTTCTGCTGTGATGCATCTTGAAATTATCAGTGTGAGCCTGATAGTAATGTCGACTGTTGAACGCAAATCTATATCTTTCTACAATATATTCCTTGGGCATGCTCCTCCAGACGAACCCCATACCAATTTGTCTTATCAGCTGGGAGCCAACGGATGGATGGAATGAGCTGCACAGATGCCGGAGCATCACCTCTGCATATACACTACCTGCCAATAGGATGACTAGCAGAAACCTTTCCCAGGGCCAAATGGGCATGTGACAATGCTCAAATACCTCAACTGCAATGTCTCTGTCACATTGGCTAACAACGTCTATAATCCTACCCTTGCTGTTCACCTGGAGTTTGATGTTGCTAATAGAAATACTCAGGACGAAGCCCATGGACCACAAGACTTGCACAAAGTTCGGAGGTCAGATAAAGCTGCTATGTAAGTCTAGTATACGCAGTCCGCTTATCAACAATGTTCTTCGGACCTTCTCTTTTCCAGTGACGATCTGGTCAATGTCTTAGTGAAGGATCTCCCAACCTCCTGCCCTCCAAAGTTCTCCAAACAGTCTGTTGAATAACAGATCCAGGCTGCCATTCATTTGCAAGTCTATTCTGTTCTGGATATTCAGTTTGGATCTGACCAAGCTACCCAGTTGGTTGCCCTTGGGACCTGAGCAATGTCAGATGGACTTTTGAAGCCACGATGGGAATGTGTGATCTGATCACAGATCATCCAGCAGCGCACGTGTCCCTAATCCCATGCACGTGACTTGTGCCCTCTTGCAGTCCCTTGCGTCGCCTTTACCTGCTGGCTGGAACGATCGTAAAAGACCACGATCCGGATACTCCTTCAGTGCTATTGATTCAACTCTCATGCCATTCAACTCTGGCCAGTCGCCATCGTCCTCTACGACTTGCACCGCCGTGATGTGGTCTCATCTCTGTCATCGTCATTCCAAACCCCCTCAACCCAACCTCTCAAGAACAGATTATAACTGGAGCCGTTCTTGAATAGTGAAGCATTGGGTCTGGAAACGGTTGTTGGATAGGTGACTATTTTTCACATCAAACAGTGAGTCGCCCAGCCTCGCTCATTTGCCTCCTGCGCTCTCACTCATCGCCGATTACTTATACTATGCGTACAATAGGATTTCCATGATCCCTTGGCTTTATCATGGAAAGAGAGACTCCACAGTCAGCACACAGGCTATCGCCTGATCGCTTCCACGTACCTCGTACTCGGTTTCCCAACGTCTCCTGCAGTTGTCGGACTCACAATCATTCGCTCTCACTCGTCGTTGGAATCGTAATTGGAAACCCGATGGTTCCTGCGTTCATTAGTAGTTTGGAGTCGACGCTCCAGCTGGATCGTGTTGTCTCTGTTGGCTAGGAGGTGCGTGATCCATCGGTGCCAACTTCACAACTCTCTAGCCTCAACACTTCCAGCATAGCAAGGCCTAACTTGCCTCTCGTTCTTCTACTTCACCCTCCGTTCCCCTCTGGCAATGTCATCGCCCATCGCCGGCACGCGAGGTCAATCTTCCTAAAAAGGCAATCGGGCCGAGCCGGGAGTTGCCAGCAAACAATCGACTTTTTGGACACCCGTCGCTGCCCCGCAGGACCAGCATCTAGTCCCCGCTCGTTCGAACAACACACTCGAAAATCCGGGCCGTTTATCTGCGACGCGCTTTCCGCTTTCCATCCCCCGAGCTCGCACCGCCCGTGGCATGGCCCCCCGCGTTAATTTACCCCCAAAGAAAAATCGCGCGCGCTGTGGCATCAAGTACCAGCTACGAATCGTCAAAGGCGACCTTCCTGCAGACTCGGAGTTCAAAGATGAGGACCAGCATGAGGACATGGCCTCATTGGCTGTGGCAGATGTCGACACCACTGAGGGCAATGTGCGTTCTTCCCCAGCCAATCAGCGTCTGCCACCTTTCGTGGCTGTGTCGCCCGCAGGTCGCTGATGTAATTGCCCTTTTTAGGAACACCATCTACAAGCTGCTCTTGCTACGAAGGCTGTCTTCATTCCAACACCTGCCGCTGAAGGAAAGGTTTCCGACTACAACCTTCTGTATCCCCCAGACAAATGGAAGAAGCCTGCGACCTACATCTACACCACGACGACGGTGGAAGAAGCTGTTACCAATGCCTTTCTTGACTACGACCTGACGTACTATATGGACGAAGTCGACATGCAATGGCTGGAAAGAAACAATCAGGAAGCAAGGGGGGAGGGAACTAGCGCTGCTGCTGAAAAACTCAAGGGTGGGGGGGCCGAAACGGGATTACCCGTGTCCATATCTGAAGACGAGTTTGAGTTGGTGATGGGTCTCCTCGATAAACTCATTGAGCCCACCGTGCGTTTCATCTTTCCCGTCTTCATTCCAAGCCAATAATGCCACTGCAGGGATTTCATGGATCAGGGCCCGACTTCTCTGCAGTTCACGAGTTTTTTGATCGCCCTCTACCTAACAACATCTTCGCTTCTTTTGCTGTGCCAGCCTGGGTTCCTCCTCCCCCTTCATTGGCTTGTATTGCCCGCCTGGTCTTTCCCCATTGGAAACAGCGTCGGGTTGAGTTGGACGGACGGAAAATTCATCCTTCAATCAACGTATGTGGAACACTCCTTTTTGTCTGTGATCACGCTGAATCGACAAACGCCTCTAGTACGACGAGTTTGATTTCGCTAATGAACCCTACGTCTGTTTCCGCCGTCGCGACCCCAAAGCTGTTCGGAAGACTCGGGCTGGTCAAGCTGTTAACAACGCCGATAAACTCGTTCAACTGCACTACAACTTTTCGCAGGCTCTGGCAATCGCAGAGGCCGTGCTCGAACGAGAAGGCTTTAAGCAACTTGCTGCGATAGAGTCGGAGACTCTTTGGAATGCACGGAAACCGATGGCGGATCTGTTCCGAAGCGTGCCAGGTTTGATCACGAAAGCTGACGAAGAAAGGCTGACGGAGAGACCAAAGAAGATCAGGCCCAACAAGTCAACGTACGTTTCGCGGCTCCATTCACTTACCATGCGCTCATCTACCTCAGGCTTCCCAAAGTCAAGGTTCTACCTCCCAGTCATCCTGGCGGGGCGAACGGCGCCCTGGCTCCGGCGATTTTGCCCTCAGAACGCGCTTTTATTATCCAAAAAGAAATCTTGCAATCTGTGCAAGAAGACACAGATTGGCTGAGATCACATGCTTGCTTGGATGTGACGGATGTGAGACCGCACGGCCTGCAGCATTTTTCTCGCGCTCACTCGGCTTATAGGACTCGTATCAAGCACCTTTGGTACCGCGCGCCGACAAGATGTGGGTGGATATTCCCAGTAAAGACAGTTCCAGACTGCGTGGGATGCGAATGCGCTTTGGGCGGGGTGGACGGCGATTTATCGATCGACGGTCGAGTCAGCCACATGTGGTTCCCTTATGGAGTGAGCGCAGGAACGACGACGACGTTATGGACGCTTGCGAGAACGACATCGACGATCAGGAATTGGAGCGCCGCGTTCGAGCTCAATGGCGGTTCGATGCTGACACATCTTTCGCTGGACTGGCTGAGGACGAACACCGGATGTTTGTGGACGAACATGACACCAAGTGAGTCTTGTATTCAGAACGTTGGCGATGCTGACGCTAGGTTACAGATATCTTGTATCGCGACTGCAACGAGACAACAAGGATGAATTCTGCCTGGTGACGGATGCGTCGATTGTGACTCCGGGTGGCAACCCCGATGGCAGCGACAAGAAGCACTTTCCATTCGTCACCAATGCCTTGCACACCGCCTTTATCCACGGGAAGCATCTCGGAGAATATTTCCAGTCCATTGGGGTCAGCTCTGCACCCGGGCCTCGACCCGTCTCTACCCCTCAACCGGTAGCACCGCGTTTCCAACCGCCAGCACCTGTTCGCCAGGTTTCTCGTCCCGTCTTTGCTGCCAATGCCAATCCGAGTGCCACGATCCCCAAGATGCAGGAGAGCATCTCACCCGGGAAACCCACTGCACTCAACATACCAGTGTCCATGCCGTCTCGGCCCAGCCCTGTCTCGAATCCACGTGCTGTGACCAGCAGCCCCCCTGCATCTGAAACTTCTAGGCAGGCTGTGATTGCAAATGGCCAGGCGGTTAACGGTCATACCGTCAATGGTCATGCAGTCAACGGCCAGGCAGTCAACGGTCATGCAGCCAATGGCCAGGCAGTGACTGGCCTGGTAGTCAACGGTCAGCCAGTCAATGGCCAAACAGTGGTCATGAACGGCCACGCGGCTAACGGTCATGGTCATTCTCTGCACAACGGCGCCCGGTCAGCTCATCCGACTTATGTACCACTAGGTGCTGGCGCGGGAATGAGTTTGAAGCTCCCTTACCGGCCGTCCGCTGCCGGTGAAAAAGCGTAGTAGTCGTACATCGAATGGATCTCATTTTGCTTGCTCTGGGTCTCGTCTATGTTAGTTTCATGCCCACTAACACATCTGTGACACGCCTAAATTCCTGCCGAATCCCAACCTGGTTAGATCTATAGCGACACAGTCCTCAATTCCAATCTTTCCGCGACGTCAATGGTTAACGTTTCGTGATTGCCAGCCACGCCCCTGTTGCAGGGTTCAAGACAGCAAGAAGGCTGATCGATTCCCATCTTGGACACCCGTAATTTCCTGCCTTGTTCCTTAGCACTGTCTGGCACTGTCTGGCTCTCAACGACATCCATCTGGGAGACGGGGCGCGTCGTACAGAGAGAGAAAAGGGTTGGCGGGTGTAACAAGGGCGCAGTGGAAGCTGCACTGCTCAAATCTTCGACTCCATTTAAGCGACGCGTTCTACGGCAATTTCCTCCGTAATAGTATCGTCTAGCGACGTCGCATCGGACTTCTAATCTGTCTACATACTTCTCTCCTTTCCGACCCATATTCTGTCACCCAGCCCGGACGCGCACCGCGCATGGCACCAGGGTCCTCAACTTCACCATCCCCATACACGCCTACGACTTTTGTTGTGAATATTCTACAGCTCGGCGGGGTCGATGGCACCACTCAGTAGGGCTATCGTTCTCTGTGTTATGTGCGTAGGGTTGGTATATGCTTACCCTGCAGATGCTCATTTCGAAACCCCTAGCTCGCTTTCTCTCGCTGGAGGTGATGTCGTCCAGACGGCACCACCCACATGGTCACTGTACAAACGACAATGGATACGCCGGAGACTGAGCCCCGTCTGCCTCCTCTTCTTTCTTTTTCGATAGTGCGTCCTATGTTCTCCGCCCGCGACATGAATTCACCGTTTGGCCTGCTCAGTCTGTCATTGCTAGCTCTGGCTGGTTATGGATATTGTACGTTTCTCTCGCCTCCCAATCACAACGCAGGTGCTCACCATCCAACTGCAGTGACATTCGAGTCTGATTTCACGTATGCGGAATGCAAGGGGATATACTGGGCTCCGCTTGTTGCAGGCTGTGAGTTCCGCTATCCTTCCCTTGTGGCCGTCCAGTGCAGCTCACGAGACCCTCAGCACTGGCGGGACTTTCGGCGCAAGCTTTGCTGGCCCTGAGGGTGCACCAAATCTCCGGCCGTCCGAAGCGCCTGGGATTCGCTCTAGGCGCGCTGCTGATCCTGTTCGTCCCCATGCAGATCTTCGGTGCGGTTTATCACGTGTGTATTCTTTCGAAATCAAATGTGCGTGGCTGAACTGTTTTGCTTTGCAGCAAGATGTGAGTCGACGAGTGCGGGAACAAGAATGCTGCTAATGATTTGTGTGCGGCGCAGCCCGTTTTCCAGGATGTGTGTCTCAATCCTCTTCCCCATTCATTCAATGAATGTCTGAACTATCCTCCAGGGCTAGTAAGGCTTCTTGCTGTGGGTTCCAAGTCTATTCCTGGATAATGACTGTTCTGTAGCTGTCAGGCTAAATCCCTTCATTCCGGCGAGGTGAGTTGTTTATTTTCATGTTCCCTTGGTGTCTGATACGAAGCCACCAGCCCAAGTGGCCGATGATGTGAATGAGATGCTGTCAACTTGAGGTGGTCATCTGACAACGCATTCGCAGGTATTCCACCCTGCACACTATTTTTGACCTCGCTACCTCGGTCGTTGCGACTGACGCTACTATTCGTGCTTCCATAGTACGAGGCGCACTGTGAGTGGTCTCACACTATTACGAGTCTCGTTCCGAACCGCCGTGTGTGACATAGCCAACCGCGAATCTTGATGCGACGATCCATCAGCCACGGGGTCCCGTTCTTCGTCGTCGTTTTGATTGCGAACTTGTACGCGGATCTTTGCCTAGCATCTGGGCATGCCTCATCTCTGATTGCAGTTGGATAATGCTGGAATCGGCTGGTGTATTCGTTTCACATGCGGCGCCAATCCTGCCGTTGACCTTGCAATTCATCGGTAGGGTGCAGTCTAGCCGTGTTCCAGGCAGCTTGCTGATGGTCGTTTGCAGCTGTCCAGCACATGATTCTCGACTCTCAGCGCCGATCACCAGAAGAACTGAAGACTGGATTCGAATCGGTCAGTGTCGGGCCGCCGCAGTTTCGGGTGCAGGCAAACAACGAAACAATGGATCTTGACGATGATGATGATGATGCGATCCTACCTGAACCTGTGGGGAACAAAATTTTCAAGGGCTCGTACAGCTCTGACGAGCCGAGTTCATCCGGCGCGAGTCGTCTCCAGCGAGACATTCTGGACGCTTGACGCCAAGACTGGAGGACGAACTTACGACTGAATCCTTATTATTGTACTTCTAGAGACTGCTGTGTATCGGGTTCGTCAAATTCCAGCTTTGAAAACCAGATGCGATGTATGCGTTGATTGCCGGTGCAGCCTACGCAGGGATCTGCGCACGATTTGATTGTTTCAGCGGGTGTCGCATCCATCACGGCTCGGTCGGTCGCGTTTGGCATCGCCACAATCGGCTATATAACACGCTCTGCTCGTTAATCAATGTTTTCGGTTCCTTTGCTATCTTTCACCCAGATTCTCTCTTTGTTTCCTGTTTCTATCCGTCCTCGCTCGCTTTCGGCCGGCCGATTTGTCTCTCCATCCTTACACTTGTTCTCGACTACACGAACGCACAACTACCACCACATTCTATCATGAAGGTCTCTTCTGTCATCACTGTGCTTGCATTGGCGTCCTCGACGCTCGCCGCGCCTCTCCAGCAGGCCATTTCGAAGCGCGCGGGCCCCGGAAAACGTGGTCTCTGCTGGCCCTTCTACAACGGGCCCCTCGACCCGGCCAAGTTCAATGACGGGCAAGGATCTGTGAACCTCATGTCTGTTCGCGTCCCGCGCTGGTGGCAACCGTGCTGACTTTGTACGGTAGATATGACTACGAAACATTTGCACCACCGTCGTCGAATGGCAACGGCGGGCTGAACTTCATCGGGATGCAGCGCTGCCTCGACTGCCAGTCGTCGCCTATCTCGCAGCTGGCGGCTCGGCAGAAGCAGCTCGGGTTCGCCACGCTCTTCACGTTGAACGAGCCGGATATCAACGGGATATCGCCGCAGACGGCGGCTGACTGGTACAAGCAGAACATCAATCCCATTGTACGTTTTGCCACAGCTAAGCGATCCGTACCTCACGGTCGTTTTGTTCAGGCTATCAAGAAAGCACTCCCTGCTGTCACGGCATCGACTGCACCTGGCCAGGGCCTTGACTGGCTGAACCAGATGGTCGCGGCGTGTGCTGGAAACTGCTTCTTCGATTACATCAACCTGGTGAGCAATCAAGTTTCGATTCTGTCTCGAGATACAGCACAGCTGATGACCGCGCAGCATCACTACGGATCCAGCTTCCAGCAGTTCCAGGACTTTGTCAACGCCGCCCACGCGCAGCACCCCGACAAGCAGATCGTCGTGACGGAGTTCGCGCTGCAAAACCCGGCGGGGGGCCAGGCCGACCAGGTCGCGTACTACAAGCAGGCGTTCAAGTTCCTCGACGAGGCGCCCTTCGTCGAGATGTACTTCCCCTTCCTTGCGTCTACGCCGTCCCTGTTCTCGGCGAACGACGCGGCGGGTGTCGGCTTTGTCGGCACGGGCTCGGCGCTGTTCAACGATGACAAGAGCGTCAGCGCCGTCGGCCAGCTGATGTTCCAGACGTTCTAAGCGATGACCATGATGAGTGTATGATGTGTGTGAACTGTATGTGTGTGTTGTAGTGTACTTTGGGTACTTACTAGAAACGAGAGACAAAGATTACTTTTGAGCTGCTTCAGCGAAGATGAGATCAGAACGCATACATTTCGCACCGCCACGCGAATCCTACGTCAGCTCCGTCGCGGTCGTGCCAGATCGTGCCGTGGGATACTCCAGACGTCGGTTTCAGCTTGAAACTCTTGATCTCTGTCGAGATGATCTCGTAAGACTATTGAGTCCCGGCTGCTCTGCGACGTCGGTGATTTCTTTAGAGGGATCGCATGGGACTGTATCCGGCGCCCAGGGGCTCCAGTCGGACCTGATCTTCGCCACTCGGGCATGCTAGTGACTTGCTACGCATTGAGTCGTTCCCCGTTGGCATCTTCGTCTGAAAGCTCATCACAGAAACTGATATCACCCGTAAATCCGTGGGCTCAGGCGAGGCGACATCGGGATTAACAAGCTGCCAGATGCTTGCTTTCGCTTAGGTCCAGAGTTGCTGAATTCGAGGTTCTCAAGTGCGTCTTTGAGCTTTTCTGGGAGACGCACTTCACTCCCATTGCTATCTCACTGGCCCTAACAGGTCGGTTGAGACGATTCAGGAACAGATCGGCGCGCACTTCCGCGAATCCGATGATCTTTTGGTGCTCCGATCTTTGTATTGGGGTTGTATTCAACAACTCAACTACCATACATCCCGCGCGCCCGTGTGTGCCGACACCTTCTCCCGTCGCAGCAGAAATCAGGTTAGCCATCTGCACCGTGCCGAGTGGGCCAGCCCGATCTCGAGTCACGCCTTGGTCCAATGACCGCATACGACTTGGCTGGGTTACCACCGCGGCTGCTGCAATCTCAGCAATGCAGCAGATCCGCCTGATGAACTGTGAACACTAGATCTGGAAACGGGAGTAGGTCCAGGAATATAAATACGACCGCGCTGGATTCCTGTTGGGTTGTGGAATCAGCGCCCTCGCATTCCCTCGCAGCCTCTTTCCTCACGAGAACACGATGGGTCTTGTCTCTCTTGTCTTGCTCGCGCTTGCCTCGACTTCTGTCGCGTCACCGACGAACGTGACCAAGCGTTTGGGCCCGGGAAAGCGCGGTCTCGTCTGGCCGTGGTTCAACAGCCCTCTTGACCCAGCGCGGCTGAACGACTTCCAAGGGACAATCAACCTCATGCAAGTCCCGTGTGTTCTTTGGGATCCCGTACCCTGACTAACGATGTCCCACAGCTACGACTACGAGACATATGCACCGCCGTCGTCGAACGGCAACGGCGGGCTGAACTTCATCGGGATGCAGCGCTGCCTCGACTGCCAGTCGTCGCCCCTTTCTCAGCTGGCAGCGCGTCAGCAGCAGCTCGGATTCGCTACGCTGTTTACGTTGAACGAGCCAGATATCAACAACATCTCCCCTGGACAGGCCGCGGACTGGTATGTCAACAACATCAACCCGTTCGTAAGTCATCACCAAGGTCATCCTCCCCTGGGCCGTGAGCTGAGATGTGCCGCAGAGAATCCACAAGGCCCTGCCGGCCGTCACCTCCTCGACATCCGCAGGCCAGGGACTCGACTGGCTGCAGCAGATGGTCAATGCGTGCGCCGGCCGATGCTTCTACGACTACATCAACCTCGTGAGCCCCCACCATGGATCCACTTGATACTGACCACTGATCAAAGCTCCCCGCAGCACTGGTACGGCCAGAATTTCGGGCAGTTCCAGAGCCACATCACGCAGGCCCACAACCAGTTCCCCAACACCCGCATCGTCGTGACCGAGTTCGCGCTTGCCAACCCGCCCGGCGGACAGGCTGACCAGTGCGTGCTTTCTTTTTTGCGACTTTTCACAGATGCGGGGCTGACGGGGACGCATTTTCGCATCGCAGGATCGCGTTCTTCAAGCAGGCGTTCCATTTCCTGGACAATGCGGCATATGTCGAGATGTACTTCCCGTACATCGCGACGTCGCCGGCGCTCCTGCAGCAGAACGACCCTGGCGCGGTGAACAACGTTGGCGTGGGATCGACGCTGTACAACAACGACGGCTCCGTTAGCGCGGTCGGCCAGCTCATGTTCCAGTTGTTCTAAGGAGGTTCCTGTCTGCTGATCATGGTGTCTGTGCGTACATCGGACTGTCGATGATGAGCTTCAAGTCAGGGTGCAGTTTGGATTCGATATTCTACTAAATACTCAATAAAATCTCGTGGTTCGACTTGTCGGTTCAACCGTGTGAATAACACGGACACGCTGACTTCCGATCGCGTCGTCTCGTGACCGCGTAAGGGACTGGAATGATTGATCAGTACCCAGGAACCGAAACAGGGATAGCGCTTGCGGGAGACGGTGAGCGTGGTTCTCCACTTTTGCGCCCGGAGGGAGCGCCATCCTGAATTCCGGACAGATCGACGTTTAAACTATTTCAGTGAAGGGGGCCTGTTCGCCGCGTGAGCAGGGACTTTGATGGCTTTCAAAAGTTATGGTCGTACGGTTCTTTCAACTTGGCTTTCGGGATTTGATTGAGGTAAGATTCGGACTGAGCTGCTATTTACACCCGCTAGACCATGTGATACGCGAGTCTTGAAATATAACTTGAATTCCATCGCTGTCTTACATCCCTGCAGTTCTTCTGGGAGCATTGCAGACTACTCCGGTATAACAGGGACTCTGAGAGCAGTGATGTTGCTGGTTCCACATGCTTAGCCGCGTGACTTACAAGGAACGTTCATAAACAGCAGACATGACGAGAGCCTTGTCTTCATTCCCACGCAAGAGACGCGATAACTCATACAAACCACATCACACCACTGAAGTCACTCGACGAAGGTTGGCTCAAGGCACTACCTTTCGAAAACCAAACGATGGTACTCAGAACCAGGCAATGTTCGAATTGTCCGAGATCGGAGGCTTTATACAAGTGATTAAGGTGATCAGGCTACACATTCTTCTTTGGAGCGAGGGTCATTATCTTCGGGGAGACTGGTGGACGGGGAAAGACACGAGAAGCCGTTATAAACGAGTGCTGTGAAATGGAGGTTTCTAGGGTCACCCCACCGTTGCTGATGAATAAGCGGAATGTTCCCAACGGATTCGAAATCTTATCGCACCGCCACACGTCATGACGCGTCCTTTCAGTTCTATCCACCATGTCGACATTAACAGTGCACACTGCAGCTCAGAATAGTGCGTCCTGGATCAGGCCAAAGTCTTGGAATCTATGACGAAGCCAAGTGTCTAGATCAGCTCCATGTTCTACGCACGCTTGTAGGCGAGAACCCCAACCTGGTCAACTCAAAGGATGTCGTCAGTTCTTTCGATGGGCACAGTCGATCTTGTGTTGGACTTATGGTCAAAAAGGATGAACGGTCTCCGCTTCATTGGGCTGCTGCTTCAGGATCTACCGAGATCGTTCGCTTCCTGCTCGATAAAGATGCTACAGTGGATGTGGTCGATAACAGCGAGTGGACACCGCTTCATATCGCTGGTGAGCCCTTTGGTTTGTCTCCGTTCGAGTCATTTCAAATTTTCGTAGTCAGTGCAGGGCACGAAGATATTGTTCAACTGCTTGTTGGTGCCGGTGCTGATGTGAACAAGTACGCACCATGTATGCCCTGTTCTCAGACCAAACTGCTGATCGCTGTCAAATCTAGGAAGACTAACAAGGGCATGACTCCGCTGTTTGTCATTCTATCAAAGTTTCTTTGTTTTGCTAAATGGTCATCAGACACTACGCTGCATCGAAATCTCGGCTGGATGTGAGTGATACTGTCCAAAATCTCGAGTCGCTCACCCAGCATGGGCCTTATAGATTGCCAAGCTGTTGATAGCAAGGGGGGCCGATGTTCGTGAAGCATTTCATGTGATTGAGCACGTATCATTGACGAATAATCATTCTCTTAGATCAACGCGAAAGATCGAGCCAACCAACATCCACTGTCAGTCGAACCACCGATCTCCAACTCAAATCTGACTTTATCTTAAGGCACCGTGCTGCAACCATAGGCTCTGCACCTTTCGTTAAGCTGCTAATTGAGTCCGGCGCTCCTCCCAATAAAACCCGATTGAATACGGGTGATCGGATGGGTACGTACTCAATCCATCGGGGACCAAAGGTAATACTCATTTTTAATACACAAGGAAATACACCACTGCATCTCGCCATGGACTCTGCACATGCCGAAGCCGCTGTTGCGCTAATTAGTGCTGGGGCAGACCGCGATAGAGTATGCGATGTCCTTTCGTGGTTTGCTCTGGACTCACTGTTTGCCTCGCCAGGAAAATGTAGACGGGGAAACTCCAGAAGGCATGGAGGGTGTTGGCGGCTCAGAGCAGCGTAAGGCAAAAGCATATGTTATCGAGATGTGTGGGCCGGCGAACGCTACTTCATAGGTTTAAGTTGTTTGTTAGTAAGTGCAAGCTCAAAGTGCGATAGAATTCGAGGTTACATCGTTCAGGGAGAGATAGAAAAAAATAACCCGACGGGGTCGGTGAGGTGGGGAGCGTCAAAGAAGCGGCTAAGAGAAGCGGCTAAGATCTCTTCGGACGATAGACGATGGTGGAGCTAGCTGCTAAAGCCAACACCCGGGCACGTGACAACAGGCTATCCGGCTGGATTTCGGCGATCAGAATGTTAGAGGTTGGACAGACACATTTTCTGGGACCGGTTCCAAATCTCTTCAAATCCACAATCCCTGATCTATGTGCTTTAGGCTGAACACCTGAGATTAGCCTGGGCGTCAATCAGAGCAGGGAGGGTTTTATAAAGTCACATGGGGCTAATGACACTACGTTTCGGACATTAAGAACCGGAATAATCCCCGGTTTCGAGGGTCTCAGCCAATCTACAAATCTCTGAGCAATTCATGCGCCCTTGAGTGATGAAAAAGTAGTCACGCCGGCGTCAGTTCCCATCCCCCACTTGTCCTCTCCATCACAACAGTGAGTTGTCGTCAGGAACTGGATCTGATCCCAAATCGTTCTTCGTTCTTGTCTTCTTCCGTCCCTTCCATTTTCGCCTCACACACCAGGTCCTCCCAGTTGCTCGTGCTGGTACTATGTGCGACTCTCCATGCTCAACTCAGGCGTCTCGTTGACGGAATCCTCAGGAGTACACTCAAGGAACGCATTGCCGCTATTCAGCAACGGGAGGAACGGGAGAAGGAGCGTTCGTCGGGCAGTGTGCCCACCATGCCTGCATCCGTCTCTGCGGGTGCCATGCGCGCCAAGATTGCTCAATTCGAGAGCCAGGGCGCAGTGCCTGCGCCGCGAGGGTCGTAAGTGCTCACGTCAGCGAGACCACCACATGCTCATAGTTCTTAGTTTTGGGCTCGGCGCTCCGCCAGAGCGGGGGCCACGACAGCGCGCGGAGATGTATGGGAATCGTATGCAGCCTGCGCGGGTGCCCAGCGCCACTCTGGGACTCTCCCGGCCTCTAGAACCGTTTTCAGCGCCGGATCCCCGGGCGCCTATCCCGCCGTCTGTCGATGACGGGGAGACACACGATGGTTCTCACGTCCGCCGCCGCCTCGATTCCACAACTGGTACCACAAAGTCCGCCGTGCCTAGTCGCGCGACATCATTCAGTGCCGCGCTCGACATTGCGCGCAAGGCCGAAGCGGAAGGGAAAGCGAAACGGAGAAACAGCATCCTCATGCTGCAGCCACAGCACACAGGCGGGCTCACTCCACAGCATACGGGCGGAGGGTTGACACCGCAGCACACAGGCGGCAGTATGGTGGTGCCACAATACACGGGAGGATCTTTCGCATTTACCTCGCCGCCTCTGTCGCCGATGGTCCCCTTCTCGCCTCCCCGATCTCCGAGGACCCCCGTTTCGCCGATGCTCAATCCATCGGCATTGCCGTCCCCGAGTCGGTCTTTGACTTCCCCGCTTACAGACAAGGCCGACGAGGAACCCCCAGAGATTGAGGTTGAGACTGCACCGGTTGAATACCAGGAGTTGGTGGTCCCAGTGCGTCGGTTTCCTTATCCTCTTAAAGTCTATATTCACATGCGCGCAGAACGACCCAAAGCCTGCGGTATGTCGATCCAGCATGTGCTGTGCTAAATCTGTTCTCTAATGGTCTTCCCGATCAGGTGCCTATCATTGATGTGAAACAAACCACTGCCTCGACGACGGTAGCAGATAACTTCCAGGTGCTTTCGACAGCACCTGACCCGGATGGCCCGCCGGCCGAGGCCATCTCTGCTTCCGACACCCCAGATGATGAAGCAATTCCGCAACCGGAAACCATTATATCCGCTCCCCCTGTCCCCGATCTCTCAGGAACTTCTCCAGACTCGACGCATGAGGGTTTCGATATGGATGCACATTTGCGGGACTATGCGCTGCGGCAGTCTTCTCAATCTATCCCGCAGGACATCATCATCAGCGATGACGACTCGTTCACTGCTGGAGGGGAAGAGGAACTGGAGGTGGACGTGTATGATGAATCTGCTCCGCTGGGCCCGCTTCCGAACAGACTGCAAACGCACAACTTTCGCAAGCACCTGTCGACTATCACAGAGCGCAGCATCGAGCCGAGCAGTCCAGGATGGGATTCGGGATTCACTGTGGACAACCACGAGGAGAGCGGCCTCGGTGCCGGCGCTAGAGCCCTTGCCACCCACAGTTTTGGCGAAGATGCGGAAGTTCTGGGCGTGGACCGGAGTGATGCCCCCTCACCTTCGCCGTATCGACTCAGTGGGCTGACTGAACGGACCTATTCCCCGAGTCTACGGTCCGAAGACGAGCACAACTCCTTCGATGAAACCGGGTCCTTGGATGAGCAGGCAGCAACGACACCCACTGCAGATTGCCATACACCCACCGCACCGTCCGCAGAGCCTGATCTCAGCAACTTGCCTCATGACAGCTCGTTCCGAGACTCGCTTTTGACGAGCGAATCCGGCTCGCAAGTCGTCGCATTCAGTCGGTTGAGCATGCTTACAACGGACAGTGCTAGCCCCAGCCATGTAACACTGGCTCATCGGATCCCTGTTGCGGCTGAGGTAGAGCGTGGCGTCGAGGTTTTCGTGAGTGGCAAAGAATCTCACCCACCCGCGGAAGAAGCACACAGGACGACAGCCCGTACTTCCTCGGAGGGACGGTCGGTCCCAGCCAACAGGGCTCGACCCCAGACGATGTTTCTCCCAGACGACGACCAACCAGCAGAACCATTTGGGTCCGTCACATTGTCACGGTCGTTCACTGCAGTCGTGCATGGGCGCGTGCGTGAAAATCGCACGTGGGAGACAGCCAAAGCACCCAAGACACCGGAGAAGCGCCATCCTCTGCCCGTGACTCCGCTGAGTCCCGGTTATGCTAGTGGAGAGCTCGCTGAGCTGCTAGCGGAGGCAGCTGCCCTGGAACAGAGACTCGAGTTCGGAGAGCTGTTCGAAGAGCCCGCCAAGCGGATAGCTCATCCGCCGCCTCGCAGTGCATCGCTTCGAGCAACGGTCCCCCAACAACCAACACCCCCTCCTCCTTCTGTTCTCAAACCCCAACGGTCCTTCCGCAGCGCTCTAAAACAGAAACCGATCATCCAAGTGGAAGAATCTCCTCTGCCCCTTCCGCCCCCTTCCCCTGCTGTATCAACCACCAGTTCCGAAGTGCCACCGACACCGCCGCCGAAGTCAGGTTCGCGCTATTTTTCAAGTCTCCGCCGCCTGGCGAGCACATCACGCACATCACCTGCTCGAGCGAGCCTCTCTTTATCTTCCGAACTGTCCAGCGAGGACTCGGTGGGTCTGCAGACACCTCCGGACGATCACTTTGTCCAGTCAAGCAGCGCATCGGTGTATTCTGTCCAGAGTGGCATCAACTGGCCATCACGAGCGGGATCTGTGTCTTCCAAAAAGAGCGTGGGGGGCATCGCCTCACTGGCGGGCAAGATGTTCAACCGCAGCCGGACCAAGTCCAATAACAGCACCCTCAGTACATATGAAGGTATCAATCTGTCCCCTTCTTTTCCCCAGCATAGGTTACTGATTCATTTAATAGCACCATCCCCGCCTCCAGCTTTGCCTCCTATGCTTCCGAATCTCGATCTTGATGAGGCCACTCGACCAGCACATCTGGTCATCGATTCAGACCGAGCGCTTCCGCATCGACCCACTTCGTGGTTATCCGTCTCGTCGATGGGCTCCTCCTCCGTTGCAACCTCTCCACTGTTTGACCAGACGCTGTTTGACGCCTTTCCCTCCGTGCCTGAGATGACGCCTTCGCCGCAGACTGCCAGCACCCTTCGCCCTCTTCCCTTTAGCCAATCAAACGCATAAATATTATTCACCATATAGTAGTCTCACTCGTAGTCTCACTAGTCTCGCTCCCTTGATCTCCGTTCAATCTGCAATCGCTTTCGTTACTGCACATTTTGCTCAAGCTACTTGCTTTACATGGTATAAAACGCAACCAGTTTCTCCTCAACACCTGTTTGAGTCATTGGTTGCGATGGCAATGGGGGGATCCCTTGCACTATATTCTGAATTTGGCGGAACTTCTGGCTGATACTATCGAGGAAGTCCATCGATTGGCCAGGTTTCCGAAGTTGGGAATTCGTCAACGAGCTACAAAGCGCGTTGAACCGGCTCGACACTTGCCAGATGGTCGGTCGGCGGGCGGGATCCTCATCTGTCATGTCGTCCACCAGAGGTCGTAGGAAATCTAGTGGAGCATGACGGTGTTTCACTTCGGTACCCTGCTCGGTGGAGATCAGTCAAATTCTTGATCGGGGTAGCAACCCAGTCGACCGGCCTTTCTCTGAACAGTATACTCGATGAAATTCTCCTTCAACATGTTACCCAGATAATATACGTCTGTAGGGAACGGATTGCACGGTTTCAAAAGTCGCGACAGGTCGTGTTCAGGGGGGCTTTTGTCGGCCCCGCGTATTATTTCCTCCCTTGGCGGCGAACTGCCGTCGATCGAGTATTGGCGCGACAGCCCGAAGTCGATCAGATAATACCGTGGCCAGCAACGAGTGCGCGTTGTGGGGCGCGAAAACGCGGTATATGCGGGGTTCATCTTGAACCGAACGGGATGGTTGCCTTGTGGGTATAGTTTAGAAGGGTCGACGACGACATTGAGGAGAGCGCAGTCTCTGTTAGACGTATGTGAGCTTCGTTTTCACACGGCCGGTTAGCATGCTGCGCACCGATGGGCGACCCCATTCTCATGCATGTAAGCCAGACCCTCAAACAGCTGTCGGAAGCAGTCCAGCACCTCTCCAACTGTGTCGAAGGGGGGCGCGTACAGTCCCGTGAACCGCGGCATGACGAGTATCTCTCTGTCCTTCTCTTCGGGATCTGGCAAGACGTCCAGAATGGGTATGCAGTGATTACGCGGGTCGGAGGCGCGCTGAGGCTCAGAGAAGAACTGCCCGATGGACGACTCGTACGGATGGGAAGTCCTGCAGATGTACTTGAGCAGGATGGGTGCCGAGTCGACGGTGCGCGTTGCGTCCATGATGCTCGGTCTCTAGCGAAGGATGCGGAGTCAGGGAGCGAGAATAGGGAGAGATTGTAACAGAAAGCGCGCACCGAATGCCTCGCTTTCAAGCTGCGCGTACTGACGTCTGGTGGGCGCACATATCCTGGCGTGAACTTGGGACGGAGAGCATACCCCGCCTTCTCCAGGAATTCACGCCGGTCAAACCAATATTGCTCATCCTCGTGTATGTATTCGGACTGCGACATGGCTGAAGGAGGGGGAAAGTGAATGGCCGCTTTCACATCGCTGTAGGGTTGTATGCCCCCGCATCTTCTGCAGCCCACTTCGGCCTGTGATCCGAAGTGGTAATCGTGGGGACAGGCACCGCGATGACAATCATGTGATGTTTTCCACGTGGCTGCAAACGTGGAATTGCTGTTTCGGAAGATTGCACTTGCGGTTACCCATCCGAAAACTTTCTGGAGGAAATCAAATCCAGTCCATCCTTCTCAAGAGGGTGCTGGTGAATTTCCCTCAAGTTCGTAGAGCTCCAGGTAAGAGCAGCTGGGAAACATGCTTAGCGATCTTTGAAAATCTTTGACTGGGAGAAGAAGAGTCGAATGAGCGAAAGATACCGTTCACTATCATCAAAGAATCAAACACACGCATAACTACAATCATGCCAGAAAGTGTAATTACGGACACGTGTCACGCCGGTCTTTGAGTCAAGTTCCTTGCGCAGGCATTCCAAAAAAAATCACAGGCAGCCTAGGGATGACGACTTGATAGCGGGCCAGGCCAGGTGAGAGGGAGCCGAGAATGTAGGCAAATTTACGAGCTCTTTCCAGACTGCTATTGATAATACGTCCATTTCGCCCTCAGTTCGACCAAGTGCTGCTGCAGTCAGGGACTTTGCAGTCTAGGATCTTCATGGTAGAACAGCACGACAAGCAATCTCTGAGACAGTGAGTACCAAGGTGGTTTTGACTTCCATTCTGCAGCAACGGATTTCTCCAGGGTCACGATTGCCGAAGTTGAGCTAATCAAACTCGCCGCAAACAAGTTGCAACAGATGGGATCAACATCTTCCTTCTTGCCTGGCGAGCTCATGTTTTCCTCTTCCGGCAAGGCCACAACGCTTTCCAGAAAATTTACGACACAGATACCGATTCTATTCCCGATCTCCGGAAGGAAATCAGCAGGGACATTTCAACGACGTCACGCTTTGCGAACACAATGATGCCACCGACCTGCAAAGCCCGCGACAATCTAGAACGATTCATCGATTACAGACGCGACATCACGAGCGCCACCTTGACGTCCGAGGAGAGCCGCTAGTTCAATTTTGTTGCATCATTATGTCCATGTGATAAGCCTGGATGATAACAACTTTTATGGATCTTCTGGGAAATACCAGCAACCGCCGACGAATTGGGACGAGTCTCGATCGCGAGATGCATTGATATTCGTCTGACAGTCTCGCCACTCTCCACGTGAGTGCATGTCTAGAAAGAAACTCACTAAAGGAGACTGGGATGCGAAATGAGCTTCGAATCTGAAACGGGCAGTTGTCGCTCTCTCCTTGAAAGCTTCTGGAACCACCGGCAGTGGACACCTGTGTAATTACCAGTTTCTCAGGCCCATCGCAAAGCATAAATTCTCGCTCCCGCGGCGAGGGTTTCCAAGTCACCCCTAAAAATGCCTGCACCCACTTGCACCGGCCCCCTTCAGGATTTCACACATGTCCAACAAATCGTTTCCGTCTTGGGAGGGAGCATCGACGCTTGCCTGCTCGGCGAAGATATGCAGCCTCTGCGACACGGACAGGTGATTGTTTGCGAGAACCAGATTTCAGCCACCTTCGAGCTGCCGCCCGAGACCGTGAGTGGGAAGCGCCTAATGCGGTCAAATATTCGCTGACGCTCTGTGTGGCAGATATTCTGCGTCAGTTGGCGCTCTCACAACGCCATCACCGCTCTAGCCGCTCTCGTTCATCCAAGCTTTGATGGAACTCACGTCCAAGATTATTGCTGCACGGCGGTATTGCCCATGGACGCCCATTCCCCGGAAACCCAACACCAAAATTCTTCGGATGCCCAGATGTCCGGCGCCGCCATAGATGGATGGTTTACTGGTCCCCAGGCTCTCCAAATCGGTGCGAGCAGTCCCATCCTCACGCATTGGTGATACTGACCTCTTCTCTTAACCACTCCAGGGTTTGTCCAGCTCGAGTTCCGAAAGGCAGTCCGCACAGTTGCAGCGGACGGGTTCTACGACTACGACTACGACACGAGCCCCGAAGCTGCGCAATGCCTGCCTCTCATCTTCCGGTTCAACCTCATTGGCACGGATCCTCCTCCTTCACTCGGCGCGGGGCTAGTAAATCCCACGAATTCAACCTCGTTCGCGCGGTCTCGCTCTCCCTCCCGGACGCGGCTCCCTGTATTCCTTATTCACCGGTGGTGTGTTCTCGGACTCAATTGCGGATGGGGCATTCACACATTCGGGGTCCCGTCGAGGATCCACAGAACCCGCCGCGCTCAGCGCCACCGTCATACGATCAGGTCATCGCGCAGTCCCGGATTATCGCCGAAATTCTGGTCAGTCGAAGCTGCTTGTTAACTTGCCGGGCTGACCAGTCATCGCATCAGACGGCAATGTTGAGAAACGGGTGTCGCATCGATCCGGCGTTTCTCGCTGCATTTCTCAAGTTAGCAATCCCGAGTGTTCTCGGTCGGTGGGCTGACCTCACCCCGCAGCAATCTCAAGATGTATGAAAGGGAAATACAATGCTGAAACGCATGCGATGTATATATATCTATATTGTACTCGGATTCACTTGCCTAATTATGGCTATGACGGACTAGTAGCTTCGGTGTCTAAGGTGGAGCGGATACTCTCGAACGAGGCCGATGGATCTTTTGCCAGCAAAGCGTGGCCTTCCTCGAGCGACATGGTAGGGTCCGATTTTTCGGCAATGTGCTTTGGCACAGATAAAGCAACGAAGATGGCCGACGACATGATGATCGAGGTGCCCAGCATTGAGAGGAATGTGGGCGATGTGCCGAAGAACACGCGCTCTAGGACGGAGGCAAATATAATCTGCATGTGAATTAGAGAGCCCTGCATGACTGATGAGCGGAGGAAAAGACTGCGCACTTGTGTGTATAAGGCCATCCCTGCCCTCCCGGCCGTTTCTCGTTGGTAGCCCATCGTCAACAGAACTTGCGCGAGGAAGCCGAGGACCCCGATGACCGCCAGAAGACCGAGCCAAGCTGGACGAGTCGGAATCACGACGGGCTCGTGCTGGAAAACCATTCTGGCAAATGTGTCAGAAGCCGGAAGGTACTGCGCAAGATCGGCCACACAATATGGAAGCAGCGATAACAGACTCCAAAGAGAAGAACGACAGAAGATGAATCGGATGGGCCCGGTGCCCGATCGCTCTGATGGTGGTCACTGCAGCGGAATGAGGTGTCTCCACAAGAGGAAATAAAAGTACTCACTGGCTCCCGTAGACCCGACCACCCCCGCCAATGCAATCCTAATCTGAATTCAGTCGATGCAACGCCGATGCGAGACGTGCAAACCTACCCGATGGCCATCATTCGGTTCCTCTCTTCTATTGGTGTGGAGCTTTTCGAGGGTCCGAACAAGAAATCCGGTCTTGCAATGAGCACGACGCCAAACAGACTGCATACTGAGGAGGGACGATCACTCTCAGGTCAAATCATGGATAGGAGGAGCTCTTACAGCCGGCTAAAGCCTCCTTGCGCGAAAACGCCTCTCCCAGAAAAATGCTGGCACTGAGAGCCGTGGTCATAGGCACAAGGAAGCTCAGCACAGTCACGTCCGACAGCGAGAGATATTGCAGCGCAAAATAGGTTCCATTGAGCCCGATAAACCTGTACTCAGAATCGGTAATATGGTCGGGCGGAATAATGAAACTGTAGATACCCCGTCACACCACGGAAAACGAGAAGAAGCCGAACGCCCTCAGGTCCTAGGAAGGGATGAGGTACCCTTCGCGCTAGCCTGGTAGGGAGTTGGCGGCGTGTTTTCCAAGGGAGGGTATGCGACATACATGTATCCAATGCTGCAAGCATAGGTTATCGCCTGAAATAGCGATGAAGCGGCGTCGTGAAATTGAAAGCAGGCCGCACCATTCGAACCACGATCAACTGTGGCAGATGGATAGGTCAGGTCATAAACGCCGATCGGGAGGAAGACATACCTGCAAGGTCGAGACCGGCTCCCCTTCTAGACTCTGCAACTTCTTGACTGCAACATTCACGACCGAGAACGCTGCTTGGGCAGCTACGACTAAGAGCAGGCCCGCATTCAAAATTACGATCTCGCGCGCCCGTACGAATAACGCCCATCGACGCCACTGGGGAGAATCAGGGGATGACCAGGCGCTTTCAACGGTCGGCCCAAGGTCCCGAGCTTCCGATCGCGGGTCGGAGAAGGTGGCTTGCCAATTCGGAGTAAGTGCTTGGTACGGCCGTCGAGACTCTGAGGGCATTGGAAGGAGAGATGTCGACAATAGTCGTGTGCGGGTGGGGAAAGGAGCGGAAACAGTGCAAAGATAGCCCCAGATCACTCGGGCTCCGGCGTTTCGTGGAGAGATGTCACAGAAAGGGTTCACTTTGTCTCAGAAGGTCTGAAGCCTGCGGTTGGAACACGCAGGCTCATAGAGAGATGAGGGATAACTAATGCGCGTCGATTACTATACCACATGGTAAGTTGGAGAATTTTGGGGCTGGGGGGAGGTTTCCTGGGTCCATGTCCTCGAAGTGCATGAGTTGCAGTCGGCAAACGACTACGAGACTGTCCTGATCAGCTGATGTGACTTCCATCCAAATTTGGGGCGGACCTAAAGCGGTCCGATATCCGCCTTCGGCCGATGTTGGCCGATGGCAAGAATCACCCATGTCACCACACAACTTGACTTCGCCCACCATGGTATCTCTTTGGAAGAACGCAGGAAACTGTCAGACAGGAGTTCCTGGATTCCAGATCGCGAATTCTCGTGGTTTCTCGACAGCCCGTGTGCGACGCATCGACATCGGAGTACCGGCCACGTAACGCTGTGTCAACATACCTCAGCAAAGACGCCAACATATTCGCCCAAAGTCCCCAAATCGAGAATAATGAAGCCCTCGATACTCGCCATGTTCCATCCACCACCCAAACTAAGATGCTGCACACGATGGCCAAAGCCGATCTACCGTCATGCTCAGAGCGCAACACATGTCACCGGTGAAACAGCCTGCGTGTAGAGTCTAAGCACACGGGAACACGACATCGATATTCTCGCCGTGATTTGACTAGCAAATCTGCCTGCACACTGCGCAGTGCCCTGGATGCCACGACGTGGATCCTGGTGAAATCCGCAATGTCAAGGAATTCTGTTCAGAAGACATTCCATTCTCAGGGAGACTGTTTCATGTTGATCATCAAAGCCCACACGACTTCAAAGGAATTGAACAGCGCCATGTGCATCAAAATGAATCGACCACAAGCGAACGCCTCCGGAGTTCATTGAGAGGTATATCTGCATTCAAAACAATTTTCCTCCTCTACAGTTGGCGACAACTCTTCCGTGTTCGAAATTCCGACGCTCGCATTGTCAAGCCGGTCACGCAAAACCCTCTGATGGGAAAAACACAGATCCTTTTGGAACCTTGGCCCGGTCAGCCGCCACATCTCCGGTGAAGACCCATTTTCTCCCATCTTTACCGAAGTCTCCAATTAGAAAGAATTTCGCGATCACTGTCTTCGATGTCGGCCTTATCTGACGAACTGGTGCGTTTTAAATTAAAGGGTGTCCTTGGGCCCATTTTGTTCCGACCGAGGCGCGGATTCTCTGTCTAGATCTGTCTGGAGAGAGAGCAGGACAAGATTTCGGTTTCCGCGCCAATATATTCAACCCCGTGTGGCCTCGATCCACAAACCGAAGTCTGGCAAGCCCTCCTGACCCGGTCGTTGTTCAAATTTGTTCTAGGTTCAGATAAAATTCAATGTCAACTGATCCTACTAGCATGTTCCTCCCCGCGCTCCGGACAAAGGAATCGCGTAGGAGATCACACAATTCTCAATTTCTACTTCAAGCTCCGTCATCGAGAGATAGGACCGATCATACATCAACCACACTTTCCCGTTTGGTTGGGCTTCCTAGGCGATCGAACCCGACTCTCAGAACGGTCATCGGGTGATTCGATTAGCTTCTCTCTCTTTCTCTCCCTTTATACATTGGGATTGTTACAATCTATCCTCTGGTTTTAAAAGTATTCTGGTCACGCCAAAAATCCTCATAGGTTGATCCTGTATGTCTGCACTCTTCGTAACGGGATTGCGAGAGCACTCCGCGGGATCAGCAATCGGACTGTGCGGCCCACAATCTGAACTGTCGCACGGTTCGCGTCGCTTCTCGAGAAATCTGAGAAGCTCTCAGCCGATCTCTCTCGCTGAGCTTCACGGGAGAAGCATTGGAGATTGGACAATTCTCGCTTCGTGCATCAAGTTCCGAGAATGACACAAGTCCTGAAATATTTGGCCCTGCTGCTGATTAGGTAGGGGGAGCCCCGCAATTCGGCTGTGGGCATCTTATCGCGTTGAATGGTTGGCCGCGGGCGTCTGCTCCTACTCCAGCATGAGAAAATGGATGTCGCGCACGAGTCCAGGACGGTCAAATGAACGCTTGTCGTTGATTTTTCCCCGGATAGAGAGTGGTTTGCTCTGGTGCTGAGAGTGGCAGGGACGAGTCATGCTTTGAACGAAATTTAGAGCCAAATCTATTACATATGTCCTCTCCGTCATGACTCCAGCTTGTTCAGCCTTACGTGGGACGCCCATGAATGGCGGGAGTAAAGTCTCGGACTACGAAACACCGAGGTGCTTACACATCATATTTGTCACGCCTTAGACTCTCGCGGGGAAATCCGGGATAGAGTCGGAACGGAGCGGAACGGTGTTCATATAGGAGTTTATCCTTAAGTTAGTTAGCTGGAAAGTCTTTAGCCAACGGGCTGCAGCGGGGACTAAATGGCCTCCGGGCTCGAGGGTCAGGGTGCGAATGCTTGTAATTACAGAGAAGCAGGGGGCACAAACTTCGAGCGCAATTCACTGATACAGTGCACTGAGCATTGTTATGTATCTCTAATTGACACAGTCTCAAACGAGTAGATATCCGCGCGTCGGCATTGAATCGAGGAATCATAAAGCTTGAAACTTTGAGGCTGTCGAAGGAGGGTCATTGGATGCAGGTGGACGGGCTGGGGAGTGATTCGATGAGCCGCTGTAAAGCCGCAAAGGAAGGCGATTGAGCGGCGACTTGGACACGACGAAAAGCGGGTGGACGGGTAGCCTGACTCCTGAGCCAAGGACACATGCATGGCAGAATGGAGACAGGCGGATTGCGGACGCGGACAGACCAAGGCACAACGGTCGGCTAAAGGGTTGATGATCAAACAGGGATCTCCCACGCGAGGTTGATATGGAGATGACGGTGCCCATCCCTTCACTCGTGAGCGAGGAGTCCTTGATGTCGTCCGTGTCGAGCCATGTGCACGGGGCTCCGACTGGGGGATGTGAATAACACGGAGTGACGGCGCCCGGGACCTATAGGATGACTCCGGGAGTGAGTAGGCCTGTCGGAGCACGGAGCTGACAAAGCCTGTGTGGGTTACCAAACGCGTCGGCCAATAATGTGTGGTCTAATATTTGGTGGACTCCGGCTTGTCATCTACAACCATGTCCCACCCTATTGCATTCCCAGCTGGGCAGCAGATCGCCCGCTCCCCGGTAGACTATCCTATGGGCTCCTACGACGATGGGAACTTCAATCCCTCTAGTTACACCCGCCATTTCATCGGATCTCCCATCTCCTGGCGTGCGGGTAGCTTTGGCGCACAGTTCGTGCCCAGTCAGTCCCCCACTGCCATGCTCGTTGGCTCATTCGAGTACGAGTGTCTCTCTGTACAGCCCGGTCGCATGCTAATGCCACGCAGCCCAATGAAGTCCCCACGCGACTCATCCATAATGAATGCCTGGTCCGTGTTCGACCGTCAAGGTGAACTGTGTCGCAACTACACCTGCTGTGGCATTCAGCTTCCCGACCTGCATGCGCTGCTGGAGCACTTCGAGGACGTGCATATCGTCGTCAAGGACCGTTCGCAACCGCCCGCTATCCAAATTCCCTTCAACCCCCAGATTCACGACCCTGCATCTCAACCCACCCCCACGTCCCATAATCCAGGGCCCCAGTATGGGACACCCTTCGATACTGACGACATGGATCTAGGGATGGACGAATACCCATCTGGTGATTCAACCTCTCCGCCGCCCTCCACTGCACCCCCAAGCGCGGGCACCTCGCGCGCAGCTTCGCCATCATCGTCCTCCTCACACGCCCCCTCTCCGATTGCTACCTCGCGACCTGCACTTCACATTGGTGTTGGTGGTGTTGGGTTCCCTTATCGGGCCGAGGGACTTCACACGCCCTTGTCTGCGGGCACACCGTTCAGCGCTTACTCAAGACTCGGCAAAGGTAGCGAGTTCAATCCCCAATCGGAACAGGCACCGGCAGAATCCGGTGCCATTGCACCTGCGTTGGTGTTTGCCAGCTCTAATGAGGAACCTGAAGATGATGTTGTCCCTATTGTCAAAGCGGCCAAGACGAAGCGGACAGCGTCTCCGCCGTCGCGCGATGGAACGCCCGGACCGTCTGCATCCGCCGCACAGTCGTCACCAGTTGGTCAATCAGGGCCGACACTGACTCCATCGGCACCGGCTACCCCAACAACGGTTCCACCGGCCGCATCAGCTCCGACCATCCTCCTTCCCCACAAGCCGTTCCGATGCCCGAAGCCGAATTGCAGCAAGTCTTACAAGCAGGCCAATGGGCTCAAATATCACGTCACGCATGGGCAATGCAGTTTTGGGCCCGCCAAGGACGTTGAGGCTGTGCGTGCCGTTCTGGAGAAGAAGAAGGCGAGCGCGGCTGCGAACTCTACGCCATCGACCGGAACATCCACGCCGGCAGAAGAGGACCCACATGGAGCCTCTGCCTCGACGTTGACCCAAGCCGAAATAAGCGACATCGAGGCCAGGGTTCGTCCGTTCGCTTGCGGGGTCGGTGATTGTCCTCGCCGCTACAAAAACATGAATGGGCTGCGATACCATTACCAGCATTCTGGAGACCATGGCGCCGTTGGGCTCAGCCTGCTTGCCGGTGGTGTCCATGCCTGTTTGCAGAAGGGTGGTGCAGCGGCAGCTAACTCTACGTCGTCGTCCGCGGCCAACTCAGCTCCGCCGACACCTTCCACAACGACTCCACCTGCCGGCAAAAGCTACGCGTGGGGCAGCACGCTTCTGCCACATATCCAAGCCACTGCTTCTGCTGCCAAAACGAAGGCGAAGACAGATGCGACGCCGTTCACTCCTCCATCGACTGGCTCTGGGACGAGTACATTTGCCATCACGCCGCAGAGCGTGATTGCCAAGGCCAATCAGCAACAGGGTCTTTCGCCAGCCCAGACGCAGGAGTACATCCGGCTGCAGTACGCCCAGTATCAGCAGGCAATGGCTGCCGGGTGGTACAACTCGAATTCGCAGTCGGTTGACGTCACCATGGGTTGAGCGTGTGCTCTCCGGGCCTACCATCCGACTCCCCATGCGCTCCAAAAGTATTCTGTAATGTGGCTGGCTGCGTTATATGTATTTCTCGCAGTCTCTTCCGCAAGTATCATAGTATCCTATACATATGTCCGCGCCCTCCTACTCTATTGCTCACTATATTTTGTTATCTGTCTTGTTGTGCTTGTGCTGGTTGTCGCACCACTCCCCACTCACTTTCCACCCTCCACCCTCCCTCTCCCTGTTCCTCTCCCTCGTCCCTCTTACTCTCCCTTATCCCTCGTCCCTCGTCCTTGACGCCGACGCCTAGTCTCCGGCCAGGGACCATTATGATTGATAAATCTGTGTACTGTCGTGGCGTATATCCATCTTGCTGGTACATGTTGTATCGAGACATCCGATATAGAAATCTCATTCCGTGTCGCACTCAATCATTCAGGACTTGAATAGCAAGACTATTCGACACTGCCACGTTGATGGATCAGATTACAAGCTGGCCAGATGCGGATACTGTAGATAATCACTCGTCACTTTTCTCTGTCCACCCATGTCCGCACCTGTCTCGATCCCTTCTCCCCGATCATCCACTCCGGAGTCCGACTCTCGACTATCCGAATCACCTCCCACCCTGGACCCGAGCACGCTTGCGCTGCTCAACGATTTCATCGCGCACAAAACCGAAACGGAGCGCCGTTTCAATGATCTGGCGGGAGAGGCTGCGCAGAAAATCGCAGGCGGCGGTGCGGAAGGCGGGGACGAGGAGGCGAAGCCCATGATGAGCGTGGACGAATACCGCGAAACGTTCACCGAGGACTGGCAATTGAGCCAATTCTGGTGCGTCTGCGCGTTGGCCGTCGCACCCTGGGTGTCCCTGGATCATCGAGCTTCGCAGGTATACCACCGCATTCTCGATGAGTTTCGCGAGGCTCTTGCATAAAATGTGCACACCGGAAACGTCCATTGCTTTTCTGTGCTGTCCTACCGCGTTTGTGGGCTTTCAACATCTGAAACCGCACAAGAACGCCCGGGTCCTAGAAGTGGACGGCCGGTTCGCCGTCCTTGCTGGGAGACACTACGTTCCATATGACATGGAAGAGCCCACTGAGCTTCCGGCGTATCTCGACAACAGCGTCGAGATCGCTGTCGTCGATCCCCCGTTCTTGAATGAGGCAGGTCGTCTCGTTCGCCTCGCGTTGCGTTTCTGACGGCGATTCTGCAGTACACGAATACCCGGGTAGTCACCACTTTGCGAAAAATTATGCGACCGGACGCCAAGTTGATTGTGCTCACTTCGACCTCCGTGACGCCTATTCTCGAGAAACTATACGATTCGCCGCCACTGGGGCCTTTGAGGCTGACCAAAGTCCAGGTCCAGCATGGACAGCTCCGGAATGATTTCGGATGCTGGGCGAGCTGGGAAGGATCTGAGAATCTGACGCTCGAGGATTAATAGTTTTGAACCAAGCATAGATTGATTGTACATGTAATTTGTATCCTGTCATGTATGTGTCTCATTCAAGTGCCAGCTACATCTCAAGAGAAACCTGGATTCCTGGTGATGATTTCCCGGACGAGATTGGGCTCGGAGTGGTAAAAGTCCATCACTGCGTGCACGCAATAGATCAGTTCAAGCTCCTGCGCGTGACCTCCAAACTCACAAATCACACCGAACCGAACTCCTTTGCGCTCACTGATCCACGAATGCAGGCGTTCATTCATCCCGGACGTGGACTTTGTTCCAAGCGCAATAATCTAGCGAGCCGAAACTTTTAGTTGTAGCCACATTGAGAGCGAGAAGGCGACTCACGTTAGGTGTCAAGGGAGATTCCGATTCGTAGTCGGCAAACGCGCTGGAAAACGTGATGTAGAGTCCCTCTTCGACATCTGGTTGATGAGGGACGCCATCAATAGCACGGTTCAGATGGCTGACGACTGCGTCGAATTTTGAAGATATCGTTGTTTCCGCTCCTGAATTGGGGGGAACTTGTGGTTTGAATTTGTCCTGGCCGTGGGTTCATTTTTTTTTGATAATAGACGGTGATCTAGGTCACGACGGACCTCGATGTAAGCGACACGCCGGGGCTTTTCATTGTACACAAGTGGTGTCTCCTCCGTTAGCGGTCCAGTGGTCAGCGCCGAGATGGATTCCGAAAGGATTCATCGCAGACGCGTCCAAGAATTTATATGTGAAACGTTGGAGCAGGATTAATTTTCCGCGGGCTTGGCCCAAAGTTCCCAGCTGCCCCGTCAGGCGCTGGAACAAATTTCGAAGAGTGAAAAGGTTGACGCACTTTTCCTGCAGGCATGAACCAAAACTTCTTTCCCGCGTCGTTATTGAGGGTCGCGAACAATAGCTCTTCAAATTTCTTGTCGTACACTGTCTTTGAACCTTCCTCGTAGTTTATTGAGACCAGAACTGTTTCCGTGGGATGCGCCAGCAGCCACGCGTAGAGGCCAAACAAGATGTCTTGCAATGTTGAAGTAGGCCCAAGAAGCGCGGTACCTTCGAGTCTGTTCGATTTTGTGGGTAGCAAGGAGACCTCCCTAACTTACCGTGCCAAAATCCGATCGTATCGTTTCCGGGATTGTATGCTACGCGTAGATCAAAGGCGCGCACACCGTCGTTGAGAGATTGAACCAAGAGCGTTCTTGGCAGTGAAAAAATACAGCCGATGGGATGCTGCATCCGTCCACATCTGGATCAAACGCTGAAAAGAATGAACTCACTTGCCGGTGTATTTTTTGAGTTCATCCTGACGGTCCTGCG